ATTGCCCTTGGTGTTGTTATTGTCCCTGTACTGTGTGCAAATAAGTATTTTCTGGCTTGTAATAATAGCACTAGTGATATTTAGAATGAAAGGGTGAGAGGAGATGGAAAGCAAAGAAGTTAAAGGAAAAGGGAAAAACAAACAAGTAGAAAAAACAAAACAAAGAAACAAACAAGAAAAGTTTCAAAGATATAAACAGGGAGAGACAGTGTACTAATCAACCGTAAGCTTGTGGTCCATGTCTCTTCAAGCCACTTGGGCACCGGCGTCTGGCGGTGGCCGGGGACCCCTGCTGGTTTCTCCATTTAACGTGAAGTGGAGATGCTCTTTGCAGGCTGGAGGTGTGGAGGGATCAAGGTTTTGCCTCTTCTCGGTGGTTTTGCCTGTGAGGTGTATCTCCAGCATCTCTCCAAGATTTTACTTTAGGAGGCATGTGTTTTGCTTCCGCCCTCTAGCCACCATCTTGGAATCCGACCCGTTCTACTTTCTTTATGGTTTTCAACATGAAAAGCCTTCTCAAAGGCTTCTTCTGCATTCATTGAGATGATCATGTGATTTTTTTTGTCCTTCTTTTTTTTTTTTCTTGTGGTATTGGGTCTTGAACTCAGGGCCTATATCTTTTTTTTTTTAATTCATTAATACATACAGTGTTTGGGTCATTTCTCTCCCTTCCCCCCTGCCCCCTCCCTTCCTTCACCTGCCCCCTCCCTCTCCCCCCCACCCCCTCGCTACCAGGCAGAAACTATTTTGCCCTAATCTCTAATTTTGTTGAAAAAAGAGTATAAGCAATAATAGGAAGGACCAAGGGTTTTTGCTTGTTGAGATAAGGATAGCTATACAGGGAATTGACTCACATTAATTTCCTGTGCATGTGTGTTACCTTCTAGGTTAATTCTTCTCGAACTAACCTTTTCTCTGGTTCCTGGTTCCTTTCTCCTATTGGCCTCTGTCGCTTTAAAGTATCTGCATTAGTTTCTCTGCATTGAGAGCAACAAATGCTATCTAGTTTTTTTGGGTGTCTTACCTATCCTCATACCTCCCTGTGTGCTCTTGCTTTATCATGTGATCAAAGTCCAATCCCCTTGTTGTGTTTGCCCTTGATCTAATGTTCAGGGCCTACATCTTGAGCCACTCCACCAGCCCTATTTTTGTGAAGATTTTTTTGAGATAGAGTCTCGCAAATTATTTGCTTGGGCTGGCTTTGAACTGTGATCCTTCTGATCTCTGCTTCCTAAGTAGCTAGGATTATAGGCGTGAGCCACCAGCACCCAGCTGTCCTTAATTCTTTATATGTGTTACTTATTTATTTGCATGTGCTCCACCAACCTGCATTTCTGGAATGAAAACAACTTGCTCATGATGTATGATCTTTTTAATTTGTTGTTGAGTTCCATTTGCAAGTATTTTATTGAGATTTTTTACATCTATGTTCATCAAGAAAATTGGTCTATACTTTTCTTTATTTGTTGTGTCCATAGCCAGTTTTAGTATGAGGGTAATACTGGCTTCAAAAATAATTTTGATAGCAGTCCTTCCCTCTATATTTTATGGGATAGTTTTAGGAGCACTCATATTAGTTTTTCTCTAAAGGTCTGGTAGAGTTCAATGGTGAACCCATCTTTTCCAGGGCTTTTCTTTGTTGAGAGACTGTTTATTACTGGTTCAGTCTTGTTGCTCATTGTCTATCTGTGTAGATGGTTTATAACCTCTTAGTTCAATTTTGGTAGGCTATATGTAGCTAGTGAGTAATCTGTTTCTTCTAGATTTTCCAGTTTACTAGAATACATGTTTTCAATGTATTCCCTAATGATCCTCTGAATTTTATTGGCATCAGTTGTAATGACCCCTTTCTTATCTCTAAGATTTGGGTTTTCTCCCTTTTTCTTTTGGTTAGTTGAGCTAAGGATTTGTTAAGTTTGTTTATCTTTTAAAGAAACAACACTTTGTTTAATTAATTCTTTGTATTACTCTTTTTGTTTGTATTTTATTAATTTTAGCCCTGATCATTCTTCCATCTACTGATTTGGATTTGGTTTATTCTTGTTTTGCTAAGACTTTGAGGTACATCATTAGGTTATTTATTTTAGATCTATTTTTTTTTTTTGTCAGCATTGGAGTTTGAACCCAGGTCCTCAAGCTCGCTAGGCAGGTGCTCTTACTGCTTGATCCACTCTGCCAGCCTTTTTTTGAAATGGGCTTTTTCAAAATAGGGTCTCATGAACTATTTGCCAGGGCTGGCTTTGAACTGTGATCCTTCTGATCTCTGCCTCCTGAGTAGCTAGGATTACAGGTGTGAGCCACTGGCACCCAGCTTCATTATATCTTCTTGATGGTTTATTCCCTTTGTTAATATGAAGTGACCTCTATCTCTTCTAAAGTCTACTTTGTTAGGTATTTGTATAGCTACTTCTGCTTGTTTTTGACTTCAGCTTGCTTGGTAAATTATTTTCCATTCTTTCACTTTTAGTCTATGTAAGTTGGATTTTGTTTTTTAATCCAATCAGCCAATCATTGATTTCTGATTGGAGAGTTAAGACCATTTTGAGTTACTGTTGAGGTATTTGCTAATTCCTGTAAATTTTTTGGTCATTTTCCTGGTTGATTTGAGTATTGTTTGTTGTTTTCTTTCATTCTTGATCATTTTAGTATTTTCCTAGTTCACTGAGTTGAACGTGTTTCTTTCCTGATTTTCTCATGTGTTTATTCCACTCATAAAATGTATTCTTTCCTGAGCTCTTGTTTTTGTGACTGTCTTTCTTCCTCCTCTGTGTGGAGTATTCCTTTGAGTATCATCTGCAATGCTGGATTAATGGTCATGAATCACTTTAGTTTATTTTTAATCGTTGAAGGTCTTTATTTCTCCAGTTTTGAATGACAGTCTTAGTGGATATAGTAATTTTGGTTGATAGTTATTTACTTTAAGGGCTTGAAATATATCATTCCATGCTTTCCTGGATTTTAGGATTTCTGCTGAAAGGTCTGAGGTAATTTGATGTGTTGCCTTTATAAGCTCTTGCAGCTTTCCATACACTTTCTTTGTTCTCTATAGTTTTGGTATTTTTAACTAATGTTGCAGGGGGAGGCTCTTTTCTGGTCATTTCGATTTGGGGTTCTAAATGCTTCCTGTATTTGGATTTCTTTATCTTTCCTGATATTTGGGAAGTTTTCTGATACAATTTCATTGAATAGGTTTTCTTTCTTTTGGTGGTGCTAGGGTTTGAACTTGGAGCCTTCAGCTTGCTAGACAGGTGCTCTAACCACTTGAGCCACTCTGCCAACACATTACATTTTCTATGACTTTGTAACTCAGATCCTTCTACCCCCATGGATTCCTGTTTGATCTCTTGCTCATGCCCCAGAGTTTTTGAAGGTTGTGGTCATGCTTTTTTATCTCTTTTTCTTAATAGCTATCTGAGTGTAATATTTCCTTGATCTTATCTTTAATCTCTCCTGTTCCATTTTCTGCTTAATTTTGTGTATTGATTATGTGTTATACTGTGTTTTTTTTTTAAATTTGATTTGTTGAACTTTTGTTTTGTTTCACAATCTCAGATTACTTGCTGAATTTTTCATTTATAACTTTGGCTTTCTTATCCAGGTCTTGAATTGATTTCCTTGCTTCATTTCTTTGTTTGATTTTTCTTTGAGGTCACTGATCATTTATAAAAGTACACTTTTGAATTCTTCGGCATTTCAGCTATTTGAGTATCTTTGGATTCAGTTACTGAGGTATTATGAACTTTTGGAGGAATCACATTTCCTTTTTCATCTGACTTGCTTTCTATGCTCTGATTTGCACATCTGCTAAGTTGGATATCTCTTTTACTGCCACTCAGAGGAGAGGAAGCAGATAGTGGTAACAAATCAAGAATTCAAAAACAAACCAGATATTTAAGTGTAGAAAAAAACAATTGGAAAACATCAACTATTTCCCCAATAAGTTTGCAAGGGAAATGGACTAGAACATTTATAGTATAATCTAGGAGTTAAAAAAAAAATAGAGCTGTAGGTATTAATAATTAGATAATAAAAAGAAAGAAGAATGGGAGAATGAAAAGTGAAGAAGCAGGCTATGGATGAGGAGAAAGTACATGTTATGAAGGTATTAGAAATAATTGTGAGGGAACATAGTAAAATATGTAGAGAGAAAGATGAAACAGAAAAGAAGATAAAGACACAACAGTAATGATTGCAATAAAAAGTAAATTATTCCTTCATTGTTGAGGGGAAGGGTGGCTTCCCCTCCACCACCCCAAAGCAGGTTCCTTTTCTTTTTTTATTAAGTCTGAACAGGTAAGGCCAGAGAGAGTTGTCTGGTTTAGGAATTTAACTCAGTAGCAGAGCATTCACCCAGTACCTGCAAGACTCTGAGCCAGAACTCTAGCACAGCACATAGAAGTACATGCTACCTTCAAGTCTCCCTCCTGGCTCCCAGGGGCTGGTGACTCCTAGCTCACTACCTACTGGTGTAAACACTGAGCTTGCTCCCCACCCTACCTGTGGTGACCTCCTGTCATCCAGGCCCCTTCCAACTCACAGGTTGCACTGTTCAGTCTGGACAATTCACATGTCACTGACACTGCACCAACTTCCAAATTGCTTCCCATTCAACTCACATTAGGTGCTGTCCTGGCAGTCACTCTTTATACAGGATTCCTGTATCACTCTGGATCATGTGATTTCCCAACTGGCCCCTACTCAACGTGCACCAGAACTCACCTAAGGCTAGTGGCTGAGCTATGCCAGTAATCCCTGCCTGTGCCAAATTAAAAAAAAAAAAAGTATAATAGGGTTAGTACTGCAGTGATACAAAATCAAGGAAATTGTATGGACAAGTGATTTCTCTGGTGCAAATTATATGTAATTTTTTAATCAAAAATGAAATAAACATCAAACATAAACATTGATATATTAGTCCTTACTTGCTTTCTGTTTAGAGAAGTTTCATTCATAGCTGTGATCAATTTTTTAAAAATAGGACATTATCTTGTTTCCCCCAGGGAGTATATTACCAAATTGGCGATGTTGTTTCTGTGATTGATGAACAAGATGGAAAGCCCTACTATGCTCAGATCAGGGGTTTTATACAGGACCAGTATTGTGAGAAGAGTGCAGCACTAACGTGGCTCATTCCCACTCTCTCTAGCCCCAGAGACCAGTTTGATCCTGCATCTTATATCATAGGTGAGTTTGACAAGTGACACAGGTCACTTGAGCTTGTTAAGCCTTCAATATTATGTAAAAGAATATATTAGTCTGTTTGGGCTGCCATGACAGACTGGGTGGTTTAGACAATAGACATTTAAGCTTGTTAAGCCTTCAATATTATGTAAAAGAATATATTAGTCTGTTTGGGCTGCCATGACAGACTGGGTGGTTTAGACAATAGGCATTTATTATCATCTCATGTGGTTCTGGAGCCTGAAACTCTGAGATCAAAGAGCTGTGGGGATTAGTGTGTAGTGAGGCCTGGCTCACTGGCCTACAGAGGGTCATCTTATTGTTGTATTCTCACATGGCCTTTTCTCTGCATGTGCACATGGAGAGAGCTTTCTGGGTCCCTTCCTATAAGGACACCCATCCCATCAAATAAGAAGCCCACCCTAATTATCTTTCTGACAGTTTCATCTCCAGCACTATCGCATAGGGGATTAGGCCACCAACAGATGAGTGCTTAGGGTGGGGGACTATTATAGGATAATTCAATCCATAACAAAAAAGGTATAAACATCATTAAATACAAAAAACATAGAGAGCTTTGTAGAAAATATGAGAGACACTTTAGTTAGCTGGAGTTTGAATGAGATCAGTTATTTTGGCTAGAGTAATTTGTACTTACTAAAAAGTGATGTGGACAAGATTTTTCTTGAGTGACCCAGAGTTAAACTGTATAAAAAAAGTTATTCAGGAACTAGATTATTTAGGTTACCTTTACAAATCTATTTAAAAAAATGATTTCTAAAAGAACTGTCCCATTTACTTCTAAAAAATCTTACAAATTCTCAGTATGCATCATTCTGCGTGCCACCGATGTCATCCTAGACCTTTCACCATTGATGGTTGAAGTGGCAGCCACTGACTTTTGATCATTGGTACCACAGGTACAAATAGTTCTTGACATAGACTCACAAGAATTTACTGATTAATAAATACACTTTTGAAAGTGTTCAGTTTCCTTTTTTTTTTTTCTCCAGTGCTGGGGATTGAACCCAGAGTCTTGCATGCTAGGCAAATGCTCTACCATGCATCCCCATCTTCAGTTTTCTTTCTGTAAGGAGTGTGCATTAGTTTTTCATCCTTTGGGGAAAAAAAAGCAAAAATTTTTTAGGGAGAACTCCAAAGACATACAATATCCCACTGTTATTTTCTCCCGCATGGCAAATTTTGATACATGACCAAATTGTTCTTCTCTTTTGCTTATAAGTAGAGAGGACAGTGGACTTTCATTTACCTTAACTGTGGGACAGGATCCCAGCAGAAGCCATGATGTGTTAGAATCACTTTGAGCCTCCTCTCCCACCTATGCTTTCTGTGGTACTCTCCTGCCCTAAAAGAGGCAGCATAGTGTGAAGGTCAGAGAATAAGCTCGGGAGCCAGATTGCTGGGTTGACAGCCTGCCACTTACCTACTGTGTAACTTGGGCAAATGCCCTACTCTCTCTTGCCTCACCAACACAGTATAGTGGCAATAGTAATACTGCCCACATCATAGGGTTGTTGTGAGGATTCACAATTGTGATACATATAAAGTACTTGGAACTGTGCAGGCACATAATAAACTCTGGTGTTTAGTATTTTCAGAATCCTTTCTCAGTCGAGTCATTGTTTAGGGAGGAATGCCATATTCCAGTAGAAAAAATAATGTAGAGTAACTTCAGAACAGTGCATGTTTGAAGGCTAACCCCAGAATGTTTCCTCTTAGTGTCTAAGAATATTAAAATTTTATGGAAGTGATATATATTTTTTCATTATCTGCCTTCTAGGGCCAGAGGAAGACCTTCCAAGGAAGATGGAATACTTGGAATTTGTTTGTCATGCACCTTCTGAGTATTTTAAGTCAAGGTCATCACCATTTCCCACAGTCCCCACCAGACCAGAAAAGGGCTACATCTGGACTCATGTAGGACCTACTCCTGCAATAACTATTAAGGAAACAGTTACCAACCACTTGTAGTTACAAAACTAAAACTGGAACTGGGAATGTAGTTCAGTGGTAGAGCCCTTACCTAGCACGCATGGTTACCTGGGTTCAATCCCCAGTATCGCCATCCTGAAAAAAATATAGAACTGGGTTTTCAGTTTTTTTAATTCATACTACCATGAGAAATGCCAAGTCTTATGAAATTTTTACATGGAAAAATGACTAAAACATTTTTCCCTACTACCCAGTAATTATTAACTTGTTTATTATTCATTGCTTAGAAAATTATAAAGGATAGAGAAGAATGAAATGTATTTAAAGGTAAATGATGTTATATTCTGCATGTATGTCTTAACAGGCAAAGGCTGAAATTTCCAGGAGACTGTTAAGAATATGTAATATCAATTTTTCTTCATAATTTATTTCTAAAAACAAAATGGATTGTATTTTTATACAAGTACAAAATATTAAATTTCAGATTTCTGATCAAGGGCTTAATCAAATTAAATGTAACTATGACCAGCAATATCTATCAAAAGCCACACAGCTTTATTTCCTTATCTAGAAAATGCTATGACATTTCTGGCTGCTTTAACCCCAAGGAAAGCAATTGGTGGATGATTTTATTAGCCCAGACTTCTTAAAAAAAAAACTTTCATATGATTCTTGTGTAGCAAACAGGCATTCAGTTGCTCTCAATAGAGCTTCTCTCACCTCTCTCCATGAGACTGAGGCTTCCAGCCAAACCACTGATTTGCAGTGCAGACATCACCCTCCAGAGCACACAGGAGACTGCTGCTCAGGCATCCCCACGAGAGAGTTTCCCAACTACTGGCAAACGGCAACTGGCAGTCAAAGGTGACTGATCTAGACCATTAGCTTTGATAGTTAGAAAAGTCCACCCAAAGTTAAACCATATGCTCTGGACTCCTATTAACATGCTTTGGACTGGGAAGGCCTGTTCTCTGTGCTTCAAGTGCAGATTGGTCCCTGAGGGAGCAGAATGGTGAAAAGGAGAGAGAAGTGGGTCAGCATACACTTGCCTTCTCTGTCCTGACTTAACCAGCAGTTTGCAACCTTAGGAGAACTTACGAGAATATGATTTGATCATAATGACTTTCACTGAAGCACCTTCAACTCTTACCCTTTTTCTTCACAATTACACAGTGCTATGCAGTTGGAAAGAGGCTCTGTATATACGGTCATCTCTCTGTTTACAAAAGCTACAGTAAAATTGAATGTAAATACCATTTAAATAATTTTCTAAATGCTAATGTTTAAAACTTTTGGATTAAAATGTATTTTTCACAGTGTATTTACTTTGGATTTAAGTTAAATAGTTTAAATGGGACTTTCTAGCCAGGTGCCAGTGGCCCATGCCTATAATGCTAGCTACTTGGGAGACTTTGATCAAGAGGATTACAGGTGGAGGCTAGCTAAGGAGAATAGTTCACATGACCCCATCTCCAAAATAACCAGAGCAAAATGGACTGGAGGCGTGGCTCAAGAGGTAGAGCACTGCTTTGCAAGCGTGAATCCCTGAGTTCATACCCTAGTCTCACACACACAAGAAAGTTTTCTTTCCAAGAATGTTATGAAATAGAAAAACTAGAATTGTAGTACTCAGAATTTGGAGTGGGCAAGATTCATCATCAATAAGTAATTTCAGGAAAATCAAATGAACATTGATACATTTATTAAAATGAGGGCATTTGAAAAACGTTTATACTCTGACCATTTAGAAATTGGCAGAGACCTGTGTAGTCTTCACTTCCCTCTTCAACCAACCACAGTGACTTCCACTGTTGACAGGGCTGATCTCTTCTGTTATCTCCAGCCCTAATGCGGCCCTAGCCTGCATTCCCAGTCTGCTCTCCCTCTTCTTGCCATTGAACTGTTGCTCCTGTAGATCCACCTCATTTTTCTGGTGCTGAGCCCCGTTTATACTGTGTCCTCCTATTCTACCAAAGGCCTTTTAAAGACCTTTAATTTTTTTTTTCTTCTACTGCACACTAAGCAAGCATTCCTACCACCAAGCTACACTTCCAGCCCAAGGCCTTTAAATTCTCATGTCTTCTTGAAATTAATCTTATTATCTGGTTGCATTTCAGTTTCAACTTCCATCATCCCACCCAGAGGATGATGAATGTGATGAATAAGTTTTATTTACTTATCTTTGCAATTTCCACAGCACCTAACTCAGGTCCTCACTTATGGTGGATGATTAATACAGAGCCCAACCTGTATACTGTCAACTAAAATACTGGTTGATATTTTAGCTAATGTTAGTTCATACTAACTTAGTTTTAAGTTCACATTTTATTGTGAACAGAATTTCACATTGTTATAGTTTGTATTAGTATTAGAGTGTTTAAGCCCTTAAAACATTTCTTTTGGTGATGATGGAGTTTGAACTCAGGGCCTCATGCTTGCTAGGCAGGTGTCTACCAGTTGAGCCACTGGGAGCCCTTTTTTTGTGTTGGGTATTTTCAAAGTAGGGTCTCAAGAACTATTTGCCCAGCAGGCCTTGAATAGCTATCCTCCTTATCTCTGCCTCCCAAGTAACCCAGATTACAGGCATAAGTCACCAGTGTTCAACTTGTTTAAGACTTTAAACAGGATTTTTTTTTTTTTGTGGGACTGGAGTTTGAACTTAGGGTTTTATGCTTGCAAAGCAAGTGTTCTATCACTTGAGCCACACCACCAGGCCATTTTGCTCTGATTATTTTGGAGATGGGGGTCTCACAAACTATTGGCCAGGACTGGCCTTGAACCGTGATCCTCCTGATCTCAGCCTCCCAAGGAGCTAGGACTGTAGGTGTGATCTGCTGGCACCCAGCATTAACAAGATTTTTAAAGATGAGCTTTAAATGGTTCTCTTACACAAATATTAACATGAGTATTTGAGAAAATGATCACAAACCATCCAGGTTCTTGAAAGACTTACAGAACTTGAATAAGTTTTCCATCAAGAAGTTTGAGTTAGAGTGCCTGGCTACTAAGTGTGAGGCCCTGAGTTCAAAGTCCAATGCCACCAAAAAAAAAAAAAGTTTGAGTCACAAGCCATGTGCCAGCGGCTCATACCTATAATTCTAGCTACTTGGGAGGCAGAGATCAGGAGGATCAAGGTTTGAAGCCAGCCTGGCCAAACCGTTTGTGAGACCCTATCTTAAAAGTACCCAACATAAAAAATGGTTGACAGAGTGACTCAAGTTGTAAAGTACCTGCCTAGCAAACATGAGGTTGTGAGTTCAAACCCAAGTACTGCATGAAAACAAAAATAAGAAATATGGTTAAATATGGCACATTTTCTGTTATTTTAACATAATAGATTTCAGCCGGACATTGGTGGGTGGCTGAGCTCAGGAGGATTGCAGTTCAAGGCCTGCCCTAGATTGCAGTTCAAGACCCCCACCTCCAAAATAACCAGAGTAAAATGGACTTGGAGGTGTGGCTAAAGTGTGGAGGTGTGGCACCTGCTTTGCAAGTGTAAAGCCCTGAGTTTAACCCCAGTACCACAAAAAAAAAAAAAAAGGTATCTAGGAGTTAAAGTCAACATCATAACCAACTGGAAATAGAGGATAAGGGGAAGGATGAACTAAGGAAGATGTGTTAATTTTATGGAAGATGAAAAAATAGTGGCAGCTTTCCAGGTGGAGCTCTCCAGGTGAGGCACTGTGTGTTTTGTTTTGTAATGAGAGGTCAATGACATGATTCTTGACATTAGTATCCATTAGGTAACTGAAATGTGGTGTGAGGGGGCAGGAGATGAAAAACAATAATAAAACTGCCCGCAGTGTATTTTGTCTCCTCATCTAATGTTTTATGGGACAAACTGCTTGAGTCAGGTAGCTGGCTGGGCAGCCATGCTATCTGTGGTCCCAGGCTCTGACTCATGCCAAACTTAAAGCCCATCCAAGCCCGCACAGTCACAGCTTCCTTTCTCAATGTTAGGCCTGTGCACAAATATCCCAAGCCCAGAAATAGTGCTTACCAGGTCTTGTGTCCTGGATTGTGGACATTTAGGGAAAGGTTTTAGGAATACAGAAAAGTGGCAAATCTACTATTGCTTCCGCCAGCTTCATCTGCAAGAAAGTCAGTGAAGTGGGAGTCGTGGGACAAAACAGAGGCCACAGCAAAGGCCTTTCCCACAGCATACCAGCAAATCCTGCCAGCACCCCCAGGCAGGGCCACTGGTGCAGGGTTAGGCCAGGGAGCAATCCGGCATGTTAACGCCCTGAGCAGCAGAAAGAGTTCAGGTCAGGCTTTTTGTCAGTTTGTCTGGTTTTGCAGTACTGAGGTTTAAAACCAGGGCTTGAAGCATGCTAAGTAAGCACTCTACCACTTGAACCACATCTGTAGCCCTTTTGGTTTTTTATTTTTGTTTTACAGACAAGGTCTTGCCACTTTGCCTGGACTGGCCTTGTACTTGAGACCCTTCTGCCTCCCTTTCCTGAGTAGCTGCAGCTTTTACAATTCAAACTGATTTTTAATTATATTTGTTCTAATTAAAAAAAAAGTCAGTGTTTGTTAAAATATTAGATTTTGTTTTAGTTTTCTTTTCTTTCTGTCAAAATAAAATCAGGATTGGGAGTGTGGCCCAGTGGTAGAGCATGCTCAAAGCCTGGATTGAATTCCTAGCAACACATAGCAAATGGGAAAAAAACTAGTTTATTGTGCATATGAAAGAACAGCCTAAGGCCAGGTGCCCAGCTAATTGGGAGTTGGAGATGGGAGGACCGACAGCCCTGGCACAAAGTGAGCCCCCCCCCCATCTCAACTGAGCATTGCGGTGCACACCTGTTATCCCAGCTATGCTAGAAGCATAAGTAGGAGAATCACATACAGGCTGGCCCCGGCAGAACTCTCGAGACCCTCTCTGAAAAATAACCTAAGGCAAAAAGTGCTGGGGGCATGGCTCAAGTGGTTGAGCACCTGTCTAGCAACTTAGGAGGCCCTGAATTCAAACCCCAGTTCTGCCAAAAATTAAAAATAGTTTGAGTGGAGACTTGTGTCATACCAGCTTCATAAAGGATAAAGGAGGGAGGATTTTGACCTTTCTCATACATGATTGACTTATAAATTAACATTCTTTTAAAGGCAAAGCAGAGCTGTCTAAACCAACTTGTTTGTAGCTGGTGAGTTTAATTTCACTGTAGAGTTTATATTCTGTGTTTCTTTTTTATTTGAGCAAGCATTTGTGAAGTCAGGTTGACTTAAGTTTTGATTACAAGGTTGGCCTTGAAATATATTTAAACTGTGGCTTCCATTTTAATTTTTTTCTTTAACACTCCTTCTTATTTATTCCAAAGAAGGTATCTCAATCTCAGTTGATAAATAAGCATGACTCACAAATAGTTATTGTTTATTTATTGAGTGAATTCTAGTGCCAGGTCACGTTTTAGGTTTCTATAGAAATAACAGCCAAGAACCCAGCTCCCTAAGTTTGCAATATACCAAAGAGACAACTGGATATGGTAAAAAATAAGAAAAAGGTTAAACCCAGCAAATCAGTCATCTGTGCTCCACTGTGTGTTCTCTTAATCAGGCTCTTAACAGATGACTATCAGGTTAGAAATTGTTAATATTGACCAGGGAAGTTAACAAAGGATGAGACCATCACTCAATATCCTGAAATAAAATAAAGCTGAATTTATTCCTCAGTACAGTGAAGGGCAAGAAGTGTGGGTCAGGCCTAGGCTCCCAAGGCAGAGCAGATGGCTGATCTTACATAGGGATGTGGGGTAGGTGGAGGACTAGGGATAGGCAACCTTGGGAGGCATCAACAGGTGATGTCACCCCAGGTGGGGAATGATTTTGACTGTAAGAGGAGCACTGTTCAGGAGACTGAAACAAAGGGTTCACTCTGTCTCTGGCTTTAAAAAGTCTTGGAGTAGGACATTCAGGGCTGCTCTGTTAGCTCAGTGATTGCCATCAGGCAACCAGGATCAATGCTGTTTGCTATCATCAGTGGCCTGTGGTTTTTCACCCTCATTGTGCAAGATGGTTGGAGTATCTCCAGGAGTTGTGCCCTATTTCAGAAAGGAAGTCTGCCCTGAGACTCTGTCTACTCACTGTCCAGAACTATGTCATGTGACTGTAATGGAGAGCACGTGACTTATTCCCAGAGAGTATGGAAATGCAAGGTGCTCAGAATGGATGCTGAATTAGTCAACCTATGGAAACAGCAATATCAGGATACAAGAGGTAGATGATGCAGTAGAAACAGACTGATTTTACAGGGATGGAGTGAATCATGGAGTAGCAGAGTAGTGTGATAAGCGAGCTGGATGTGACTATCACAGCTGCCAGCAAAGCCAACATGTTCATTTACACTGTTTTTTACCCCACGGGGAGCTTTGGTGCTGCCTGATTGTTGTATCCTTAGGACCAAAATACACAGGCAAAGATCTTTATAAGTTTAAAAAGATTTCCCTTCAGTCAACAAAGGCCTGATTTGTTATCATAATATACAGTCACGGCCCCTGGCCCAATTCTCAGGCCTAGTTCAGAACAATGAACAAGCAAATAGATAGAGGGCCCTGCAATAACTTCATAAGTACTTGCCACGAATCTTCCCGCCAAAGGATCCAAGGCCACTCGCTAGGCCATTTGCCAGGTGACATTTGGGGATTATCAGAGAGCCAGTACCTATACTAACACTGATTCCTGGAGACTTAGAACTCCACTGTGACCCAGCCATCAGAGAATGTATTACTGCTGTATTGAGGGGGTGGCTCTGACAGTGGTGGAGAAGGGAAATCTTTTCTTTTCTTTGCTTTTCTCTCCTCTCCTCTCTTCCCCTCCCCTCCCATCCCCTCCTCTTCCCCCCTCTCCCCTCCCCTCCCCTCCTCTCCTCCCCTCTCTTCTTTCTCTCTCTGTCCCACTGTGTACCCATGCTAGCCTTAAACTCCCAATCTTCATCAGTCTCCCAAGTGCTGGTATTACAGGTGCATACCCATGCCTAGCCTGTACCTAGTGACCCACAAAACCTTCCACTTCTTATGATTCTGGATTTGCTTGTTGAGAATAACCAAAGAAGGAACACTTCTACCAAGGGAGCATGGCAATGACTCCAGTGGCTTAGAAGGGCAGAATTATGATGTTGGCTCAAGGAACTGATTATAATGAAGGGCTAGAGTTGCTGCTATACAATGAGGAATAGGAAAAGTGTAGATGGAACCTTGTGATAGACTTCTGTAACCTGAATCAGAAAGGCCTACCAATGGCTCAGAGGAAAAGAAGGTTCCAGGTCACCTCGCCTAGGAAAGGTTTCTTACTCACTGAAGTGCTGGCTGAAGTCACAGTAACATGGAACAAGTAATAGAAACAAGAGAAGAAAAAGACTACCATGGCCTCAGGAATGGCTGTGGCAGGGCAATGATCACTGCTTGCACATCTGCTACTACTGACTTGTGTGTTTATTTGTGTATTTTAATTTTCTCCTTTTTCCTTTCCCCTTACCGAATTACTGCATAGACACTAGATACATAGTTGAACTGATGGTAGCTGACTTCACAATTTGGTCCATAGGTTAAGGGGATATCAAGATAAAATCGTGGATTGGGAGAGGAAGACACATCATTCAAAAATCCTGGACTTGGAGCTGGATGTGGTTTACCAGGGGAGGCGATCACATTTCTGGCTGAAGGATAATTAAACTGATTTGAATTGTGTGTAAATTTCACATTTTATAGGGAGAGGAAAATAACATAAGACGAAAAGATAATTGGATTAGTAGATAACAGGATTTTTTTTCTAAAATAGTCAACAAATTGCAAAGCATAGAATTTGTCAAATGCTAGAAATACATGATAATGCCATCTATGAGTTCCAGTAAATTACCTTCTATTATCTTTCCTTCAAAAGAAAAATAGCTACTTCACTAGGTATTTAATATAGATTTAGAGGAAATAAAATATATAATCTGTTACAAATATCTCAATTTATTCTACAGTATTAATCTCAAGTAATCCTGTTTATAACATAATCACAGCATTTACCAATCTGTGATTTTATAGATAACCAAATTTATTAAATTAAAAAGAAATTTACAGACACCAATTTCAGTGTTACAATGTAAGGGACAAGCCAGACACAGACACACACACACACACACACACACACACCCCACTCCAGAAAGTCAGAAGTACATTTTATGCTAAAGTTACTTTCTGTCCAGGTCGAAACACTGTTCCACTTTGATTTTTTCTCTTCTTTGGATTTTGAAAGTTTTCATACCTTAAAAAAGTAAGAGAGATAGTATTTTAATAGTTGCAAAACAAAAAATGATTGTTTGCAAACAATTATATTTTAAGAAATGAAAAGAAAATAAATAATAAGCTAGACAAAATTTTTGTATGAATTAAATAATTTTTCAAAGTTGTACTCTAATAGAAAAAAGGAGCAAAGGGAATGAAAAGACAAGTTTGAAAAGATATAATACAAAAGGTAATGAATAATATAAAAATGGTTTTAATCAGAGAAAGGCCAATTACTAAACAAGATATAATTTTTCTGCAATCAAATCGGCCAAGGTTAGTGAACACTGTGACACTCAGGTTAGCGAGGGTGCTACTGAAAGACTCGCTGTACAATATTTCTAGAAGGCAATTTGGCTATATTTCAAAAGCATTAAAAAACGTGAGTATGCCAGGTGCCAGTGGCTCACACCTGTAATCCTAGCTACTCAGAGGCAGAGATTGGGAGGATCTCGTTTCAAAGCCAGCCTGGGCAAACAGTTTGTGTGAGACCCTATCTCAAAAAAGCTCCTCACAAAAAAAGGGTTGGTGGAGTGGCTCAAGGTGTAGACCTTAAGTTCAAGCTCCAGAACCATTAAAAAAAAAAATAAAAAAATGAGTACCCTGTAAGGCAACAATTCTACCTCCATCCTAGTGAAATAATTAGGGGTATGTGCTAACAGCTACAAAAATGTGCATTACCATACTGCTGCTAGTAGTGAAAGCCTGGGAACAACACCAAATGTCAATGAATTGGATATTATGGTACAGCTATACTATAAAATGACAAAAACAACAAAGTAGTAACCTTCTTAAATGTTCAAGTTGTATGGATGGCTAAAAGGGAGACAGCTATATAGCAATATGTGTGGAGTGTTCTTATCACAGTAAGAAAAATGTAAAAGCATACAAACTATATGAAATTAAGGAAAATGTCATTCTTTATTGTTCTTTATCTTTGTTTTTTGACTTTTCTACGGTAAGGACACATTGCTGATGTATGCACTCATACATGCCTCAAAGTACTGCAAAATTAGAGTTGAAATATTTATTGAGAGACCAGGAATAAATATTTATTGAATTATGTCAAATCACTCATAAGGAATGGTTGACAGTTCATTGTTCTCAGCCTCACAGGTAGCCACAGAGTCAATTACAAGAAGTCTAACTTGTATGGATTGCTAAAAGGGGGCAGCTATATAACAATATGAACAGAGTTTCTTTTCTTTCTTTTTTTTTTTTTTCAGTTCTGGGGCTTGAACTCAGGGCCTTCTCCTTGAGCCACTCTACCAGCCCTTTTTTTGACAGGTTTTCTTGAGATAGGATCTCCTGAACTATTTGCCTGACCTGCCTTTGAACTGTGATCCTTCTGATCTCTGCCTCCTGAGTAGCTAGGAATACAGGTGTGAGCCACAGGTGCCTGGCTCAGTGTTTTTTATCATAGTAAGAAAAAATATAAAAGTGTACAAGCCATGTGTACTAAACATGGTCCACAAATAAAAAATATGAATATAAATGTTCTTGAGATCGATAAAACTTAAATTATTTTAAAAACTGGAGGTGTGGTTCAAGTGGTAAAGTGCCTGCTATACAAGTGTAAAGCCCTGAGTTCATACTCCAGTACTGCAAAAAAAGAAAAAAAAAAAATTATTTTGAAGTCAAACAGGTATTTACTTTTTTTTTAAATAAATCTTGCAAATCATACAACCAGAATCATTTAGGAGCTATTGATTTTCCTATTTTTCAAAGTTTCTAAAATTAAATTAGTTGATGATAAACAATGCAATATGATCAAATTAATTAGTTAATTAAAATTCAATTTTGACTTCGGCACTCCTCAAGTTTCTGGGTTAAATACAGAGCTATTACCTATTTTTATTTATTTGCTTGTTTGTTTTATGGTGGTGCTGGGGATGGAACCCAGGGCCTCATGCATGCTAAGCATACACTCTGCCACTGGCCCAACACCCCCAGTCCAACCACATAAGTCTTTTGAATTAATTTCTTAAAATATTTAAAAATACTATTTTTTATTTTAAATATAAACTTTTAAAGTTTAAGTGAATGATGATGCACCTGTAATAAGCCTGTACGTCCACAAGAAGTCGTTACTTACAGTTCAGCAAAATTCTTCCAGTCATCTTCACTAATGGACGGTCTTGTATGACTGAGTGCAGTCATTAAATGTGACTGACTAATAGCAAGACTGGTCTTGACTGGTCCTGGTTGGGGAAGGGATTCATCCTCCTTAAACAAAAGACAGATTAACAAAACGTTAACTTAGGAATAGTTTTTACAGAGGACCATACACTCCCTTTCTTAGCACTAAAATGGTTTGGAAGCAAGAAGTTCATACCATTTGACAACTTGGTATGTTTTAATACCTTGTTTATAAATATAGCTCACTTACAAGTCAAAAGAATATATATCAAAAAGAGAAACGATTTTTAAAAAGTTTTTTGGGGGTGGAACTGGGGTTGAACTCAGGAGCTCATGCTTGCCAGGCAGGCCCTCTACCTCTTGTGCCATGCTCCCAGGCCTTTTTTGTTTTAGTTGTTTTTGTTTTTCAGATACAGTCCCATGTTTTTGCTGGGAGATGGCTCTGAACTGTGATCCTCCTATCTATGCCTCCCGCATAGGGAAGATTACAGGAACACACTACTACATACAGCAAAAAAAAGAAAGTTTTAACAATTATACTGAGAAGGAAAAAAAGCCATACTCCACTTTGGCTTCGATATCTGCCTTTGATAATACTGATCTCTGCCCTCAGTTGATCTCGTTGCTCTTGTGTAAGTTCTTGGTAACCTTCTTGTGAAGCTGCCCTGAACAATGGAGGTTGTGAAAACAACTGTTCTTTCCCAGGAAGTCCAGGCAAATCCTGAGTCATGGAGCTTGGTGCAGAGAGACACTGTGAGCTCTGCATGTAGGTATGGTAGTGGAAGAAGGAAGAAAGAACAAGGAGGGGAGCAAGAGAGAAAAAAAATCATGTGCTTACTAAAGACAAAAACATAAAATTTTAAGTAATAAACCTTAACACAGATTAAGTTCACATTTCAATTCACTGAAATTAAGCAAGCCTGAAAGATGTTGGCATTCTATAAAATCAAAGTTCACTGATATTTATCTTATAGAGTCACCATTAAATCAAAACTGCCATAACACAGGGACTTTTTTTTTCTGCTTTGTTACTCAAATCCACAATATCAATGGCCAATGATAGGTTCCAAATGAGCCTTACTCTTAGTTTTTGGCAAACACTTACAGGAAGGTTCTAGGACATTTCTAGAAAGAAGTTAAGAAACAGAAAACACAATTAAAGACTAGATTTTAAAAAATACTATACATATGAACAAACAAATGAGCAACTTTTATACTATTAAAAAATCTGGAATAAGCAACAACAACAAAAAGACACGTAGCAAAGAGGGCGGGGCGCCCTGAGCACCAAAGGGGGGGGCAAGCAATTTCTCATTGAACTGTAAATAAACAAGCCACCGGAGAAGGCAGAAGTGGGGGCGCACGCCCAGCAACCAGGAGCAGGAAAGCTTGTAAAAGTGGTGTTGGGAGGAAAACTCCACAGGAGAGGGGGGAAGACCCACTTCACACGTGAACTGTAAATAAACACGCAGGCCTGAGAAGCGGTGCAGGTGTCACCTCCCCCAATGTCTTTGGAAAGGGGAAACTTTGGTAGCAGAGGCTCTAGCACAGGAGAACTCTGAGTAAACAAAGCCTGCAGGGCCAGGTGAGTGCTAAGCTCACCCCAGAGATCTGCATAAATAACGCCGCCAGCTACAGGCTGAGAGCAGCAAGCAGGCAAGCCACAGTTGCAGATACCACTCTCAGAACTGTCTCCAGACGCTTTTTTTTTCTTTCTTTCTCTCTTCCTTTGATGAGAAAACAACCGAACTACACCTGCATGCTGAAAAAACTTACTGAAACTGTATTGGCATTGAACTTGGGACACTTTTGGTGTTTTTTGTGTGTGTGTTTTTTTTTTTTTTTTTTTTGTTTTTCCTTTGATGACAAAGACAGAACATTCTGAGACACCATCTCCAGGGATTGGAGGCTGAGGGAAACAATGCACAAAATTATTAAAAAATTGACTTTGAAAAATTTTGCATATTTGAACTTGGATTTTCTCTCTTCTGTCTCTCTAATGCCTGTTAGCTTACTGTTGATTAGTACACTATCTCTCCCTGTTATATCTTTGAAACTTTTTGTTTTTGTTTTTTTTCTTGTTTGTTTTTCCCTTTTTCTTTACCTTCTTTGCTTTCCCTCTCCTCTCACCTTCCATTCTAAATTCACCATTGTTATTATTACAAGTAGAAAATACTTAATTGCCACAGTACAGGGACAGTAACAACACCAAAGCAATGATGGGAAGACAGAAAAAACAGGGAAACCAGTTTCCCCACAGCAAAAAATTAGTACAGGAACCAGAGGGAAATGAAAAAACAGATACTCAGACCCAGACTCCAACAAAATGAAGATAAACTATGCCAAAGAACCCAATGAAGCCACAAGAATAATTTAAAAGAAGAATACTACAGGTACTCAATGAGAATTTTATAGAATGATACTGGATATGGTCAACCAAAATGTACAGGAGACACTCAAGAAATTCCAAGACAACAAAAATAGAGAATTTGAAAAAGCAAAAGAAGAAATAAAGGAAACCATAGAAGCACTGTAAACACCAAAGTGAAAGAGAACATGATTAATAAAGAGATAAATGAACTCAGGAAAAAATAGAAACATTAAAGAGGAAAGACCCAGGATATGGAAAACCTCAGAAAAAAGAATGAAACAGAACTGCAAAACAAAACGGAAGGCCAATCCAGCAGAATAGAACAAACAGAAGACAGAATCTCAGAACTCGAAGATGAAATGGTAATTAAAGGAAAAACTGAAGAACTATTAATTAAACAACTCAAGACCTGTGAAAAGAAAATGCAAGAACTCACTGACTCCATCAAAAGACCAAACTGAGAATCATGGGCATGAAGAAGGAGAAGAGGTGCAAGCGAAAGGGAATGCGTAATATATTCAACAAAATAATAACAGAAAATTTCCCAAATCTAGAGAAAGATATTCCCATACAGATGCAAGAGGCCTCCAGACACCAAACAGACCAGATCAAAATAGAACTACCCCACGACATATCATCATTAAAACAACAAGTTCAGAAACTAGGAAAGAATATTGAAGGCTGTAAGAGAGAAAAACAAGTAACATACAAAGGTAAACCCATCAAAATCACAGCAGACTTCTCAACAGAAACATTAAAAGCAAGAAGAGCTTGGGGTGAGATCTTCCGGGCACTGAATGAAAATAACTTCAACCCAGGATACTCTACCCAGCAAAACTATCATTCAAAATAGATGGAGCAATAAAAGTCTTCCATGATAAGCAGAAACTAAAACAATAGTGACCACAAAGCCACCACTACAAAAGATTCTTCAAGGGATTCTGCACACAGAAAGTGAAACCCAACTTAACCATGAAAGCAGGCAGCACCAAACTACAGGAAAAGAAAAAGCAAGAAGTAGAGAGTAACCTCACTTAGGTACACACAATCAAACCTTCAAACAACTAAGACAACTAAATGACAGGAATCACCACATACCTATCAGTACTAACACTTAATGTTAATGGACTTAATTCACCCATCAAAAGGCACCGTTTGAGAAATGGATTAAAAAGGAAGATCCAACAATTTGTTGTTTACAGGAGACCCATCTCACTGACAGAAATAAGCATAGGCTTAGGATGAAAGGCTGGAAGAAGATTTACCAAGCCAATGGCCCCCGAAAACAGGCAGGAGTAGCAATACTTATCTCTGACAAAGTAGACTTCAAACCTACATTGATCAAATGAGATAAAGAAGGACATTCCATACTAATAAAAGGGGAAATAGACCAAAAGGAAATAATAATCATCAACCTGTATGCACCCAATGTCAACGCACCCAATTTCATCAAACATACCCTGAAAGACCTAAAAGCATATATTAATGCCAACACAGTGGTTGTGGGAGACTTTAACACCCCATTATCATCAATAGATAGGTCATCCAAACAAAAAATCAATAAAGAAATCCAGATCTAAAATATACAATAGATCAAATGGACCTAGTTGATGTCTACAGAACATTTCATCCAACTTCTACACAATATACATTCTTCTCAGCAGCCCATGGAACCTTCTCCAAAATAGATCATATCCTAGGCACAAAGCAAGCCTCAGCAAATATAAGAAAAAGAAATTATACCATGCATCTATCTGATCACAATGCAGTAAAACTAGAACTCAACAACAAAAGTAAAGGCAAAAAACATGCAAACAGCTGGAAACTGAATAACTCATTCCTTAATTAAATATGGGTCATTGATGAAATAAAAGAGAAAATTAAAAAGTTCCTGGAAGTCAATGAAAATGAAAACAAAACCTACGGAACCTATGGGACACAGAAAGGCAGTCCTGAGAGGAAAGTTTATAGCCATGAGTGCATATATTAAAAAACTGAAAGATCCCAAATCAATGACCTAATGATACATCTCAAACTCCTAGAAAAACAAGAACAAGCAAATCCCAAAACAAATAGAAGGAGAGAAATAATAAAAATAAGAGCTGAAATCAATGAAATAGAAACCAAAAAAAACAAACAAAGAATTAATGAAACAAAAAGTTGGTTCTTTGAAAAAATAAACAAGATCGACAGACCCCTGGCAAACCTGACTAAAATGAGGAGAGAAAAAACCCAAATTAGTAGAATCAGGAATGCAAAAGGGGAGATAACAACAAACACCATGGAAGTCCAGGAAATCATCAGAGACTACTTTGAGAACCTATATTCAAATAAATTTGAAAATCTTAAAGAAATGGACAGATTTCTAGATACATATGATCATCCAAAACTGAACCAAGAGGAAATTAATCACCTGAATAGATCTATAACACAAAATGAAATTGAAGCAGCAATCAAGAGTCTCAAAAAGAAAAGTCCAGGACCTGATGGATTCTCTGCTGAATTCTATCAGACCTTTAAAGAACTGATACCAACCCTCCTTAAACTGTTCCATGAAATAGAAAGGGAAGGAAAACTGCCAACACATTTTATGAAGCCAGTATTACACTTATCCCAAAACCAGGCAAAGACACCTCCAAAAAGGAGAACTATAGGCCAATCTCCTTAATGAACATTGATGCAAAATCCTCAAAAATAATGGCAAACGAATTCAACATCAAAAAGATTATTCACCACGACCAAGTAGGCTTCATCCCAGGAATGCAGGGGTGGTTCAACATACGAAAATCAATAAATGTAATAAACCACATTAACAGAAGCAAAGACAAAAACCACTTGATCATCTCAATAGATGCAGAAAAAGCCTTTGATAAGATCCAACACCATTTCATGATAAAAGCTCTAAGAAAACTAGGAATAGAAGGAAAGTACCTCAACATTATAAAAGCTATATATGACAAACCTACAGCCAGCATTATACTTAATGGAGAAAAACTGAAACCATTCCCTCTAAAATCAGGAACCAGACAAGGATGCCCACTATCTCCACTCCTATTCAACATAGTACTGGAATTCCTAGCCAGAGCAATTAGGCAAGAAGAAGGAATAAAAGGAATACAAATAGGTAAAGAAACTGTCAAAATATCCCTATTTGCAGACGACATGATCCTATACCTTAAAGACCCAAAAAACTCTACTCAGAAGCTCCTAGACATCATCAATAGCTATAGCAAGGTAGCAGGATATAAAATCAACATAGAAAAATCATTAGCATTTCTATACACTAACAATGAGCAAACGGAAAAAGAATGTATGAAAACAATTCCATTTACAATAGCCTCAAAAAAAATCAAATACCTAGGTGTAAACCTAACAAAAGATGTGAAAGACCTCTACAAGGAAAACTATACACTTCTGAAGAAAGAGATTGAGGAAGACTATAGAAAGTGGAGAGATCTCCCATGCTCATGGATTGGTAGAATCAACATAGTAAAAATGTCTATACTCCCAAAAGTAATCTACATGTTTAATGCAATTCCCATCAAAATTCCAATGACATTCATTAAAGAGATTGAAAAATCTACTGTTAAATTTATATGGAAACACAAGAGGCCACGAATAGCCAAGGCAATACTCAGTCAAAAGAACAATGCAGGAGGTATCACAATACCTGACTTCAAACTATATTACAAAGCAATAAAATAAAAACAGCATGGTACTGGCACAAAAACAGACATGAAGACCAGTGGAACAGAATAGAGGACCAGATATGAAGCCACACAACTATAACCAACTTATCTTTGACAAAGGAGCTAAAAATATACGATGGAGAAATAGCAGCCTCTTCAACAAAAACTGCTGGGAAAACTGGTTAGCAGTCTGCAAAAAACTGAAACTAGATCCATGTATATCACCCTATACCAAGATTAACTCAAAATGGATCAAGGATCTTAATATCAGACCCCAAACTCTAAAGTTGATACAAGAAAGAGTAGGAAATACTCTGGAGTTAGTAGGTATAGGTAAGAACTTTCTCAATGAAACCCCAGCAGCACAGCAACTAAGAGATAGCATAGATAAATGGGACCTCATAAAACTAAAAAGCTTCTGTTCATCAAAAGAAATGGTCTCTAAACTGAAGAGAACACCCACAGAGTGGGAGAAAATATTTGCCAACTATACATCAGACAAAGGACTGATAACCAGAATATACAGGGAACTTAAAAAACTAAATTCTCCCAAAACTAATGAACCAATAAAGAAATGGGCAAGTGAACTAAACAGAACTTTCTCAAAAGAAGAAATTCAAATGGCCAAAAACACATGAAAAAATGCTCACCATCTCTAGCAATAAAGGAAATGCAAATTAAAACCACACTAAGATTCCACCTCACCCCTGTTAGAATAGCCATCATCAGCAACACCACCAACAACAGGTGTTGGCGAGGATGCGGGGAAAAAGGAACCCTCTTACACTGTTGGTGGGAATGTAGACTAGTACAACCACTCTGGAAAAAAATTTGGAGGCTACTTAAAAAGCTGGACATCGATCTACCATTTGATCCAGCAATACCACTCTTGGGGATATACCCAAAAGACTGTTACTCCAGAGGCACCTGCACATCCATGTTTATTGCGGCACTATTCACAATAGCCAAGTTATGGAAACAGCCAAGATGCCCCAGCACTGACGAATGGATTAAGAAAATGTGGTATCTATACACAATGGAATTTTATGCAGCCATGAAGAAGAACGAAATGTTATCATTCGCTGGTAAATGGATGGAATTGGAGAACATCATTCTGAGTGAGGTTAGCCTGGCCCAAAAGACCAAAAATCGTATGTTCTCCCTCATATGTGGACATTAGATCAAGGGCAAACACAACAAGGGGATTGGACTATGAGCACATGATAAAAGCGAGAGCACACAAGGGAGGGGTGAGGATAGGTAAGACACCAAAAAAACTAGCTAGCATTTGTTGCCCTTAATGCAGAGAAACTAAAGCAGATACCTTAAAGCAACTGAGGCCAATAGGAAAAGGAGACCAGGAACTAGAGAAAAGGTTAGATGAAAAAGAATTAACCTAGAAGGTAACACCCACGCACAGGAAATCAATGTGAGTCAATGCCCTGTATAGCTATCCTTATCTCAACCAGCAAAACCCCTTGTTCCTTCCTATTATTGCTTATACTCTCTCTACAACAAAATTAGAGATAAGGGCAAAATAGTTTCTGCTGGGTATTGAGGGGGGGAGCGGGAGGGGGTGGAGTGGGTGGTAAGGGAGGGGGTGGGGTTCAGGGGGGAGAAATAAACCAAGCCTTGTATGCACATATGAATAATAAAAGAAAAATGAAAAAAAAAATCATTAGCATTTCTATACATTAATAATGAACAAACTGAAAAAGAATACATGAAAAGAATTCTATTTACAATAGCCTCAAAAAAAATCAAATAACCTAGGTGTAAACTTAACTAAAGATGTGAACGACCTCTACAAGGAAAACTATAAACTTCTGAAGAAAGAGATTGAGGAAGACTATAGAAAGTGGAGAGATCTCCCATGCTCATGGATTGGTAGAATCAACATAGTAAAAATGTCCATACTCCCAAAAGTAATCTACATGTTTAATGCAATTCCCATCAAAATTCCAATGACATTCATTAAAGACATTGAAAAATCTACTGTTAAATTTATATGGAAACACAAGAGGCCACAAATAGCCAAGGCAATACTCAGTCAAAAGAACAATGCTGGAGGTATCACGATACCTGACTTCAAACTATATTACAAAGCAATAACAATAAAAACAGCATGGTACTGGCAAAAAAACAGACATGAAGACCAGTGGAAGAGAATAGAGGACCCGGATATGAAGCCACACAACTATAACCAACTTGTCTTTGACAAAGGCACTAAAAATATACAATGGAGAAAAGACAGCCTCTTCAGCAAAAACTGCTGGGAAAACTGGTTAGCAGTCTGCAAAAAATTGAAACTAGATCCATGTTTATTACTCTATACTGATATTAACTCAAAATGGATGAAGGATCTTAACATCAGATCACAAACTCTAAAGTTGATACAGGAAAGAGTAGGAAATACTCTGGAGTTAGTAGGTATAGGCAAGAACTTTCTCAATGGAACCCCAGCAGCACAGCAACTAAGAGATAGCATAGATAAATGGGACTTCATAAAACTAAAAAGCTTCTGCTCAACAAAAGAAATGGTCTCTAAACTGAAGAGAACACCCACAGAGTGGGACAAAATATTTGCCAGCTACACATTAGACAAAGGACTGATAACCAGAATATATAGGGAACTTGAAAAACTAAATTCTCCCAAAATTAATGAACCAATAAAGAAATGGGCAAGTGAACTAAACAGAACTTTCTCAAAAGAAGAAATTCAAATGGCCAAAAAACACATGTAAAAATGCTCTAGCCATAAAGGAAATGTAAATTAAATCCACACTAAGATTCCACCTCACCCCTGTTAGAATAGCCATCATTAGCGACACCACTAACAACAGGTGTTGGCGAGCATGTGGGGAAAGGAACCCTCTTACACTGCTGGTGGGAATGCAAACTAGTACAACCACTCTGGAAAAAAATGTGAAGGCTTCTTAAAAATCTAAACATAGATCTACCATATGATCCAGCAATACCACTCTTGGGGATATACCCAAAAGACTGTGACACAGGTTACTCCAGAGGCACTTGCACACCCATGTTTATTGCAGGACTATTCACAATAGCCAAGTTATGGAAACAGCCAAGATGCCCCACTACTGACGAATGGATTAAGAAAATGTGGTACTTATATACAATGGAATTTTATGCAGCCATGAAGAAGAATGAAATGTTATCATTTGCAAGTAAATGTATGGAACTAGAGAACATCATTCTGAGTGAGGTTAGCCTGGCCCTATAGATCAAAAATCGTATGTTCTCCCTCATATGCGGACATTAGATCAAGCGCAAACAAAACAAGGGGATTGGACTTTGAGCACATGATAAAGTGAGAGCACACAAGGGAGGTATGAGGATAGGTAAGACACCCAAAAAACTAGATAGCATTTGTTGTCCTCAATGCACAGAAACTAAAGCAGATACTTTAAAGCAACTGAGGCCAATAGTAGAAGGGAACCAGGAACTAGAGAAAAGGTTAGTTCAAGAAGAATTAACTTAGAAGGTAACATACATGTACAGGAAAGCAATGCGCGTCAGCTCCCTGTATAGCTATCCTTATCTCAACCAGCAAAAACCCTGGTCCTTCCTATTATTGTTTATACTTTCTCTTCAACAAAATTAGAGATAAGGGCAGAATAGTTTCTGCCAGGTAGCGATGGATAAGGGAGGGGGTGCGGGGAAGCGGGGAGAAATGACCCAAATATTGTATGCACATATGAATAAAATAAAAATTAAAAAAAAATCTGAATAAACTCAATGTACCCAAAAAAGTAACTAAATATATGTAAAAATGTTATGTGTACCAAAAAGTAACAGTGAGCCATTATTAATTTGGGGGGGGATATATGTTGAATGCTATTTTAATTAGGTACAAAAACAATAAAACTGCCCACATTTAATCTAAATATTTTCATCTTGATTCATTATTAGTACTTTCACTGTGCTTTTATTTTCAAAGGAAAGAATCACAAACAGATATCATTTTTGTTGTCAGGAATTTTTTTTTGCTGTACTGGGGGTTTGAATTCAGGGACTTTACCTTGAACTACCAGCCCTATTTTTGTGATGAGTGTTTCCGAGATAGAGTCTTGTGCACTATTTGCTCAGGCTGGCTTTGAACTGCCATACTCCTGATCTCTGCCTCCTGAGTAGCTAGAATTACAGGTTTGAGCTCCTGGTGCCTGGCTTTGTTGTTAAGAATTTTTGACATTACTATATCAAATTTCTCATTATCCTCATTTGTTCTACTATAATAAAATTTGTATTTATATTTGTATTTATAAAATGGATAAAACCTAAAGAGATTTTAAGACCTTTTTAGTTAAAAACCACTAATAAGGAGAGATAAGCTGAAAAGAAACCAAAGGGTAAGTAATCACATCTACTTAGCTGCTTGGATTTCCCTTACTCCCAGCCCTGTTTTCAGAAGGAACAAAAATCGCTAATTAGTGTAAATAAAAATACAACACCATTTTTACTGAAGAACAACCAACCAGAAAGAATATGTGGGGCAGATCAGGAGATAAACCACTGTTCAATTTTACACCAACACACAAGCTGTGTATTTCTGAACTGTATGATGATAAATGTGCTAGATACCAAATCAGAAGAGGTTCCATTTCCAAGTTCTGATTCATAAGAGCTTCCAAAGTAGAGCCGGTACATATTAAATTTTGACTCATCTGGAAGGATCTCAGACATCTCTAGAGAAACAAGGGACTGGTCTAAGCCATATTCTCCATCTCCAGCTGAGTCATCAGAACCACTGCTGTGGTTGAGAAAGACCATTGAAGACAGACTTAGGTCACTATCAGAGCTGGAACTTCGATCCTAAAACACACAAAAGGAGAATCAGTTCTAAGATCTAAATCATTCACAACTCAAAAATGAGTAACATAGACAGCATTCTAATAGAACCATACAAGGAACTCAGGCATTTTCAATGAGCTCTTGCTGTTTCTTTAATGGTTATAAGGCAGATAATAAAATTTCAACTATTAAAATAAGGCAAGATAGGATGGAATGTGTAGATAGCTTGCCAACCATCCTCCCAAAAAGTCTATAACAAAGCTAGGATTCAGACCTGGGTTTTACTTTTTATGTCCTTGCCTGTCCATTCACATTTTCTATACCAAAATGATAAATAAACCATGTTATAGAGTATATATGTAGAAATACATATTTGTAAATCACTTCATTATAAGAAAGGGGAATTAAAAAAAGAAGAAAGAAAGTCAGGGCTGGGGATGGAGCTCAGTGGTAAAGTATTTGCCTAGCATGTGCCAGGCCCTGGGTTCAATCTTAGTACTGCCAAAAACAAACAAACAAACAACACCACCAACAACAACCCCCACCCCCAAAACAAAACAAAAAGCTCCCACTTCAAAGGCTTGCCAAAATAAGCAGTGGAAACTTGAGACCATCTGTATCTAATTTAAGAACTTTGATCCTGCAAAAATCTCCAACAAAAAGTGAGGGAGAAGAATATATAGAAAAACTTCCTAGTAAAGCCTGTGATGTACAAATAATCTACTATAGCAATTAAAAACAAAATACTATACTTAGAGAAAAGGCTGATTCTAGTGCTGGGTTACAGAAAGTGTAAGACAAAGAACATCTTGTATAGTAAGAAAGTGATCAAAGAATGAGGACATAAAACAAGGACACAGTTGTCATCCAAAAGAGGCTCAACTGGCCAGCTGATACAATTTAATCTTCAAAATAAAAAACAACCTTAATTGATTTAAAAAAAATTTTTAAAAAGAAAAGCCTCAGTTATTTTTCTACTTACAAGGACTCATATCCCAATTTAAAAAATATCCTTCTAAACACCAACATATTTTTGCCAATATAGGTAACGCTAAAGAAACAGATACTAAATTCTTCATAATTACAAATTCTCTGCTAACCCCCCCTTCTAATTATGGAACATTTAACTAAAGGTAAATTTAAATTTCTATACAATTTTAGGAAAGTTTCTTTATTATTTAAAGCTGAAAAATTGATACTGAACTGTTCTTTCTCTGATAGAACTTCACAGCAGCCTTCTGGCATAACTGACCTGGAGTCTGCTCAGGAGCAGCCTTCCGTGCAGAGCCTCCAGCTGGGCATTGTAGAGCAGGGCTTTCAGATCGGCTCCGGTGAAGGAGTTGGTCACAGTGGCCACGTGCGGAAGGTCCACATCATCTGCTAGAGGCAGAGTGTCACTGAGAACGCTTAAAATTTCAAAGCGTGCAGCCTGAAGGAAGAAGCAAAAAAAAAATAAAATGAATTATTATCTTAAACGGTGTATTTTGTTGTTTAAATAACTTACCTTTACATATCTAATGAGCTTTACAAGTTAGCTGAAAATGTACAAGTGTACTATGCATCTTCCTTGGAGCATTTTCCCTATCAGAAAAGACATAGTAGCATTCTAACTATTCAGTGTAAATACTTTCTTACTCAGACTGTGGTTATTTTTTAGATTTGAGCAAGTGTGCTAATAAGGGAAAATTAATTTAAATAATGGCTACATGTGACATATATTCTGATATTTTATACCTCTGACCATTTGTTATTTCATTCACTTATTAATTTCTAAATTTGAGGGCAAGAGCTGGCACAACACATAAATAGAACAGTTGAAAAATCCCATCTTTATGATTCTGACCTGATCCCATGCTTACTAATCAGATATGCTTGATTCTGTAGCAGAATTTTTTATAGGATAATAATGGTGTGAGACCTTGGAACACAGAGAACATGGACATGTAATACTTTAGGTTTCTTGACTTTTTTCCCAATTGGTCAACCCTGGAGGATTATAAAATTTTCACACTTGAATGAAAAACAAAAACAAAAAAAGATGCTCTGCATCTAACTCAGAATTTTTTTATGCTTTGAGCAAATGGTGACTAAGCGTTTGCCTAAGATAGCTGGTCTTCTAAAGCCATCACTATTACCTGGCAGAAGTAAAGTTCACATGAAAAGAGCGAAGCACTTGTTGGGTTTTGGACTCTAAATATGAAATGGTCACCTGATCAGGAGGAGGGCAGTATACACATTTATCTAGTCGGCCAGGCCTAAGCAGAGCGGGGTCAATCAAGTCAGGGCGACTAGTAGCAGCCAACACATAAACACCTGAGGGGAAAAATGACACTTCTTAAAAACTAAAATGTGGTGAAATTTTGTTATGCTAGTATACTTTTGTATTTACAGTGATTACCCTGTAAGCCTTCCACTCCATCCAACTGAGTCAGCAACTGGTTAACCACTCGGTCTGTAACTCCTGTATTGTCGTGACCTCTGCGAGGAGCAATGGATTCAAATTCATCAAAGAACAGAATGCAGGGCTTTGCCGCCTGTGCTCTGTGAAAAACAAGCATTTCAAACTTCTCATGTGAACAGGGCTTCAGAGCCTACAAATGGATTTCATATACATAGGTGATGTATATGGATACATATATGTATATATTTTTTGTATTTTAATTTTCTCGATAAACCCTTATGGAGGCAAGACATAGGTAGTTATCCTCATTTTCAATAAACTGAGTCTTAAGAGAGGTTAAGGCATTTGTCTACAGACCCCTGTCTTCTGGACAAATAAGGAACAAAAAACCCAGGTCTTAGGAAGTGAAATATTTCTTTGATTCCTACTTATTAGAGAACCATTTTAATATCTATTTTACATTTTTTCCTGATTTGAAGTTTGATTTTTTTGGGGGGGTGCAAAGGTTGAACCCAGGGCCTTCTGCATACTAAGTACATGCTCTACCACTAAGGTACAGACCCAGCACCACATTTTTAATTTTATTAATTTACTAAATAATTTTGTTTTGAGACATGTCTTGCTGTGTAGCCCAGGCTGGCCTCACGATTCTTCTGCCACAACCTTTCAAATGCTGGGATTACAAGTATGTGCCACCTCACCCATATCCTAATTTTGTTTCAATTCAAAAGATGAAAACATTAATTCCATCTCTGGCAACAGTAGACTAGATGTCTGGAGAATAGCCCCTAATACAAACACTTGACATGCTGACAAGAAAAACCAACAGATGCCTCATTAAATGCATGAAAGTAACATATTTTCTGGATCTAAAAATAGCCTGGAATTATCTGCTCCTTGAATGCGCAGCAAAACTCCCACCCGAGTCTGATTTGTGTAAAGATTTTTAAGCTAATCACTCAACTTTTTTCTACTAACAAGACTATTAACAATGAAATCCCCTTGTATTAATGTATAATTTGAAAATAAAATTTAAAAATAAAAAATACTATCAAGATTGTGTTTCTAATGGCTCACGTGTAATCCCAGCTACTTGGGAGGTAGAGCTAGGAGGATCATAGTTCAAGGCCAGCCCAGGCAAAAAGCTAGTGAGATCCCATCTCAAGGAACAAGCTACTCAATGGGAAGCAGTAGGAGGAGGATAGCTGCCCAATGCCAGCCAAGGAAAAAGCACGAGATCCTCCCTGAAAAAAACTAAAGCTTTTAGTTTAGCACCTGCACAGCAGGTACTCTTCTTGAGTACACCTCCAGCCCATTTTGCTCTGGTTATTTTGGGGGGAGATTCTTGAGAACTATTTGGTTGGGATGGCCTTTAACTGGAATCCTCCTGATCTCAGCCTCCCAAGCAGCTAGGATTACAGGCGTGAGCCACCAGCACTTGGCTAAGGATGCCATTTTTACGAATACTTCAAGAGAAGTAAATACAAAATCAAATAGCCTCCAAAATCTAACACTGAAAACCTTTTATGTTTAAGTAGTATTTGGTGAAATGGAGAATCCTTGTGCTTTCCTTTATTGATAATTGATATTAGTTCTTCAAAAAGCAAGACCAAGAAGCACTTACTGATAAATAATAATGAAGTCAGTTATTTTAAAACATTCATAAAGAACCAACCTAATAAAAATATCCCGAACAGCTTGCTCACTGGCTCCAATATATTTGCTGAGTAATTCTGGCCCCTATAAAATAAAATAAAATTAGAGTTGATATGAAATTACTTAAAAACAAAATATAACTCTGGTTTTTCTAAGTCTAAATGAATCACAGAAAAATGCCAATATGAACAAGTAAATGTCTATGAAATACATTTTACAAATTACTGTGCTGGAATAAGTATCATGAGTTCCCACCCTTGGGATTTCCTCTGCCAAGAACATTTATCCCCAGATCTTCTGATAGCTTATGGCTCTATTAAGTTGAGATTTCTGTCAAAATTCTACCTTTTCTGGAAAACTTGCCTGATGATGCCATCTGTGACCCCTTTGTGCCTCCTCACCCCGTCTTTCTCCTTACAATCTTCCTGGCAGATTATATATTGGATATGTCTATTTGCTTATTGTCTCTTTGCACTCGTAGATTACAAGGCTTCAAAATCACTTTTGCTCACTTGCTGAATCTCCAGTGCCAAAACAGTGCCCGCCATATGGTTCACTAAACCATTTGTTTAGTGAAGTGATGAAAGGTTTAAAAAGGAACAGAGTCTTATTTACCTCAAGTCTTTGGAGATGCCAAGAAAATCTGTAGAGACATGGCATCCTTTAATCAGTCTCTTCAATTACTGAAATGAATTTATTTGTATGGGAATTGAAAGTCAACTGAAAATACTTTCAAAACAAATGAATCTTTCCTTAAACCAAGATCGCTTTTTAAACTGAATAGTTACTAAAGAGACCTCCAGTGAAAAATCACTACCTGCAAAAGACCAAATATGTGACCTAATTAAAGAATGTCAAATACTTATCTATCTAGCCATCTACTAATAAACTAGTATTTAATTATATTTCCTCAATATGGTCGAGGATTAGAGGATAACACAAGAAATAACTGAAGCAAAATATTAGAAATGAGGGAAGACATGAGTGTCAGGGAGGGTATCTCCGATGTGTATTTGTAGGATCTGACTCGCCCAGAAATCTTACTGAAACCTTTGCAATAGACTACGATATATGATTCTTTTGCCTGAGAATCAAATCATTCTTTGGTAAACTAATATTGCTGAGATGCTGGAAGTACAGGATTAAGATACTAGACTCTAGAACATGGTGACACCCCAGGGGTAGACTGGGAGGCACCACTCTTAATCACCACACTTACTTTATACCTAAAAAAAAACTTGAGGTCTAGTGTGACACAAGCAGCCAACAAATAACAGAACAGTAAAAAAAACCCAAAAAATAAAAACACAGAAAACCCAGCTTCCTTGCTCAGTATAGTCTCCAACTTCCAGAGGTTTTCTTTTCCTTTAAGTTTAGTTTGCTCTTTTTAATATGAATTTTATACATATTCCTCTTCAGAGTGCATGAAGATATACCTTAAGCAAGAACATAAAAGCCATACGAGAGTTGGCTTATTACTCAACTTCTTACAGCTTTAATCTAATAAATGGATCAATCCTCCCTACGAGTTTTCCAAATATGAAGCTACCCGCAATCAAGAAACATAAATGGTATTGGCAAGGCTGTAGAGAATTAGGAACTCCCACATATCTTTGATGGGGGATATAATAAAATGGTGCAGTTGTTGTGAAAAAAGAGTTTGGTGGTTCCTCAAAAAGTTAACATGTGAATTACCGTATTACACAACAATTCTACAACTCGTTCCATAGCAAGAGAAATGAAAACATATGTCCATACAGAAATTTGTACATGAATATTTATAGCATGTTATTGATAAAACCCAAATGGTGGAAATAACCAAATGTTTATCAATGATAATGAATGGATAGGTATGTAATGGGATGTTATTCAGTCATGAAGTAGAATGAAATATTGATACATGCTACAACATGGATAAAGCACAAAAACATACAAAGTGAAAGAAGATAGAGAAAAAATGTCACATGTTGCCTGACTCCTTTCATAGGATATACACAGAACAGGCAAATCCAGAGATAAAAAGCAGATTAATGACTGCCAGGAAACAGTAGAAAAGGAAATGGGATGAAAAAGTTTTGAAACTAGAGGAAGGGGTGTTTCCACAGCTTTGTAAACACAATAAACACTGATGAACTGTACACTATAAAAAGGCTAATTGTATGTTATGCAAATTTTAACTTAATTAAAAAGAAAGATAAGTGTACACATACCTTGATACTAATAAAATTCATTCCACTCTCTCGTGCAACTACTCCAGCTAGTAAGGTCTTTCCTGTTCCAGGAGGACCATACAATAGTATTCCCGTTCTCTGACGTATGGGCAAATTTGCAAATAATTCTGGGTACTACAAAATAATAAAAATATGGCAAAGAGTTCAAATCTGGACAGAAATGACTAAGCCACAGCTAAAGATCAACATAAAGAAAAAAGTACTCAGATGTTGACGACTGCCACCACAGTGTAGAAAAAAAATCCGACTAAAACAACTAGTGAACTCAAAGAACTACTAGATTTTCTCCCACTGGATCATGGGCTATATTTCATGTAACATGTACATAACTGCAGCAGAATTCTTTCCATTTTTACTGTTGCTCCCCCCTGCCTCCTGGTTATTAGGGACTGAAATCAAGGACTTGTTCACTCTAGGCAAGTGCTCTATGGAGCTACACCTTCACTTTTTGTTTTTTTTTTTTAAGCATTTAGGAGTACTACATTAAGAAAACAAAAACCAAAAGGCCATTCTTTTAGCAAGTACACTTCTACCTGTATGGTTCACGGATGATTTAAGTTATGATACTTGTGTATATTCAAATATGCAATCAAAGAAATAATAGAGAAACCATGTGAAATTAGTAAAATCTCCTAAGAGTCTCTAGGCTAAACAACTGTTGACTGCTTCTCAATTACCTTCTGAGTCAACAGCTGCTCAGAGAGCAAAAACCTTTTGAAGTGAGCCAAACACTGAAGTGACTCAAATGTCAGGCTTCTGTCAGCAATATCCTAGTCTCCTCTATTAGGTATGTGCATTTAATTCCACCTGTTGAGAAATTCCAGTCTGACTTCTGCCTGCATTTTAACCTGAAAGAGGCTTTGGGTATTAATGCCTGGAGCCCAGCCAGACCTAGGTTTGGGGTCATGAAGCTGCTGGCTGGTACTTCCATGCCCACATTCTCTCACACACGCTTTAATACACAGTCCTGTGCCACACTCAACCTGTCCCACTCCCTGACAGCAACCATTGCCAGGAAGTACCGCCCAGCTATAGGCAATCCTGGGTCTGTCCTCATTTATTTCTTTGCTCGGGTCCCTGATCTCATGCAATGATTCTCATTTCTCAGGTCTCCGATTCAAATATACTACATATTAGACTCCACTGTGTGAGCTTTTTAATAACAATCTACGTCAGCTCCCTTTCTCTTGCCATCTTCCTAGTTTATACTGCCTGCCAACTGTTCCTTTCTAGGACTGATACTCAAGAGTCTGGAAATCTGGTTTAATTCTACCAGTCCTATGATCTAGAGGACTCTTCCAACCTCCTAGACCATTCCTATCTATTTCTGTTTAAATCCCAACAGACAGTTCATTTTGTTTTAGTAAAATCTGAATGATTCAAGTAAAACAGAATTATGAAATTCATACTTCATGTAATTACTATAAATATAACCTGATCTTTCCTTATAAGTTTCTGGTGAGCAAGTTGTGTATCAAATACTTAGAAACATAAATCTGTTAAAGTAACTGACATTTATTTGATAACTAAATACTTAGTCAAACTGAGGTTGGGCAAGCCAACACATAAAGTCAAAGCCAATAAGTCAAGGTTTCTTCTGGGTACTTGGTGTTTTTGTTTGTTTGTTTTTTAAGGTACCTTGGCTGGTAATTGGATAGTATCCATGAGTATCTGCCGAACTTCATGTAATCCACCAATCTTATTCCAGCCCAGGTCTCTAGGTTTATGCAGGTTGACATTTCTCAGAGATGCAGGAATAAATCCTTGGAGAGCCTTCTGGAAGTCCAATGTTGTTAAAAATAATTCTGTTTCAAAATAAATAAAACCTCTTTTGGGTCCTATTTCAATATGTGAATTTTTAAAATATGTAATCTCCTTTGCTAGAAATGATAATTTTCTATTCAGATAAAAACTTATTCAAATACTAAAATGAAATATATTTAATTCTTACCTTACTACAATTACACTTCTCCACCACAGAAAGAGGACTCCCAGGTTCTATAGGAAAACATACCTTCCCTGGCGGATATACACTGATGAGAGAGACGAGAATGTATGGCTCGATCCACAAGCACTGTAAAATCTCTAGCCACAAACCCTTCAGTTTCTTTAGCTATACGTTGCAGGTCAAGATTAGTAAACTTGTTTATATCACAGTTCAGTTTATTTTTTATTACATTATGCAGAATTTCGCATCTTTGTTCCTAAAGAAAAAACACAAAATTCAAGTTACAAATTTTATTCAATTGTATATTTTAGTACAGTCATATGTCACTTAACAATGAAGGTAAATTCTGAGAAAAGCCTCACTAGGCAATTTCCTCACTGTGTGAACACTGTAAGAATCCACTAATACAAACCTAGATAGTACATCTACCATACACCTGAGCTGTGTGGGATGGCCTAAAGCTCTGCCAGACTTGCTCTGCTAACTGCTCTCGCCAGATTTCTTCTGGCAAGTAATTTCTCTCCAAAATCAGCTTGTGTAGTTTCTACATGCTTTCCAGCTGCCTTCACATCAGATTTACCTACTAGTTTCATACTGTGTAATGAATAACTCTTGAGTCATTTAAACCACAGCTAACAGTAAATTCAACATCATGGTTGGGTCTAGCCTTTTCTTTTAGCATCACAAATACAGTCTGCTTTGTCCATAATCATGGTTTTAAGAAGGGTATACTTTTGTGTCTGGTCTTTAATTCCGGAACTAGAAGTTTCTCCATATCTGATGCAAATCCTTTTGTAGTTTTTGTTAGTCTGAGGCCTTTCAATGAAGCAATTCCTTTAACAACTTTGTTCTTATTCTTTAAGATTGTAGCTGCGATGGAGTAAGACATGCCTGATGGGTAAGCAATAACCATCACTGATTTTCCAGGTCCTTTATCACACTTAATTTCAATTCCAGGTCAATCACTTGATATGGCCACTTCCTGGTAACAATGGTAGTGAATATTTGTATGCTTATAGGCCATGATGAACAGAACAACATGCCATTAAGTCAAGAGCAAGAGAAAATGATACAACCAAGAGATGCGGTAAACCTGAGATTATGAGGCACACTGTTTTATAGTAAACTTTAAAAATCAATGGAAGAGGTAAATTCTAAAACAATGATAAAAAGAATAGTACAATAAATATATAAACCAGCAACATAGTCATTTATTATCATTTTTAAATATTACATACTGGGCATAAGGGCTGGAATTGCAGCTCAAATGGCAACATGCTTACCTAGCAAGCACAAAGCCCTGAGTTCAAACCCCAGTACCACCAAAACAAATAAACAACATTCTGTGATAATTGTATGTACTCCATTTTTATATGATTGCCTGTTTACACCAACACCACCATGAACTCTTGGGTAACTCATACAGGATATTGTGATGAAGTCACTATGTGACTCCATCATAATCTTTTGAGCCACTTATGTGGCTCATCACTGACTGAAGTGCCATCACGTGTGCCTGCCTAGCAAGCCTAGCATGCATGAGGCCCTAAGTTCAAGCCCCAATACTGCCAAAAAAAAAAAGAAAAGAAAAAAAAATGCCATTATGTAATATATAACTACATGTTTGTGGAGAAAAATCAGTTGGTATAATTTATAGTGAAAGAAAGCAGATTAGTGATTGCGTGGGCATGAACTGCAAAAGGTACTAGGAAACTAGTGGGAGTGATGGAAATATTTCTTACCTTAAGTGTGGCAATGGTTTCATAGTGCATACATATGCTAAAACTGATTAACTTGTACACTTTAAATGTATGACTTTGTTGTACTTTAAGTATACATCAAAAGTTGTTTAAAAAGTCACACTGATAAATGATTGCCATTGCTTTCTCTAATAAGAAGCATTTGTATTAATGTATGGCTCCCTTTCTTCAAGCTGGGAGTGGTAGCTCAAAAGTAACCCTAGCTACTTGGGAGATGGAAATTAGAAGGATCGATCACGGTTTGAGGCCAGCCCAGGCAAAAAGTTCACAAGACCCCATCTCAAAACCAACAATTTGGCACAGTGGTGAGCCCCATCATCCCCAGCTAAGTGGGGAAGCACAAATGCACAAACAAGAGGGTCAACAGTCCAGATGGTTCCAAGCATAAAGCAACCAACACAGTGGCTCAAGTGGTAGATGTCTGCCTAGCAAGCATGAGGCCTTGGGTTCAAACCCCCAGTACCACCAGAGTGTTCTTTTCATTCCTAAAAAATTTATTTCTAAAAACATACTCAAAATAAAATAAAAAAAAAAAAACATACTCAATGACCAGTATCACTACCATTCTGTTATCCTCCCCCCCACCTCTTTTTTATTTTTTTCTTTTTTTTGTTTTATTCATGTGCATACAATGTTTGGGTCATTTCTCCCCCCTTCCCCTTGTCCCCTCCCTCTTCCCCCCACCCCCTCGCTACCAGGCAGAAACTATTTTGCCCTTATCTCTAATTTTGTTGAAGAGAGAGTATAAGCAATAATAGGAAGGAACAAGGGTTTTTGCTAGTTGAAATAAGGATAGCTATACAGGGAGTTGACATGCATTGATTTCCTGTGCATGTGTGTTACCTTCTAAATTAATTCTTCTCGAACTAATCTTTTCTCTAGTTCCTGGTTCCCTTCTCCTATTGGCCTCTGTCGCTTTAAAGCATCTGCATTAGTTTCTCTGTATTGAGGGCAACAAATGCTATCTAGTTTTTTGGGTGTCTTACCTATCCTCATACCTCCCTTGTGTGCTTTTGCTTTATCATGTGATCAAAGTCCAATCCCCTTGTTGTGTTTGCCCTTGATCTAATGTCTGCATATGAGGGAGAACATATGATTTTTGGTCTTTTGGGCCAGGCTAACCTCACTCAGAATGATGCTCTCCAGTTCCATCCATTTACTTGCGAATGATAACATTTCATTTTTCTTCATGGCTGCATAAAATTCCATTGTATATAAATACCACATTTTCTTAATTCATTCATCAGTAGTGGGGCATTTTGGCTGTTTCCATAACTTGGCTATTGTGAATAGTGCTGCAATAAACATGGATGTGCAGGTGCCTCTGGAGTAACTTGTGTCACAGTCTTTTGGGTATATCCCCAAGAGTGGTATTGCTGGATCATATGGTAGATCTATGTTTAGATTTTTAAGTAGCCTCCACATTTTTTTCCAGAGTGGTTGTACTAGTTTGCATTCCCACCAACAGTGTAAAAGGGTTCCTTTTTCCCCACATCCTCGCCAACACCTGTTGTTGGTGGTGTTGCTAATGATGGCTATTCTAACAGGGGTGAGGTGGAATCTTATGTGGTTTTAATTTGCATTTCCTTTATTGCTAGGGATGGTGAGCATTTTTTCATGTGTTTTTTGGTCATTTGAATTTCTTCTTTTGAGAAAGTTTTGTTTAGTTCACTTGTCCTTTTCTTTATTGGTTCATTAATTTTGGGAGAATTTAGTTTTTTGAGTTCCCTATATATTCTGGTTATCAGTCCTTTGTCTAATGTGTAGCTGGCAAATATTTTGTCCCACTCTGTGGGTGTTCTCTTCAGTTTAGAGACCATTTCTTTTGTTGAGCAGAAGCTTTTTGGTTTTATGAAATCCCATTTATCTATGCTATCTCTTAGTTGCTGAGCTGCTGGGGTTCCATTAAGAAAGTCCTTGAGTATACCTATTAGTTCCAAAGTATTTCCTACTCTTTTCTGTACCAACTTTAGAGTTTGGGGTCTGATATTAATGTCCTTGATCCATTTTGAGTTAATATTGGTATAGGGTGATATACTTGGATCTAGTTTCAGTTTTTTGCAGACTGCTAATCAGTTTTCCCAGCAGTTTTTGTTGAAGAGGCTGCTATTTCTCTATCGTATATTTTTTGCACCTTGTCAAAGATAAGTTGGTTATAGTTGTGTGGCTTCATATCTGGGTCCTCTATTCTGTCCACTGGTCTTCATGTCTGTTTTTGTGCCAGTACCATGCTGTTTTTATTGCTATTGCTTTGTAATATAGTTTGAAGTCAGGTATCGTGATACCTCCAGCATTGTTCTTTTTACTGAGTATTGCCTTGGCTATTTGTGGCTTCTTGTGTTTCCAAATAAATTTCACGACAGATTTTTCAATCTCTTTGATGAATGTCATTGGGATTTTGACGGGAACTGCATTAAAAATGTAGATTGCTTTTGGGAGTATCGACATTTTTACTATGTTGATTCTACCAATCCATGAGCATGGGAGATCTCTCCACTTTCTATAGTCTTCCTCAATCTCTTTCTTCAGAAGTTTATAGTTTTCCCTGTGGAGGTCTTTCACATCTTTTGTTAGGTTTACACCTAGGTATTTGATTTTTTTGAGGCTATTGTAAATGGAATTGTTTTCATATATTCTTTCTCAGTTCATTATTAGTGTATAGAAATGCTAATGGTTTTTCTATGTTGATTTTATATCCTGCTACCTTGCTATAGCTATTGATGATGTCTAGAAGCTTCTGAGTAGAGTTTTTTGGGTCTTTAAGGTATAGGATCATGTCGTCTGCAAATAGGGATATTTTGGCAGTTTCTTTACCTATTTGTATTCCTTTTATTCCTTCTTCTTGCCGAATTGCTCTGGCTAGGAATTCCAGTACTGTGTTGAACAGGAGTGGGGAGAGTGCCTCCCTTGTCTTTGTTTATTTTTTGCTGTTGTGGTGGTGGTGTCAAACCCAGGGCCTCATGAAAGCTAGGCAGGTACACTTGTACTGAGATACATCCCCAGATTTCTGTTACACTTAACAGGTAAAATCCTTTTGTTCTTCAAAAAAAAAAAAACAAAACAGTTAAGTAACCTAAAGCCTGAATATTTGACACTAGATGAGACTTTTAAAGGAAAATTTAAAATATGATTGCCAGCCCCAGACCATACTTCTTTACATGGCCACTAAACCCCTTATAAGCATGTGTCCCCAAAGGGAACAGGTCATATGTGCTGGTAGGAAAAAAAAGTGTTTAATAAAAAAAATTTTTTGGGTGGTACTGACATTTGAACTCAGGACCTGATGCTTGCTAGGCAGGCGCTCTACCCCCTGAGCCACTCTGCTAGTCTGTAATGAAAATTTTAAAAGACTTCCATCCACATTTCCTACTGTTCTTTGTCATTCAGGAAAAAAATACTGTGTTTCAGAAACAACATTTACTTACAAAGTACTTGGTAACATTTCATTTCAGATGGTTATAAATTATAGCTTGTACACATAACACAGTATGTACAAGTTTTGCTTTTTAACTATCCTCAAGATCACTTACAAGCAATTATAAAAATATAAATCATTAATAAAACAAGGAATAATTTCTATCAAGGGGGACATATTTCAGTGGTCTTAAGTAGTATATTACCTGATTAGGAGGCTGAATGTGTTGGACACACTGAAAGATATGAATTCCTTGAGCAGAAATAAGCAAAGGATGGAGAGAATGTTGAAACTGGCTTGTGGCAATCAGTGCAACCAAACTTCCCATGGAAATAAAGTCTTTAATTATATCATTCAAAGCTAGAAATTAAGAAATATAGTGTAAAAGCTCGGGAAAAAAACAAGAAAATTTACAATTATATCTTACAATTATTAAAAAGAGTGATAATATTAGGCTTTAATGATAATATTAGGCTTTAAATTTTTAAAATTTTTAATTTTAAAAATTCATTCATTCATTCATTCATTCACTCACAGATTTATCGACAAAGGACCAAATATGGGCCAGGCTGTAATCAGTCTAATGGAGGTATGAGAAGTTCTGTAAACTCAGACTACATATTTAGAACAATGTCTAGTAAGGTTCCCTACTCCTGGATCTTATAAAGGAAGTGAGTGAATAAAAATAAAAAAGACATTTCTACAATTAATATTCTAGAAGGGTGATAGATTTCCATATTTTATTCTATTAATTAAAGCAAAATATAGCTCATATTTCTATCAATTCTTAAGCAATCTCTTTTTAACCCAATGTCTTGCAAGGTTTAATATGAGAAGGTCAAAGCTGAAATAGGTATTAGTGATGTAGATTTGAGTCCTGACCCAGAAATTTGCAGCCCTCCTTTAACCACTATACTAATAGACTCAGTGTTCGAATTCAATGTAAGACTGGTTAATGCTACTTTTACAGCAACTATAGAATTCAAAGGTTGAGATTAACACTAGTTAATAATAATGCAAGCCACACTTTGTGTCAATTTCAGCTCTCAAGAACCTTGAGGCAGTTCAATGTTGCCAGAACTTCCAGCCTCACCTCCCAGTCAGTTCTCTCCTTGCATTCTAAGGTCCAATCAGTGGCATATTCCCCAGCACACTATGGTTTCTTATACCTCCGTGCCTTCCCCTGTGAACTACATATATTTCCTTTGCTTCTTCATTAGCATGAAATTGCTTCATACTAATTTATCTTCCTCCATCAAAACTCAGCTCAGTTATCAACTTCTCCAAAAGTTTTCCTTGATAACACCTCACCCTCAATTTAGTTATATGCTCCTAGGGTATCATGCACATACTTCTAGTGTGGTATACTTTGCCACCTTCTAGTGCTCACCCTGGTCCAAACAGTTCATCTCTGAATTTCCACTTACTAACTTATAAAATCAGGAGAATACCTGCATGTAGAGTACAAAGCAACCCCTAGTCTAGAAAGGGCACTCAGTAGCCTCATTATTACTATCATTCTGCACTAAAATCATCTGTTTACTTTTAGTTGTATACAAGCATTTGACAAATATTTGCTAAACAAAAACAAGAGTAAATCTGTAAATTAATCAATTTCTAGAAAGTAAAGGAAAATGAAAAGGCCCCAAAAGACTAACCATGAGACTGCAGGATTTTCACACTGCTCTTCCTCTACCAAATTTATAAACACAGAACAACTGCAGAACCCTAACCGAGGCCTCAAAGGTAACATGTAACACAGCATATATACTCTTCTCTGAGGACAGTAGTAAACCATTAAGGCTAAACATGCTGACTGCCAAAAGTGAAAGCCCTGAAGTCAGTAGGGGATGCGTTACCATGTGCGAGCCGCTGGCTCTGCAGAGCATCAGGGCTGTGCTCATGCTCTGGGCCAGCAGGCAGTCCAGCAATGAGATCGAGGTCGTCCAGCAGAACAACAGATGGCTGCCTCCACACTGCCTCCGAGAAGGCTGACTCAAGGGTCTTCTGTATGCTTTCAAGCCTTTTTCCTTCACACAGATAATACGGCTTCAATGTTATTTCAGGGCTGGAAATTTCAGGCTACCCTTTTGGAAGCACTAGAAGAGCTCAATACTGATTTAACTATAATGTTTTATTAGTATACCAATCATAAAAATGTATTGACCACTGACACACTTCAATTATTATAATCTCAAAGGACTCAGTAAAGTGCCAAATTTTATCTCTAAGACAAGGAATATGCTATGATAATTCTGTATATATGTATTTATTTATATGGGGTGTCACTCCACAGAGAATTTCAGATGGTTTGCAATAAAATAGTAAACTAAAAATAGGATGTGGGAAACCATAAATGAGCATAAAGGGTCAAGATTCAAGTAAAACTGACAAATATAACACCTGGAGATCCTAGAGTTGCTTTATTTGAACCACAAATTTGGCTTCAAATTTGTTGGCAGGTTGCAAAGTTTTAATTTTCAAAGAACAGAAAGTAAAGAAATTCATAAGCCGATATGATTTCCTGTTACTTAGCTCTAACTTAAAGTTTTCTCACGAGGCTTCAAGCAGGACACAGAGAATAGGCAGTGCCACTAAAACCTCCTTTATAGCAATAAAGCAATGAGTTTTCAAAGGCTATTTCTTAGTTTCTCATTATATACCTGGCAAAAAATATAGACTAGTTGGAAATGTTTGGTAGCAGAAGCCAAGGGAAGAAAAGGAGCTGTTCAAAGTGAAAATCTTGTCAATCTCTTGTTTTAATTGAGTAGACAATACTGTGAATGCTAAAGACTTTTGAGAGAGCACACAGCGCTATGTGGCAAATTGAAATTCTTCACAGTGCTCTCCACAATTATCCACTTTCCCTCCCCCTGAGGCAGCAACTTGATCATTTCCCATAGCAATTCAGAGATAATTTATACCCATTTAGCATATATTCTAAATACTAATTTTCTCAGAGTGATATATGTTGCCATTTCCAGGAATGCAATCTACAAAGAGCTTTGGCTAGAAAGAAAAAAAAAATAAGCCTCCAGCAAATATAGTTTTAGAAATTTTATCAGAAACATTAGAAAGACTTAACATTTCTAAGGATTTTCAATGAGTGACACACAGAAAAGTTAAAAATTAGGTGATCTCTGTATCTATTAACTAATGGCACTAACAATAACATTTCTCTCTACTAGGAAAGGGATTTATATACTGTAGCCACATTCATACCTCGTAAAGCTTTACAGTCAACTATCTCCACGTGGGTGTCCAATATGTCAAATGTTTCTTTACAGACTGCTTTGGCTAAAGTTGATTTTCCACTTCCCTAGAAGATAATTACTTCATCAGAGCTCTCAATATATCTAACCAGAGAAATAGCTTCTGTCATCATGGCAACCTCCAAGATCCAGCCTCATCAGTCAGCAAGTACTCAGCAAAAGATTGCAGTGTGGGATTCTGGTGCTGCTGAAATATGGCTTTTCCTTTAAGCTGTTACTGTTCAAAGAGTTGGCTGTATCTTATGTTCATTACAGTAAATAGACTTAAACATCTAATTTATTTTTTATAACTTGCTAGTTAAAATGGATACTAATATTTAAATCAAATAAAAATTAAATCAATTAAAACATTTAATTAAAAAATTAAATCAATTAAAAACAGGTAATGTTTTATTATTCCTAGAAAGGACTAATATATGTAAAATAATTTTTCTAGATAAATGAAACATAGTCCCATTTAATTTCAATGATTTTTGTTGTTGTTTTGCTTTTGAAACAGTGTCTTACTATGATAGCCCAGGCTGGCTTTGAACCATGATCCTCCTGCCTCCACCTCCAGAGTGCTGGGATTACAGACATGATCTACCATGTCTGGCTCTTTCAATGACTTTTTAATGAAAAAAATGTATTATTCATTTCCCTGTTATCTTACATTAAATAATTTTAATTAGCACTCCGTTTCAAGGCACTATCACTAGCAATTAGTGTACTGTGCAACCTTCAAAGATGTTCATTTTGGTATGATGGACACAATTGTAACATCTGGGTTTGTTTGAGATGGGATCTTGCTATGCAGCCCAAGGTGACTTTAAACTCTCAATCCCCCAGCCTCAGTCTTCTGAGTAGCTGTGATTATAGGTATACTCTGTAGCACCTGGCTCTTTAGAAACTATTAAGGTAGACAGAATTGTACTTTTATTTTTATACTAAATGATTCCACTTGTTTTAATCCAATGTATACTTTTTTTTTAAAAAAAGCTTTGTTTTTTTCTTATTATAAAATAATATGTAAAAATGCAAAATAATTGTAAATAAAAGTAATCATTTCACCTTACAGAAGTAACTATTATCAGTTGTTTTGATATTTACCCTTCTCTACACATTCTATATTTTATATAAATTTATAAAGATAGGACTAAAATATTCATAATCTGAATAAATATTCAGATTCAGTTCTACAATCTGATTATGCTACTTAATAAGTCACTGTCTTCCTTCTTTCCATGTCACACACAGCTCCATTGCCTCCCTGGTACTTCAGCACTGTGTACACATTGACCATACTGTATTTAACAAGGGACTTACTGACCAACAATGCTTAACAAGTCTCTTCTAGTCTATATTCATGCTGCTTCCAATTTTTAACTATTATAAAGTCAAAACAAACCTCCACTTAAATATACTTACTGACTTGTCAGATTATACCTTCAGTATAAATTTTTAGAAATACTGTTGACATTAGAGGATACAATATACATATTTAAAATTTTGCTAGGCATTGCTGTGGTGTCCTCTGGCAAGGCTGAATTTGGTAGCTTTTTAATAGTTCTTTTCTCATCAGTTTCTTTCACCAATCTAGTTTTTTTTTTTTTTTTGCAGTGCTGGTGTTTGAACTCAGGGCTTCATGCTTGCTAGGCAGGTACTCTGCCATGAGCCACTCCCTCAGCCCTATTATTTTTTTCCACTGTCATTTGTCTAACTCCAATGGCTGTGAATCAGCTTTAGTATTTGTCCTGACTACTACACACCAGAAACATGCAAGATTGATATGTGAAGTCTGAACTTTTGGAGGCATTCAACAAATATGTACTATCATTAAAGTTTATAGAATTGCAATTATAATATTTAAAGTAGATGGGCTCTGAACAGTAAAGAAACTCTGTGGATGTTTGGTATCAGCCCAACTTGTCATCATCATTTTCCTAGTCAAAGGGCCTTTTCTCCAGCTGGGCACTAGTGGCTTCCACCTGTAATCCTAGTTACTCACGAGGCAGAGATCAGGAGGATCTCGGTTTGAAGCCAGCCCAGGAAAATAGTTCATGAGACCCTATCACGAAAAACCCTTCACAAAAACAGGGCTGGTGGAGTGGCTCAAGGTGAAAGATCCTGAGTTCAAGCCCCTGAGTTCAGGCCCTGAAAAAAAAAAAATAAATAAATAAATAAAGGGCCTTTTTTCTTGACTCAGTAATTCACACTTAAAGAGTACTTTTCAGTTGCACAGCTCTTTCATATCTATTTTCTCCCTTATGTGAGGTTAATCTTATGAACGCAGATAGGACTTTGAAACTTTAACTATTCAAGGCCACAATCAGTAAGTATTTGACAGAGGTGGAACTCAAATCTGGTCTCCTGCTTGTTGTTTTTATTAACCATACTACACCCAGGTAAAACTCTGGAAGTCTGGTATCTGAATCAGTAGGATATAGCAACTATGCAGTTGCTTTATTTATTTGTTTGTTTATTTATTTATTCATTCATTTATATAGGGGCTTGCTATGTAACACAGGCTGGCCTCAAACTTACCATCCCTCTGGTGGAGGGCTCACCTCTGTCTCTGCCTCCCAAGTGCTGGGATTATAGGCATGAAATACCACACCCAGCCTCAGTTGCTATATTTAAAATAAGAATTAGGAGAAACTGGGCTAGTAATAGGAAAAAGTTATTAAAATGCAGTGAGTAGTGAAATAGGGGTGAAGAAGTCTTAAAAATCTGAATTAAGAAAAGCACAAAGACTCACAAAAATCACACTATGGTCTTTGGATCTTGGAAACAACACAGCTTTGGTACAGAATACAGTAAGCCCCATTAAAAGGTCATGAGCCTTGAGCAAGATCATCAAAATTAAAAAAGAAAGAAGATGCCAATCACCAAAATTGGGAAATAGGCTATCAAAACAGATCCTGCAGCCAGGCCCTGGTGGCTCACACCTGTAATTCTAGCTATTGAGAAGGCAGAGATCAGGAGGATCATGGTTCAAAGTCAGCCCAGGCAAATAGTTCATAAGACCCTATCTTGAAAATATCCAACACCAAAAGGGGCTGGTCGAGTGGTTCAAGTGGTAAGAGTGCCTGCCTAGCAAGCACGAGACCCTGAGTTCAAACCCTACTGCCGCTAAAAAAAGAAAAAAAACCACAAAATCAAAAAAAAAAAAAAAAAAACAGATCCTGAAGGGATTCAACGATAATAAGAAAAAAGAACCTTACACTAGTAAATCTGACACTGTAGAACTATACCAGATCTTTAAAAACCACTAACTACTTGTCAACCAAGAGGAAGTAGACTACCTGAATAGTCCAATAACCATTAAAGAAACTGAATTTGCAACTAAAAGGTAATGATGAAGGAATCTCCAGGCCTGGATTGTTCCACTGGAGATTTTACTAAACATTTAAAGAAGAATTAACACCGATTTTGTATAATCACCCTTCCAAAAAAGACGAGCAAACACTTCCCAACACATTTTATGAGGCCAATAATACTGTAATAGCAAAACCACACAAAGATAGTACAAAATCAATAAACTTCAGACTAATCTCTCTCATAAACTTAGATATAAAAAAAGTCTCAGCAAAGCAATAGCAAATAGAACTCAGCAATGTATAAAGAATGATATACCACAAGCAGGTGGGATTTATTGTAGGGATACAAGGCTGGTTCAACATTCCAAAATCAATCAACACTATCAATAGCCTAAAAACCAAAACCATATAACCATTACCAGTTGACACAGAAAAAGAGCAGGGGAAAATTAGTCTCATTCATCTTTACTTCCCCAATATCCAATAGCAGGCACACAAAAGTATTATTGAGTGAATGACTGCTTTATCTCATATGAACAGCCCTTTATACACATAAGTAAAACCCAAAGAGAGTGGAATTAAAGTTATTAGTTAACAAAAAAAGAACACATTTTAAGTATGTACCTTTCCTCCAGTGAGTAAAAGGGCTCCATTCCTAAGTCCTGCAATAAGGGACATCAGCTGCCGAGACAAAGGGCGTCCCAGGAGGCTATGCGTGATATGCTCCATGCAGGACATGCCTAAAGAATTCACTCCTCTGCAAAATATTTAAGTTGTTACATGATAGAAGACTGAAGCAGGATAAAATCTAGCGAGTAAAAAAAAAAAATGCTGAAACTTTCCTTCCTGGTTTAATTAATGAATTTTAAAAGAGTAAAATCTTAGCATTCTCCTCTACTTGAAAGCAGGCATATTGATGGTGCTACATCTGATTCACAGCTTTCTAAATTAGTTTTTTACTTTCAAACATGTAACAGTTACTAACAGTTTTGCTCTAATAGGATTACTTAACAGAAGTAAACATTCCCTACCCTCAAATAATTTTTAGCATATAATCAATTAACTATAAATGGGTACTTCTGAAGTACTTAGAATAATAACATATTTCCTCATAAACACCATCTTTGAAATCTCGTTACAATCTATAGATTATATAAATATGAACTTTAAGCTGTTTCTTGACTTCTATCACAATTTCATTCATGTTAATAGAAATAATAGTAGCAAATTTACAAAATTAGAACCTAAAGGGACTATGTTAACACATACTGTGTTACATTTAAACATTTTGACTTTATGGCTTAATTCTTTTGTGAAAACACTGATAGATTATACAATAGTATAAAAGAAGTTATATCACTACTGCATTTACTAAAAGCCACTGTGAAGAATTTTAAGGGGTAATGTTTCTATGAGATTTTCATATTGCATACAAATAAAGAAATTATAAGGAGGTTCTTTTTGAGATGTTTGCCTAAAAAGTTAAGAAAACACAAAAAAATCCCAATTATTATAATAAGACAGTGAAGGAATAACTTAATTTGAAATATTTTTAAACATTCAAGTAATGTTTTGGATTTAAAATTTAAAATACATTTTTTATTCTAAGAATTATTGTTTTATTCAGGCCCATATAATCCAAGTGGTACCTAGGTGCTTTCTTCTCACAAAATCAATTCTCTTAGTAAAACTTATAATATGATCTCTAGTTATCGAAAAAGAAAGGCAAATTTCCAATCTATATGCGAAGATGGAGACAATCCTTGAGAAAGTACTACTATAGCATTAGTAAGCTCGTTCACTGACATTCACATCCAGTTCAATATTTACATAGAAATCCTGCACAGAAAATGTCAAACGTGTTTCCAAACATGCTAGTGTGCTACAACTTCTTACCCCAAAGAGTTCAGCTTTAAAAAAGGAAGAGTAAAGTCAATTTCCTCACTGCTTTCTTCTTTTACCATAGGATCTAGAAGGACCTATAGTAGCAAGGAAAAATTAGTTTTACATTTCAAAGTTATGTCTTTTGCTTGCTTCTTGGGTCCCAGAAAAGTGATTGCTGATTCTGTTCACCAGAGAGAATAGCTAAATTGTGCATGCAATATCATTACCTAAAACACTGTGGATAACAAGATACTCATCCTCAGAGCGAAAATATTTAGTCAATTAGCAGAAAGAGTGCTGTTTCCTTAATTCATTCTACAGATATATAGATACACATATCTATATATATTTGTAATTTTGATTTGCACCACATTTGTTCTTTTCACAATTATACATTTGTATTTTTACTGAATGGTATTCCCTCAATTATATTTCAAAAGTAAAGAAACTATGACTAGTTCTGAACCTCTGAAATTTTAAATAACTAGTGCATGTTTGATTCTGCAAGAGTGACTATCTTAACTAAAACATAATATTCTAAAAAGACCAGTCTTAAAGTAGTTCTGGAAGAAAAGAGATGTGACGATATTTGTGAAGAATTGAGAATTTAAGAATAGCCAAAATAATACAACAAAACTGAATGTAAAAATATGAAGTTTTAAAATAAAACCTTTAAAACTAAGTTTTCATTTGATTTAAAAATAGAAGAATTTGGGCTGGAGGCATGGTTCAAATGGTACAGCACCTACCTAGCAAGTGCAAAGCCCTAAGTTTAACGCACAAGTAGTAACAAAAAAAATATGAAAATCACGATCCATTTGCCAGTTAACACAATCAGCTCTATTCTTGAAACTTACTTGTGCTTAATTGATTTTTAAATTTAGGGAAAATCAACAATTTAGGTAGATAACTTTAAGAGATTATTGGACAAAATATTTTAAATCAAGTTATTCCTTACTCTTATCATTTGGGGTTCTAATATTCTCTTATACAAGTTTTTACAAGGAAATCATACTTTCTTATCAATCACATGTAACAAATATTGTTTTACTAAATATTCAATAATATGTAATTACTTGTATTGAGGTCTTCTGTAACAGACTGCTACTCAACAAAAAAGTATTTTTTTCTTTTTCTTTTCTTTTTGCTTTTTCCTTTTCTTTTTCCCAAAATTGAACTATACTCAGAGAAAACTCTTTCAACCCTATTAAAAAGAAAGTAATAAATGGAGAGTTAGTACTGGAATTAAGATGAAATAATTTTGAGATTTTAATATCAAACTTCAAGTTAAAGGCATTCTTCAATATGTAATTACATTTCACTGTTCATACTTGATACAGGTTGGAAAAACAAAAATGTTATAATGATCTTAGTAGAAAAAAGTCAAAATAACACATTTACCCACCATTTTTAGTTTCCAGCTTTATAAATTCTTCCTCTGATATTATCAAAGGAAGCATGGTGGTAGCAGACTGCTGTACCCATGAAGAGAACACAGTTTTTACATCTTTTTCACTTATGTCTTTATGCTGTCAGAGGAAAAAAAAAAGGAAAGAATGGTAATCAATTATCCAACTATCTCACTTAACTTTAACATTCCTGTTTTAACATCTTTTCCTAACCAAATGCAAATGTTACCAAACAAAACCAACACAGGGTGTTCACATTCTATAGGTAGACAGGGGCTTGACATTATAGTTACTGTGATGAGTACAGTAGAGTCTGAAGGAACATTTATGTAAGTGGCAAAGTTTTAAGTGCACTTTTTCAATATGCTCAGTGAAACAAATGTCATAATTTGATTAACTCAATAACCATGTCAGCCCCATTCTCCCTTTACGTAAGCATGCCTATTAGCATAGTAAACATCTTGCATTTAAAGGAGGAAGTCACAGCTAAGGATGGCAAGAGAGAAAAAGTGATGCACTCTAGATTCCTGAAAATATAGTTTAAATACCTATGAGTTCCTTCAAACTTCCTTGTACGTGAGAAAATTAAATCTCTTATATGATTAAAGCCATTGTTTTGAGTCTGCAACCACAATCCAGATATACTCAATGAGGAGAGTGTTACTGAATCATTCAAAGGTATAAAATAAATTCTAAGGAAAATACTGCTAATTTTTAACACTTTTAAATTATGTTTTAACTTATTTGAAATTAGAATAGTAAAAACTCAAATAGAAAAGATGATGTACATAAGAAGAGGGTGTAATGAACCCACCAAACACTGCTTGAAAGAAGGGAATGGGAATGTGATGAAAGGGATGAACTTGTTCAGATACACTGTATACATATATGGAATTATCACAATGAAATCCCTTCATATTAATAATGTATGATAAATAAAAAATTTAAAAATTAAATAAAAGTCATACACACAAGTGAAGATGACAGGTATTTGTCTCACAAAAATAAATCTCTATTCTACCATTTCTCAGGCTGGTCTATTTCTGTTCTCTCCAGAGTCAAGTTTAGATCTACTGATTAAAGTTCAGAACTTTATCACTCTCAAAAGTAGGCTAAGAAAATGCATCATTTCTTCATTCTTAAAAGATCACAAAAATAGCTGTTTCTTATTGGGCAATGTGATCAAACACCTAAACAAAGTCATAAAATAAAAATGAGAACTATTTGAAATTCAACTCACAGTTCCTTTGGAACCAAACATCTTTATTGATATTATCATAACCCACAGAGATCTGACAAAGGTCATAAATGTTCCACTAAAATATGTAACTCAGGATAGGAAAAGTATTTATAGTAGTATCTGAGATTTTAAAAACATCTAATGACCAGTGGCTAATAATTTTCTTACAAGGGACCTATCATTTGACAAACACCAAGGTCAATAACTAAAATGTTAAAAGAAAACCTTCTGCATTGTTTAGTCAATATGTTAAATGTTCAGTTACATACTAAGAAAATGGCATTTATTCTGTTTGTTTTACTCTTCGCCAAGCACATAATATAAATTATCTGGTGTTTCACCAACTAGAAAATTCTGTTAGGGTGGTTCTTCCACGTCATAACAATCATTATGATTTGGAGAACCCAAAAGTTTCATATGAATTATCAGGGAAGGATTAGGTCATGTTTAGAACTTCTTGAATATATAGTAATTTTTCTGCATTGTAATTATTTGAGAACTGGTAACCTAAACTGGACATATATCTTATTTAAAAGATTTTAAAATTAAGTTCAAAATCTCATGTCCTGACCATACCAGTTTCCAGAACTGAGTAGAAAAGTAAAATAGTCTAGAACTCTTTTGGGCTATAATATTAATATTAAAATAACATGAAAGAAAAAAATTTTCATTTCACTGATATAGCAAAAATATCAATCTTTTAAAAGACAATTTTATCCCTATTGGCCCTAGCACAAACACACATAATATGTGAGTTGCTTATTAAGGATTTCTTGGCTTCTCAAAAAAATTAAATATACAATTGCTATATGATCCAGCAATTTCACTCCTAGAATTGAAAATAGGGGCTTAAGTAGATATCTGTAGTTCACTGTTCACACAGCTTTATTCACAATAGCCAAAAAAAAGAGAAACAATCCAGTTGTTCATCAATATGAATGGGTAAACAAATGTATATACATAGAATGGAATGTTCTTCAGCTATAAAAATGAATGAAGTTCTAACGCATGCCTCAATATGAATGGGTCTTGAAAACAGTGTGTTAACTGAAATAACTCAGGAAAAACATTGTATTATTCCACTTCTACAAAATATGTAGATATAAACAAACTCATAGAGATACAAAATAGACTAGCGGTCAGGAGGGGATGGGTAGAGAAAAGGATGAGAAGTCATTACTCAATGGGTGCAAAGTTTCTTTTTGCAGTCATGGAAAAGTTTCAGAAACAGAGGCAATGGTTGCACATTATGAATGTAATTAATGCCACTGAACTGTACACTTAAATGGTTAAAATAGAGTATTTTATGTTAAATATCTTTTAGCACAAAAAGGAAGAAAAGATTTCTTTGTTCTAACAAAAAGGACAACATTATTACTTAGAGACTAGAAATTTTACAACACATGGACAAGAATTTTGATATAACATATATATTTGAACTCACTAAATTCTCTCTAGGTTGTAATTTTAGAGATCTTGGAATTTTAGGGGTAATTTCCACTGGAGTTATTCTGACTACTGCATGCATTTCTATATTCAGTCTCTTTCTCAGGTCATCTGGAATCTGAAATTTAAAAATAAACAAAAATATAAATAGTTCAAAGCTTGATTAAAAATATTTCATAACATCAAGATTGATGTATGCTTCTATGAATTCAGCTGAAATGATAGAAGCTACCACCATGATTCATATTTGTCTTTTCTGCTTGGGCTTCTATAACAAAACATCAACTGGGTGGCTTATAAACAGCAGAAACTTTTTTCTCATTTTGCGAACTGGGAAGTCTAAGATCAGGGCACCAGCACATTGTATGGTGAGGGCTGTCTTCATAGTCCTCCGTGTGAGAACTCACATGGTAGAAAGGGTGAACCAGTTACCTTGGGTCTCTCTTTAGAGGGGCACTAGTCAAATTCATGAGGCCTTCATCTTCATAACCAAATTAGCTTCCAAAGGTCTCACCTCCTAATACCATCACCTTGGGATTAGGATTTCAACATAGGAATTTCAGGGGGACATAAACATTCTGACTATAACAATAGCATAACCAGATGCAAGTGCAGATATTGTTATACCACAAGCATTCCAATCTTCTGCCCCTGTATTTCTTTCTTTTTCTTTTCCTTTCTTGAAATGAGATGGTGAGGAGGGTGGGAAGTGTTGGTTCAGAGTTAGAGCTGTAAGTGGAAGTATTTGACTCTATCCGCAATAAAAATATTTTAAGCCATAATATTACACTCAAATTAAATGTTACTTGCAAATCTTTGGCAGTCTTCGTTTGTAAAAGTTTAGAACCAAAGCTAATCACTTGCAATCTTGCCATGGGTACAACTGAATCCAGATAGAAACCCAATCTAAAATACAAGGGTAAAATTTCTCACCTCCATTGATGAAAATATTTTAGACTTAGATTATGGTGTTGGTCTCATAACTATTACACTAAAAACTTTTGTACATATCACATTGTATTTGTTTTTTTTGACAGTATTGGGAGGTTGAACTCAGGGCCTCACTTGCTAGGTAGGCTCTCTACCTCTTGAGCCACTATGCCAGACCTCTTTGCTTTGCTTATTTTTGAGATAAGGTCTCACTTCATGCCTGGGGCCAGTCTGGAGCACAATCCTATTTGTGCTTCCTTGCATAACTAGGATGTCAGTTGTGAGACACCACATCTAGCTATTGGTTGAAATAAGGTTCCAAAGACTTTTTGCCTTGGCTGGCCTTGAACTATGATTCTCCTGATCTCTGCCTCCCAAGTAACTAGCATTACAGGCTTGAGCCACCACACCTAGCCAATTATACACTTTAAATTTTATCTCAATAAAGATATTCAAAATTTGTCTTATCTGTCTAAATACTGGTAAACTTCGAGGGCTGGGCTGGACAAGGTGGTACGTGCCTGTAATCCCAGCTACTCAGGAGGCAAAGATAGGTGGATGGGTCCAAAGCTGGGCTGAGGAAAAATGTTTGAGAACTCATCTGAAAAACAAAATAAAAGCCAAAAAAAGGGCTGGGATGTGGCTCAAGTGGTAGAGAGTTCAATCACTAATACTGTCAGGAAAAAAAAAAAAAAGACTTTAATCCACTTTACTACCTCTGCTAATTTCTAAAGAGAAGGTATTTCATCTACCAAACCATTATATGGTACACCATTAGTATCACAATTTTATGCAATGCTTAAAAATAAACTTAATAACAGAAAGAGTAAAAAGAAACCCCTCATCACACTTCACAAGAAAGGCTCAAATCAACACTAATTTACTAGTGATCAATTTGATCTCTCAAGTCAAGCCTGCTTGAGTACCTGAGGGCAAGTACTTCACTTCTCATTGCCTGTAGTTCTTTAACCTTTAAAGCTGAGTGGACTACTCAGGAGGCAGATCAGTAGGATCGCAGTTCAAAGTCAGCCCAGGCAAATAGTGCCATGAGACCCTATCTTGAAAAACCCTTCACAAAAAAGAGCTGGTGGAGTGGCTCAAGGTGTAGGTTCTGAGTTCAAGTCCCAGTATCGCAAAGAAAAAAAAAAAGCTGAGTGCAAGTGCAGGTTCATGCAGTTTACTTACTGCTTTCCTATGGGGTCCCCAGTTCTCTACCACCAGCACTTCCAACCTCTCCTCACCATCTCATTTCAAGAAAGTAAAAGGATACTTCTGTCTAATGGTAGAAACAGCTACATCATAACAAGTTCAGTGTTAGACAATTCGAATTTGAAAATGCAATGGAATCTCTTAAATTAACAGCTTAAATTCAACAGAAAATAATAGTAGGGGAGTCTAGAAAATGATATAGGCCAAAGAGACGAATATATTCTAAGCCATTTGCATAAAAGTCACACATAAAACTGTAGGAGTAAAAGAAATCTATGAGCCAGGCAGTAGCTCATGGCTGTAATTCTAACTACAGCCATGAGACTGGGAGGATCGCAATTCAAACCCAGCCTGGGCAAAAAATTCATGAGACCCCATCTCAACTAAGTTGTGTGTGGTATTAAAAGTAGGCATTAAAGATGAAAAACTCTGTAGAGCACTCCATGCTGAGCACGAACCCTATAACCAATCTGCCTAGACTTGAGTCCTAGCTCTACTACTCAATAGCTATGCAACCTTGGGCAAATAATTTTGACCTTTGTGGGCCTATACCTCTCCAAGCTTACTGGTCAGACAGCATACAATCCTTACCCAAATAAGAAATTTATAGTGGAAGCAGAAAAGTGTCCCCATCCCTCCAGATTTCAAACACTATGTTTCTTAATATATTAGCTTTCAATTTATGTATGTATATATATATACATACACATAAATATATATAATCCTAATTCAAAATTTAGGGAAATTTAGGTAGTATAAATTTTCTCCCAAATTATAACTCATACTAACCCAGACTTTCCCAAGATGAAGAGGTTCTACATTTTTGGTGTATTTTATGGCATTCCTTAATTCCTCAAGTCCATTCCAGACTATCTTTACCACACAGGCCTTATCAGCTTCTTGATTATGATCTGAGCTAATCTGTTTTTGATCTGGTGGCTCTGATACATGCTTCTCTTTTTCAGGCAACAGGGCACTCTGCTTTGTTTTATTTTGCTTTTGCTTTGGAGAAAGTAACTTAATTAGCTTTCCATAAGTTATGGTAAAGCGAGGCTCCATGTCAAAATATTCCTGGTCCCATGGAAATACATGAATGGCACAGTATTTGTCAAATGTAGAAGCTGCTGATATATTACATATACTGGGAGGTTGAGATCCGCATACTCTGAAAATATTGTCTACAGGAACAACCTGTGACTGCATGTTTTTAAAGGCATTGATTTCAGTTGAGCCCCAGGATGTCTCTTGTTTCTTCTCAGATCCAAAAGAAAAAATGCTTCCAATCATAGACCACAAGCTTGGTGTCAATGACGAAGCACTGGGTGTCTTGCAGTCTGTTTCATTAGATCCAGTTACTCCCATGGTATTTGACTGAAGCTGCTTGGTTTGAAATTCTTCTGTCATTCCTTTTTGGTCTCTTCCATAGCTATGAAATTTCCCATACACATCATCTGCTTTAGAAAACGTATTCTCTTTGACTTGGCGTGTCTTTGGCTGAATAAGGAGTTTGGTGTCCGTTTCCAGCCTCCCATAAAGAGCAGTTGGTATGAGTGCAACTGTGTAGAAAACAGAGCTCATTAGAGCATATTCATCTCTGCTTTGCACTCAGTGCTCTAGGGTAGCATATGATGGCAAATATTACAATACCACCTACCAATCTGGATAAATATGTAAGTCTGTTGATCAACCCAAACAGGAAAAGTGGCTTTTGGAAAAACTATTCGAATTTGATCTAGAAGATGTTGTTCAAGGGAAGCAGCATGCAGCTCCTAGAACCAAGACAGAAAAAGATCACATTTTGTCCATTCCACGTCTAGTATGGAAATCTCACTCCATTCTTTTTTTTACTTTAAGTTTTATTGTGTCCATTTAAGGTATACAACATGACGCTATGGGATATATACAGTCAAAAGGTTAGTATATCCATCATCTTGTACCTTTTTTTTTTTTTTGTGGCAAAAGCAGTTCAAATCTACTAATTTAGAATCAATTCCAAATTCAGTACAATTTTCTTATCAATAGTCCTCACATTAGACATTAAGAGCCCTGTCAGTTCATTCTTATAATTCAAACCAACTCAGAATATATTATGAAGCTCAGAGAACCCTGAAGACACTGATATTTTGAAATACTTTAAAATGAGATAGTTGTTAGTTTTTTTTTTTTTTTTTTTTTTTTTGGTGGTACTGGGGCTGGAACTCAGGGCCTCACACTTGCTGAGCTTGCTAGCACACACTCTTATTACTTGAGCCACTTTGCCATTCCGAGTTGTTAGTTTTTCTTTACCAGTATCTCCCAATCGTCTGCTGACAGGGGTTCCACCTCAACTTGCTGGCAAGACACCACATGGGAACATGGCTTGAGAAATACCTAGAAAAAATAAAAAATTTCAAATGACTTAAAAAGATTTTTCTTAGAAAAGAACAGATTCCCTCTTTAGGTAAATAACTCTGTGTCTCTGTGTGTGTGTGTGTGTGTGTGTGCTGTCTGTCTGTCTGTGTTGTTAGTATTTCATGTGACAGATATTTAAGCATTTACTCTTAGCTAGGCTTTGATGTACTCAGTAGTTTAGGAAAAACTGTTTCACAAAAAATTATAGAATAAAGGAACACCTTAGCACAACACATTTTTTTCAAAAGGATATAAAGATAAGCATTAGGGAAAAAATGTAAGAACCAGGTGCAGTGGTATGAGCCTGCAAGTCCAGCTACTCCGGAGGCTGAGGCAGGAAGATTGTGAATTCAAGGCCAGCCTGTGCAATATAGCATGACCTTGTCTCAAGGAAAAAAAAAAAAGGAAAATATAAGTAAAAATACAAAAAAAGACTGTCATGTCTTGAACTAATATAAACACTCATTATTTCTAGAAATGTCTTGCAACTATCAGTTTTATAATTAACTTCAAGACTTGCTGCTTCTACGAAAGTAAAAAACACACTGAATTAGAGGTCAGACCAATAATTTAGAAGTATAACCTGTCACAGCATTTTTGCTGTAAAGCAAATACCCCCTCATTCTAATCCACAAATATATGAAATGCTGGTATGGCTCAACATGCTGGAGGCCACCATCTTACTTTCTGTCCCCTTCCATAGGTACTTCTGGGGATTAAAGGAGTAAAGTCCAAAGCCATTGAGTATTAAATGTTCTAGGTAACTAGTCCTCTGCTTTTGTAGACTGGAGCAGAACTTCCCCAAGTGCCTCATCTCAGACTCCTCAGGGAATTCACCCTTATTCTCCCCGTACACTTTATTTGAATGGATGGTCCTGAGGGAACACAAGCAGCTCTTGCCCACCAAGAAGCTCAGGCCACCTGGGCTAAGTGCACACTCTGCTCTTATTCTTTGGGTGACAGTGTCTTAGCAGTGCTGCTATACCAAAGGAGCTACAGAAAATCAAAGAGAAGTTACTTAGAAGCAAATGGAATGAAAAACAAGTAGCACTGTTCACAGTAGCAGGAAGCTAACCTGCACAGAAGTGCTACATACCCAAAGCCAGATGAACTGTAACTTGCTACATGATCCTTACCAAAACTGGATTGTAGAGCAAGACACCAAAGGTCCTTTGGGTGCTAAAATGTTCAAATTCTAGCAAAAAGTTTGAAGGAAGTGAAAGGTAGTGCAAGGCTGATGAATTTCTCATGAATGGTCCACTCTCATTATCAAAAACATACATAAATGTAATTAGTCTATGTTCAGAACAAGTTTAAAAGATGTGGCACTCTCATGCACTGATGTGGGAAATTGGTAATAGAGCGCAATTTATCCCCATCCATCGAAACTTTCAATATATAGCCCCCTGGACTTGGTAATTCAATTTTTAATATTATATGTCATGCCTACAGATTGAGTACCTTAATCTGAAATGCTCTGAAATCTCAACATTTCTGAGTACAGTTTCAAATTTTGGAACATTTCAGGTTTTAGATTTTTAAATTTTATTTATTTATTTGACAGTACTGGGTTTTGAACTAAGGGCTTTACACTTGTAAAGCAGGTGCTCTACTACCTAAGCCATGCCCCTAGCCGAGGTTTCAGAGTTTTAGATTAGGGATGCTTAACTGGTACAGTCTATGCAGATATTCCAAAATCTGAAACACTTCTGATCCCAAGCATTTTAGATATGGGATACCTATCTTATGTATGTAGAATTCAGAGGAAGCACAAAAGCAGCTCTAGACCAACAAGAAGGTAAGGCCCTCTAGGCTAATCAGTCCACCTTCTGTTCTCATCAGTGGCTCTTTGAGAGACAGTATCATAGGGGTACTGCTACAACAGATCACATATATACAGAGAGATGTTCAATGCATATCATTTGTAATGCAGTCAGTCCTCTGTATCCATGAGTTCCACATCTTCAGATTCAACTAACTAGGGATAGAAAATATTTGAGGGAAAAAATTGTGTCTGTACTTAACAGGTACAGACTCTTTCCTTACTGTAATTCCCTAAACAATAGAACTATTTATATAGCACTGTCATTAAATTAGGTTTACATGTAATTTAGAGACTATTTAAAGTATATGAGAGGATGTGCACAGGTGATAAAAACACTATACCATTTTATATAAGGGACATGAGCACTTGCAGACTTTGTATTCATGGGGCTCCTAGAACCAACCCTCTGCTGCTGTTACCCAGAGATGGCTCTTCATGGAAAGGTATTTTTCATATATTTTATGGGATAAAAATTGCAAAAAAAAATATTATCTCATTCTTTAAATCCTAAAGGTCCAATGTGATCTCAACAAACAGTAAACATTCATTCCAAGGCTGCAGTTGGGGAAAGGGAAAAATGCATGTTTTCACTTTCAACAATAAAATATTTGCAATGAATATCTGTTACTTCCATAGTTTAAAAATATAGAAAATGAATAAATTGATGTACATTATATATATGCATATATATGTATATATATACACTTGTGTGTAATTTTTAATCAAATTGAAGTGATATTTTTAATTGCATAAGACCATTGAGGGTTAGAAAATGTCAGGACAAGTGAAATGAAATTCAAGAATAGAATGTCAAACCTGGTAATTCATAAATGAAAAATAATTTCACTAGAAAGTGAGCAAAATAGAATACAAAAACAAGTAGGGAGCATGGTTAACTATAAAATAATGACTTAACAACAAAGTATAGCCAATTTGAATATACTAGATTGGTTATAAGAGCCTCCAATTGTCATCTCACCTCCTTTAAAAAAAATCTGAACTTTAATTTTCCTTTCCATTGCTCTATTAGGTGACATCAGAAGAAAGTCACTGGCATCACGTTTTGTGCTTACCTGTTCCCCATTTGAGAGTCCAAGTTTATGACCAACTTGTCTGCTAACTTCAGCAACATTTTCACCTTGATCTTTGAAGTGCCTGCCTTCTATCCAGCTCAAGAATGCAGGCTGCTGACCCCAGGTTACTTCCAGAGCTTGATTCTATTTATATGAAGAATGGGAGGGAAAAAAGTTTTAAAAGTTTCTACATGTTTTCCCAGATTCAGATAAACTATTATTGCATCCACACATATAAAAAATGCTCTATAGATATTGATAACTCTGGTATCTACATTTGTCATAGCATTTAAGAAGTTATAATCATTTTCAACACCAACACTGGAGATTCTATACACGAATCCAATACCCTTATGCTCTATGACGGCTTTACAAATGGATTCAGTCACTTCAAAATTCAAAATGGCAATAGGTAGCTGGATGAACTCACATACTCTTTAAGTCACATATATTTGAGTATTTATTCTAAAGTAATGATTCAACAAAGGAAAAAAATCAGAAAATCTGCAGTACTGCCTATAATAGTGAAAACCCGGGATTGTCTTAAATGTCTACCAATACAGAAATTATTAAATAAGCTAAAATTTACTATGTTTAAAATAAAATATCAGTCGTTAAGTACAGTAGGTCCTCTTAATTTGCTTTCTGTAGTTTCAGTTACAGTCAATTGCAGGCAAAAGTATCACGTAGGAAATTCCAGAAACACTCACAGGTTTTAAATTGCACACTGTTCTGAGTAGCATGAAATCTCTTATGGTCCTGCAGTGTCTCACCTGAGAAGTGACCCACCCCTTTGTTTAGCATACCCATGCTACCTATACTACCTTTTATTCACTTTAAGAGTTGTCTTGGTTATCAGATCGATTTCATGCTATCACAGTGCTTACACGTAAGTAACTCTTATTTTACTTAACAGCTCCAAAGTACATAAGTAGTGATGCTGAAAAGTTGGATAAGCCGAAGAGAAACCATAAAATGCTTTAAAAAAAAAAAAGGTGGGAAAAGTTCACAATTAAAGGGAAAAAGTTCATATTCTACAATTGCTAAGAGCTACAGTAAGAACAAATCTTCTACCTGTGAACTTGTAAAAGAAACTCATGCAAGTTTGGCTGTCACACCTCAAACCATAAAAGTTATGGCCTCAGTGTGTGATAAGATGGAAAAGGCATTAAATCTGTGTAGTATGTACAGGGGGAAAATGTATATATAGGGTCGGTACTATCCTTGATTTCAGACATTCCGTAGGGATCCTAGAATGTGTCACCTATACATGTGAGGAATTACTGTGTATGTTATTACATGTTCATATAATCTTAAAAAAATGTAACACTATAGTTTTACAATTATAAAACACCAATCAGCTGGAATATGCAAACGCTTATAGATAGATTAGTTGATCAGAAAAGTAATAAAAGCATATGATAAAAGCACAAAAAAATATAAAAGGGTAAAATGTGAAACACATTTGTGTTCCCAGAGGTAATTGCTCTTAAGAATTTCTTGTGTACATTCCTAGAAATGTTACATTATGCAGCTTAATTTTTCATAATTCTTAAAGTTTATAGAACTATGAAAATATGCTTGTAAGTCAAAAAGTAAAATATAACATTCTCATCAAAAGAGCAATTACATGAAATGTGTAAGTTTATGGCAAAGGGCTAAAAAACAGTGTTTCCATGATTAAAGAATTAAATTGTCAGGTGTGGTGGTACAGCACTTGGGAGGCAGAGATAGTAGGGTCAGGAGTTCAAGAGTGGCCTGGGCTACTTGGCAAGAACCTGTCTCAAAAAACCAGAAAAAAAAATTACACTCATCATAGAAATCTTGGAAAATATATGAACTTGAAAGGAAAAACAGGAATTACTGATATTTCCTGCTCCCAAACAACCAAATGAATGACTTTGGTTTCTGCTAATCCTTCAATATATGTCAACTTTTTGCATAGTTGCATATCATAGGCAATATTTTTATTCCTTTTTCCTCACTTAATATTGCATCATGAACATTTTCATACATTCATCTTTTTTAATGAAAGACTTGATTAATAGACATGAAAACTTATCTCAGAAAGCTTCAGTATTATTTAATTCATTTATTTATATCAAAATAAATTCATTAAGCTTAAAGTATTAAGTATAAAATTTATTCATCTATACCAAATTTCAATACCTTATGTTTCTTTAAACAGGACAAATTTGAAAGAACATTGGAGTCATCCCTTACAATGTTCATGAAATTAATCATTATTAAAATTTTGTATACAAGAAAGTCATTGTGTATCACTTAATTGTGTAATTTTTCTCATAATTTTTTCAGAACAACTCAATTGTTTTGATAAGATAAAAAGAGCCCCAGATTTGTAATCAGAAGTCTTAAGTGACTGCTTCCGCTTTAAGTGTGTGAGCTGAGATCATAGGAGTAAAGGTGACCAAGCCCCCACATACTTTCAATGGGGTTTCTCACAGTTAGCAACGTTTACAATACAAATAAATTCTCCTATTTCATATGAAGAAACCTTCAATTATTTGTTCAGCCAAAATGTAAGGAACTCTACAAAGCCATAATCCATGCACCATTAGATTTTTGCAAGCTTTACAAACTAACATTCTGAGTTCAGTTTTATATCAATTTTTTTTTTCATGTGACCCCAGGGTCCCTGGCTCTTCAGGTAGGAAGAATAAACACACTAGAAAGGAGACTCTTTTCTAGTTTAATCAATAAATCTCTTGCTAACAACAAGGAAACAACAAATCTGTACATGGCAATTTCTAGATGGTGACTTAGTTCCTTTTTTGCATTCAGCATGAATATGAATCCTCCTCCCCTGGTGCAATCACAGCAAGTTCTGAATTCAGAGTACAGACAAGGTAACCAAAATAAGGCAGTTCTTCTTAACCAGGAATGATTTTTGTCCCTCAGGGGACATTTCACAATGTCTGGGGACAGTTTGGTTATCACAACTGTGGAGTGCCACTGGCATCTAGTGGACAGGGGCCAAGGATGTTCTTAAACATCATAGCATACAGGACACCCGCCCCACCCCCACAAAAACTATTCACCAAAATGTCAGTAGGGCTAAGGTTGAGGAATCCTAAGCGAAACATCTATTGGGTACCCAGTCCTTCCCTTGCGAGAACAAGGGAACTCAATACTTGAAACTAACAAATGAGATATGTCACATAAACACAATCATCAGGTTTTGAAAAGGAGTCGACTGTGGGCAAGGGAGAAGTGGAAATCTGTGTGGAAGAGGTAGGACTACCCTGTTTTAAATGCATGGAATTTGTGTGCAAGGAGGAAAAATGCCTTGGAGGAGCACAGCACAGAATAGAAGAACAGAAGTGGGAAGGAGATTGGGTAGAGAAGCAGTGACAAGGCTAGTCTGTGCAACACAGACTACAGACACGAGGGTGGCCTTGGACACCACTTCCTTTGTTTCAAAGCAGGGAAATCACCTAGATACCTAAGTCCTTTCGCTGTTAACATTTTATGATTCTACAATAGTGGATCTCAATGCTTTTTGCATCCACTTAAGTAGCCTGAATATGTTTTTTTAAAAAAAAAATTACAGTTGTTTTAAAAATATGTTCCCCAAGATTCTGATTCAGTAGGTCTGAAGAAGAACCAGAACATGTATACCTTTAAAGCTTCCAGGTAAATCTGAAAAAGATCAGACCACCACTGTTCCAGCCCTTCTTCCCATTACTGCATTATCTGTATTAAGCATTCACTGCTTCAGCCAGAATAAATTGGTTCGACCTATTATTCTGGTTGAACCAACTCATGAACCTTTCTGCATTAATGACCCCCAACTCATGAAGCTTTCTGCATTAATAATTATCTATTCTGACCTCCTGATGCTTACCACAGGCTGTTTTTACAGTGACTGTATAGAAAGAGGAGGCAAAGTAAACCTACTTTGTATACACCTCAGCCTGGGCCCTGTGCCTGGTCTATATGGTGAATGGAGAGAGATAGATGGGAGAAGAAAAAAAAATCTATTCCCCTTAACTCAATAATTCTGAGAATCTATCCAAAATAACTAGAAATGAAAACAATGGCTCATAAACAAAGATGTGCTATTTTAATGTTTTATTAAAACAGAATTTGAGTATCACTTTTAATTTATAAGAATTAAATACAATGTAAGTGGTCAATCACAGTGAGCAATTATATAAATCATGACAAGATTACACTAGAATAGTAACTGACTACCAAAAATGATGGTGACCTTTTAAAAAAATAAAACAGTACATGGAAAGGGTAAGACACAAAATGCTGTGTGTATGACCTTATTTCTGTTAAAAACACAGATTCGAAACAGATATGGAAGACTTGGTCCAACCTGTTAATATAAATTATCTCTAGGCTCTGAGATTATAGGTAGATTTTATTTTCTTGCCAATAATTTTTTTTATAAAGCAGATGCACTACTTTGATAGTAGAGGGATTGGTCTATACAGGTTGAGAAGAAACAGCAATTTGTTCCACGGATGAAGGGAAGGCATTTAAAATTCAAAATGATGCCTTTGAAGTAATTCTAACACTTCTTGAAGGTTTGAAATGCAAAGATCAAGACCACTAAATTCTTAAATAGTAATGAATGTAACATTTTGGGACAAAATTATTAGTTACAGAAAGGAAGCATCCTTGTAAACTCATTAAGCAGGTAGTTTATTCCCGTAATCTCATTAGGTTTGCATTTGAAAGCAGGTTGAAAATCTCTTACCAGAGCTGAGAAAGAAAGCACTGAGCCAAGTTCTACCTGGAACCTGATGACAGTGCTAACTACTTCCAGCCGTGAAGAAAGCTTGTCAGGTCCCAAAGACTACTCCGTGGTACAAATAAATAAATTAACAATAAGAAGAATGGAAGAATTCTACTGAATCTGGTATGTTTTGAGAGATGGGCAAACAAAACAAAACAACACAACAACTACAACAAAACCACTGGTTACCGAGAAGTAGCTCAAGAGGAAAGGTAGGACACCTGAAATTATGGCAGTTACCTATTTCTTGCATGAGTTACCAGTGGTTTGGTACGATGCCTGGAGGATTTTTGAAGATTTCCAATATGCTACTCTTTGCCCCCATGAGTACACTCAAACTCGTGAGGTTATGTGCATGCATTTTTAATTATGAAAACATGACCAGGGGTTAGAACTGTGACACACTACCAGCCCCGAGTCCAACAGGTGACACACCTAGCTACCCACGCGCCTAATCCCACTGCATATTCCCTGCACGCCCGGCAGGGGCTGGCTCAGGCCCGCAACCCAGGGAGGAGCTGAGTTTCAGGAACCTTTGGCGCTCCCGGGATGCGGTGCGCAGGCCCTGCTCGCCGCCCTCCAGGTGTCACAAGTCTCCAAAGCCAAGTGAGGATTGTGTCAGAATATCAGGACGAGTCAAACCCTGGTCTAACCGATTTAACACTGCCTGGACCAGCCCCGATCGGCCTCCGAGCGGTCCCGTAGCTGTCAAAGTCCCTGGAAGGCCGCGGCCATGTCCGACCCAGGTGTCCCAGGGCCGGCGCGTTACCTGCAGCAGGTGCAGCTGGGCCACGAGGCGCCGCGGCAGATGGAGGAAGCAGTCGCGAGCGTTGGTGAAGACCACAGTCACGGCCACCCCTCCTGTCCCCGCACCCGCTAGGCGATCGCTGACCCACATTTTCCCAGAGCGCAGGCCCACGCCGCCCGCCACCGCGCGGAGTCTGAGCCCTACTCCAGCAGGCCGAGGTCGTCGGAGCCCGAGAAGATCGATCAGCCCCGCCCCCTGTCCCTCAGTGCGTGTGGCTGCGCGCGGGTAGGGGGAGGGATAAACCGGCTCCTCTTACCCTCCCGACCTCTCCGCCGAGCCGCTAGGGGGCGGAACCTCGTTCGCCGAAATTTCGTTCTCCGTAAGTGATGTTCGATGCTAAAGATTCTCCAGCCAATCACGGCACGCCTTGGCCCATCTCGCTCTCTTATTGGATGAGCGGGAGTGCCGTAAAGCGGATGTTGCTCTCCCAGCGAGGATTCAAGCAGGCAAGATGGCGTCGAGTGACGGGAAGCTCGGGAGTTTATTCGACCACCACGTTCAGAGGGCGGTGTGTGACACGCGGGCCAAATATCGGGAGGGCAGACGCCCTCGCGCTGTCAAGGTAAACTGATTTTGTTGCTTTCGTTGTCTTCCGTAGCTTTATGTGTGCGCTAGCTTCTTCGTGTCTAGCTTTTGTAAATACAGGCTGACAAGACTGCTGTCAGTTCTCTGTCCTTGCAGATGGCTTGAGGAGTCCAGGCTCAGGCACCAAACGTTATCACCACCCCTTTGGTTAACTTTTAGAATGTCACCATTGGAACAGGACTTTGTTTTAGTCCTCGTACCTTCCGTGTTTACAGTAGTGTGACAAGCACTCAATGACTATGACCAGTAACTTCTAACGAGCCAACTTTTGGGAAAAAAAAAAAAAGTCAACTGGGGTAGTGCATTAGTTAGATACTCTCACACGTGGAGTTCGTTCTCTATTATGCAGCCAGTAGCATTTCAAAATTTTTAGTGTTTTTTGCAGACCAAGTTGAAGAGAGTATTTCTTGTTTTCAAAACTCCCTTTTTAAAAAATAAGAGATTTGTCTCAGCCTTATTTGTGAAATACGTTTAACGAGTCTATTTCTTTTAGGTATATACAATCAATTTGGAATCGCGTTACTTACTAATACAAGGAGTTCCTGCTGTGGGAGCAATGAAGGAATTAGTTGAGCGATTTGCTCTGTATGGTGCAATTGAAGAGTATAATGCCCTAGATGAATACCCCGCAGAAGACTTTACAGAAGTTTATCTTATTAAGTTTATGAATTTACAAAGTGCAAGGTAATGTGCACATCAAGCAGCATCTTATTTTCTCCATTCTTATTGCTGTCATCTTGGCCCCAAGGTTTCACTCATTCATGCCTGAATTACCCAAAAATTTAGTCTTGCACTATAGTACTCTCATCTTCCTGCATTTTTTTTTTCAGTGCTGGGGATTCAGTTTCACATATGCACAGCAAGTGCTCTACCACTAAGCCACATCTCTAGCTTTTCCTGCAATCTTTTGAAAGGCTATTTCCATCCCTTCATTCCTATGCTTAATATGTTGTTGGTTTGGCAGTACTGGGGGTTGAACTCTGGGCCTCGTGCTTGTAAGGCAGGCTCTCGACCACTTACCCCATTCTGCCAGCCCTTTTCATATTAGGTATTTTTGAGATAGGGTCTTGCTTCATGCTCCAAGACCATAATCCTCTTATTTGTGTTTCCCTGTAGAGTTGGAATGATAAGAAAGCATCAGTATGCCCAGCCCAGCCCAGCCCAGCCATTGGTTGGGATGGTCTTGCAAACATTTTGCCCAGGCTGGCCTCAAACTGTGATTCTCCCAATTTCCTCCTCCTCCTAAGTAGCTAGGATTACAGACTTGGGCCCCTGCGTGTGGCCATTTTATTTATATATATTTTTTGAGACAGGGTCTTGCTGTGTGCCTCACTATGTAGCCCAGGCTGGTCTTGGACTCTGTCCTTCTGCCTCAACTTCCCGAGTGCTGAGATTACAGGTATGCTCTACCACATATAGTTTCGATGTTTAATAGTGTTCCAACTTATACTATGGTTGGTTAAAAAATGGATTTGAAGTAAATTTTCCCGTCTTACTGCTTACTGTGGTCATGGCCTTGGATAAGTTATTTAACCCTGCTAGACCTATTTTTCTTCTTCCTAAAAAAAAATCCACCTGGTAAATATACCAACTTCTTGAGGTTGTATGAGGATGAAATGAGATAATTCATGTAAAGGGTTTAGAATAGTGCCTCCTGTTCAAAATACAGTAGACATTAGCTGTTGTAGTTCTTACTGTTACAGCTGCATGTGAACTAACCCATCTTCACCACACTTCTATATAATATAAACCTTCTGTTCCAATAAGGCTAAAGTATGCAATGCCCTTACCTACTTTCATGTTTATCCCTTTTCTCATCACTAATTTGATTTAAGGTCCATCCTTCCTGATCATTACCATTTTTTTCCTGTGCTACCAGTAACACGCAGTATGCCTAAAAGCCACTTGATTTTATGGAATTACGTGTTTTTCTCAGGTTGTTCTTATATGAAATCTCACTTTCCCAACCAATTTGCCAGTTCTTCATGGTTAGGAAAGCATATTTTCTAGAGCTTTTGTATCTATCTCCACAGTACCTAAAATAAGTAGACTGTGGAGTAAGATATCTGGATTAGAATCCTAGCTCCACAAATGAGTATGTAAAATGGCCAAATTCGATAATGTTCTAGTGCCTCAGTTTCATCATAAAGTTGCTATGAAGTGTTAATTAAAATGAAGCACTTATGACATTGCTTGGCATGGGGTAAAATATCAATAAGCATTTATCATTATCCCTGGATATAAAAGTACTTAAATATGTTTTATAGTACTGAGCCAACCATAGATGTTCAGTAAGTATTTACTGATAGACTACTTTGAATATTGTTCTTTATGTTTTCTCATTGGTTAGTTCTATATTCAGTATTTGCTCAGTTAATGAAAGTTTTACATTGCAGTATTGTTAATTTTTTTCTTTTATATGAGTCCTGTTATGCAACACACTGTGCTGAAAATGACCATAGTTTCTTTACTTTAGACTAACAAGCTGTGTTCTAAGTTGGTTGAAAAAGAGTCTGGATATGTATGGATGGCTTAGTGCAAAACTTGTTAACCCTGTGGGACAGGAAAGGAATCAACAGGGTCCATTCCATCCACAAACAGTATCCTAATTCCCAATCCATTGTGTGTGTGTGTGTGTGTGTGCACACTGTGGACTTGGGGGAAAAAATAACACACACACCTGAACTTTGCTGCTTAGATCAGTGTGTTATATACTTGTTAAGCTTTCATCCTATGTAAATCAGATTAATAAATTATGCTATCCCCTGTATTTCTGTTTAGGATAGCCAAGAGAAAAATGGATGAACAGAGTTTCTTTGGTGGATTGCTTCATGTGTGCTATGCTCCAGAGTTTGAGACAGTTGAAGAAACTAGAAAAAAATTAGAAGAGAGAAAGGCTTATATAGCAAGAACTACTAAAAATAAAGGTATGGAAAGCCTGTTATTAGCACCTCCTATGTGTCAGGCACTGGTAGGTATACCTTTCATGGAGTTCCTGGTCTGGTGGGCAGCAAGTAGATGATCACAGTGTTCAACAACTATGACTCACTGGGTTCTGTGCAGCACTGACCATGAACTGGACTAGAAAGGAAAAGATACTGGTATATGGAAGATTTCCTAAAGGATGTGAAAAGTGGTTGGGTTTTAGTAAATACTACTCAGAAGGAGAGCAGGATAGAAGGATGAGCCAGGAAATGTATTTATTTATTTATTCACCCTATAACAACCCAGACAACGTGTTTAAATATCTAGAGAAATAAATGAGCATCATTCTTTAAGGAACTGTGAGTAGTGTAGGATAACCAAAGTACAGAGGTTTTGGCAAGAGACAAGATTAGAAACATAGGTTAGTGAATCATGAAGGGCCTTGTGTCCCAAGCTAAGGAATTGAAGCTCTTGACCTAAAGGCAGCAAGAAACAATTATGATTTGCTGCCTAGTTACCAACTGCTAATCATCATAGAAGAGTTCTGTTTTTGAATCAGTGGACTTAACCCCCCACAAGCCCGGTTGAGTTTCCCATGACACAAATTTCAAATGCCTTGAGTAGAATAATGGAATGTGGTACTTGGATTAAAGGAATAGAGCAGTCATAATTAGACTAAGGAAGCTGACTGCAGAAGGGGCAAGTACCAGTGTAGAGAGAGAAGGTGGGAAGTTCCTTGGAACTTTCATCTAGAAATCTCATTAAAGAGCTGTTGAGAATCCCTGGTCATTTTCAGTCATTGAAACGACCTTTATCTTGTGCGATATATAAATAACTAACAGCAGGAAGACTTATGTATGAATGGCAAAGGAATTTACAAAATATTAGTGTGGAGAAAAAGACTTGAGATTACCTAACCCATGTCCTGATTTTTATAGGTGAGAAAACTAATGCTCAGAAAGTTTATGACTAGTCTACATCACTAGAAGTAAAACAGATTAAACAGGGATTAAAACCCATCTTTGAATTCTGTCTAGAGCTTCCTTTTGAAGTACTTTATTCGTCTCAATGTTGGTGATAGAAGCCAAGGATTATCTTTTTTTGCTCCCTTTCCTGTTCAGACCTTTTTTGCCTTACCCCTGACTTCAGAATTAGATTATTGCTTCATCTTTGAATGACAGCATGACACAGTGTTTGTAAAACTATGACTTGATTGGTCCCAGACACTTCAATTGAGCTGCTTTTCATCTGCACAGTTCTAACATTTCCATGATACCTTCACATACGTGATTTCACTTTTTAAAAAAACTTTTATTTGGATAATTTCAAAATATACAAAGAGAGACTTAAATTATGTACCTCCTAGATATTAATGTCAACAGTTATTAACACAGCCAATTTAATCTTTACCATACCTTCTACATCCCACTCTGGTGGTAGTCTGCTTTTGGAAGGGTAGACCAGGCAAAAGGGTTGTAACAGGCCCTAAAAGTGGGCCCAGCATATTGTTTGCTCTAATAACTAACAAACACAAACCAAGCAACATGGTAGTCCATACAGTAGAATATTCTGAAGCTGTAAAAAAGAAGCTTTCTAGCCAGGCACCAGTAGCTCATGTCTGAAATTCTAGCTACTTGGAAGGTTGAGATCAGGAGGATCATGGTTCAAGGCCAGCCCCAGCAAACAGCTAGTGAGAACCCCATCTCCAAAATAACCACAGCAAAATGGACTGGAGGAATGGCTTAGACAGTAGAGCACCTGCTTTGCAAGCACAAAGCCCTGAGTTCAACCCCAGTCCCACCAAAAGGCAAACAAAAAATCATGAAGTTTTCTATGTAATGATTTGGAAGAGCTCTTCTTAGATCTTTAGTTAAATGGAAAGTGCATAGGTACAGAGAAAATGCAAATAGTTATCTTTTGAGTGAAGACACAAAGGGGTTGCTTGGAAGTAGTAAGACACACTAGACAGATAAATAAGAAAGAATAACGAATACATATGTGGAGGGGAGGGAGGCAAACCAGGCATACGAGGAGCAAGGAAAAAGTAAAGTTTGACAGTATAATACCTTTGTATCCTTTAAAAAAGCCTTTAAACCATATGAATGTATTCCCTTCTCAAGAAATAAAAATTTTGTAATAGAACTTAACATTTTAAAGTTTGTTTTAAAAATTATATGATTCTGAATGATAACAATTAATGGACCATTTATTTCCTTTTCCCTCAACTTTTAAATTGTAATATAAAGACTACTGCATGACAAAGAAGAAACTGGTTCCAGAGCATAAAGACACAAAAGATTTTAGACAAGACTTGCACTCAAATATATCTGGACTTCATGCAGCTGCTCTGAATACGTCTACCGTGAACTCAAGTCCTTCTCTTCCTTATTCTTGTGAATTACCTTTATGTTATTTTGCCTCAAATTGTGCATATTCATCCAGGGAGCATGTGGACAGAGCATCAAACTTCTGCAAGGATGGTAGAAGCCATAATGAAACTGTGAAGCATTGTAACCACAATGACTCTTCACAAAAATTACAGATGAACGCTTTTAAAAATGCCATACCTTGTTCTGATGCACAAAAGGCCATTACTTCTTCAGAGGCAATTGACAGATTTATGCCTAGAACAACACAATTGCAGGAGCGTAAAAGAAGACGAGAAGATGATCGTAAACTTGGAACTTTCCTTGAAACAAGCACGAGCAGTAATGAGGTTATGATTGGGCCTCAGTTGCCCAACATACCTAAAGTGGACCTGCAGGATGACTCCTTGAATACCACAGCAAACTTAATTCGGAATAAACTGAAAGAGGTGAGAGCCTTTGAAAAACCGTTTGAAGTAACAATTTAGTGATAGGACTGACAACTAGAAGGAAAATTATTTGTGGGAGCTATAAAATTGTATTTTTTTCATATTTTAGTTTTGATGTTTTCCTACAGTTCTACATTCAGATAACTTAATTTGACTAATATTTATTTCTTTGACAGTAATTCTTACTTTAAACCGTGAGCAGAGGCTGGCAGAGTGGCTCAAGTGGTGGTAAAGTGCCTGCCTAGCAAGCATGAGGCCCTGAGTTCAAATCCCAGGAGTACCAAAAATATACTATTATTTTATTGGGCTGGAGGTGTGACTCAATTGGTAGAGCACTTGCTTTGTAAGCACAAAGCCCTGACTTCAAGCCCCAGTCCCACCAAAAAAAAAAAAAAAAAAGAAAACTTTAAACAGTGAGCAAATGTATTTTATGTCACAGTAAATACAGAATACTAAAGCAGTGTTGTCAGTCAATTAACCCAGTCAGTGGTAGTGGATTCCAGGCCCCCTCCTTTTTAAAGCTCCTTATGTACATAGTTCTAATATAAGCCAAAGCTGAGGAAGAAAATTATTATAAATTATGTCTTAAGAGACATATTTCAAAGTTCTTACAGATTTAGTCAAAGCTGAAATGCTTACTTTGCTGCTATGATAAAGATAGTGATAGAAGGAAGTGAGATTTCTATTTATTTATATTTTGTGGTGCTGGGGATCAAATCAGGGCTTGTGCATGCTAGGTAAGTGCTGTACCTCCAAATTAGAACACAACTAGATTGTGCTATTAGGTAGTTGTTTTTTTTTTTTTTTTTAACATTATTACATAATCATTTTCCACTTCCTAAGCTCAAGTAAAAGAAAGTTAACATTTAAGTTAGCTTTTGTGTTTTCATGGAACTGGGCTTTGCACTTACAAAGCAGGTGCTCTACCTGTTGAGCCATACCTCCAGTTCTTAAGTTAGCTTTTGAAAGATGCCTTTTTGTTGGAAGGGGTAGCGGAGCCTTTTAAAAAATCATAAGCTGAGGGTCATAACCATTCTCTTATATTTAATTCTCAGGCTCAGAAAGTGCTTTTCACATAATGGTACATATATTTTACAGTGTGATAAAGGATGACTAAGGTGAACCTAATTTCTTTTACTGAGATTTTTTTTACCTGAAAATTGTTACCTGATTAAGGATGAGGGATTATTTATTAATAATAAAAGTCCATGGATACAGTTTTTATACTTGAACCTCCTTAAGTTTTTTAGTTAGTGCTGGCAGGTGCATCTGAATTGAGGCATAGATGTAGATACATATCTGTCTTAGCCAGGGCTGACTGCATTTTCAGAGTATAAAGTCCAAATTCTAAAGCTAATAGAAAATACAAAAGAGAAATATTCAGCACAATTTCTAATAATTTTCCATTTCAGTTAAAGACTATCTTAACTCTGCTTTGATTTATTGCCCACACTTTTTCTGATGATGTTTTGACACTTAATTCTCAGTCTCTGAGAATTATACAATTTTCTGTTCATTTCTCCAGATTTTTCATTCTGTCCCCCTAAGTACCCATGTCTCTATATCTCAGACATTATCAGTGATTCAAGAATGCAATATCTATTTGTATTTATAAATAACAAATTATCTATTTGTATTTGTAAAATAAGTTATGTTAGATCTATGAAAGAATGTTAAAGGAAAGCAATGTTCACTTTTTCATTTTTTGGCAATCTTTGGGATTGAACCCAAGGCCTTACAACATGCTGATAAAGCACTGCCCACTCACAGCCCTCTTTCCAAATTTTTTCTTAGTAAATGGCTTAGAAATTTTACTCCTATCTGTGTTTAAAAAGAGAACTTTTCTCTGTGCTTACATTGTAAGCTGTACCTTGAACTTGGGTCAACTTTGTCTCAAAAGTGATGGCAAGCGGCTGGAGGTGTGGCTCAAATGATAGAACACCTGCTTTGTGAGTGCAAAGCCCTGAGTACAAATCTTAGTCCCATCGAAAAAAAGTGACGGCAAGGACTGAACTCTTACTTATATATGCTGTTCCTTGTGAGTTTGTCCCCACCCCCGCAGTGCTGTGGTGAACTCAGCTTAGCAAACACTACCACAAGAGCCATGCCCCCAATACTTTTGTTTTAGTTAATTTTCAGATAGGGTCTGGTGTTTTGCCTGCCTTGGACCACAGTCCTACTACCTATGCCTCCTGCATAGCTGGATTACAGGTTATTTTATTGAAATGGAGTCTAGCAAACTTCTTTTGCCTGGACTGGCTTCAAACTGCAATCCTCTCAATCTCCATTTCCTGAGTAGCTGGGATTAGAGGTGTGAGCCACTACGCTTGCCTGTATCCTTCTGACAATTTATTTACTCCTGTACTATAAGAAATAAGTTGTTTAGTGATTCTTTTTTCTTTTTAATTAGGTAATTTCATCTGTGCCAAAACATCCAGAGGACAAGTTGGAAGATGTGCATATAAGTTGTCCATTAAAGCAAAGAAGAAGAATATAAATTGCTAGTAGCAAGTTGGTAGTTTCTAAAGAGAATATTTATTTTTAGCCTATTATTTTAATTCTTTGAGAGATTTTACTATTATTTTTAAATGCACTTCTTTTTGTAATTTCATTCAGACTATCTGTCTAAATAGCTCCATCTTTGATCCATACTTAATATTGCAGAAACTGTTCTTGTCATATAGCATTATCTCACAGCACCTATATGAAAACCAATTGAAGCAAATATAAAAGCTGCAATAAAAATAAAGATAGGTAACCGTTGGATCTGTTTCTGATTTTAATGTAACTATTAAGCAGTTTACATTCAAATACTAGAAGACGAGATGTTTCTGAATACTAGGGCTTCAAAATGAAAACAATTCTGTAAAGTAAAAAAGAAAACTGTTAGAACAAAGTTGAAAATAGAAGCTTACAATGCTTTTGGTCCTTGTAAGAAGAATACTTGATTTATGGCAGTTGAAAAACAAATGAGTTTTAGAAAATATAGCTTCGTACCACTCCAGTTTTGGCATATCCACACTTTTCCCTCTGTCTGTGAAAAGTACAGTTGATCAAAGTAAGAATAAGGAAGTAAACTTTATGAGCCAAATGAATTAAGTAGGCTGAGAAAACTTTTCAGATTCATACATGAGAAGCCTTTATGAACACAAATGAAACACTATAAAATACTATGTATGTGTTCAAAAATTTAAAACTTATTTTAAACTTATTTCAAACAATGATAGCAGTTGGGTTGGAAGAGTTTATGGTGGGTACTTGCTAAATCTACTCTTTAGTCAATGTTCTATCACTTAATAAAGCCAATATACTCTGATTTGAGTTTGAGCAAATGTTGTCACACTACTATAGATGATAGGAACTGTGTGTGGTTAAAGGTTCATGCTTAATAAAAACCTGCCAAATTTAGTTACTGAAGTAATCTGTGATAGCATCTTTGTAGTGCCCCAAACTAGGATGAGGCCAATTCCTTTATGATTGCCTAGTCTTCAGCAGTGGGCTGCAGCTACAGGGGTGAGAATCTAGCAAATATTACTTTCTGGCCCTTTAAATTTTCCCCTCAGTCAACTTGGGTTTTTGGTACTTGTAACTCTACCTTTGCTTCTGGCAAGCATGGGCCAACACCTCCAACAGAAGTGTGTCTTCTCTCACTGCTTTTTCAAAGTCTGCAAAAGATATCTTGCCATCATTGTCATAATCCTATAAAGAAAGATGTTTCTTAATAAGTAATAGTCTTAATTTTTGCCATACCAAATAGCTGTCTAGACTAAAAGATTTTACTGAGTAAAACTGTAAGTTCATACATCTGAAGATACTTTTTATATAAATCAGAAGGTATTTATAGAAGACACATATTTTATTCATATTATTCTAGTAGGTAACCTATCTTATCAATATAAAATGAAGCTCTGGCCTAAAAAGTGGGGAAATAGAACAAAAAATTGGAAAAACCGTTTTTGTTCTCGTTTTTTTACAGTACTGGGGCTTGAACTCAGGGCCTCATGCTTGCTAGGCAGGCGTTCTACCACTCCACTAACCCTGTTTTGTCTTGGGTTTTTTCAAGATAGGGTCTCACAAACTGTTTGCCTGGGCTGGATTCAAACCACAATCCTCCTGATCTCTGCTTCCTGAGTAGCTAGGATTACAGGCATGAGCCACCCGTGCTTGGCAGCAGCTCCCAATTTTATATGAAGTGAATGTGGTCTCCCCCAAAATTAATAAGGTTTTACTGATTGTAAAATATTTTAATATAATAAAATTAACATTTATTTTATATAGTGATTATTTAATCACCTAGCCTGTCCATAGATATTTATTGGGCACTCACTTTCTGCAAGGCAATGGATAAAGTAGAGAACAAATAAAATTGCCTTTATAAAAGTCACATTCATTATTGAGGAAAATAATAAGTTGTCTTTTTCCTTACCTTTGTGAAACAACTACTTGATTGAATGTAGTACATTACAGTTTTTCATTCTTACCATTTTCTTCAGTGTTATATCTACCAACTCCTTTATTCCTTCATCATTCTCTTCTTCTGGTGACTGTTGATAGAGACTGTTCTTCAATAAGTCAAATACTTCTTCTCGAGAAATATAACCATCTCCATCCAAATAGTAAACTTCAAAACAGACTTTGTAAAGCATAAGAAGTTTAAAAAATTAAGAACAGTTAAAATTTCATCAGTCTTCTCCTTAGTTATTTCAACATGTAATACCAAAGTTCAAAAGCAATTTATCCACCATACAATTACTTATCTAACTTATTATATGGTGGGGAGATTTGGAAATAAGTACTGCACCAAACTTACATGGGAACCATACTTAAATGTTATCTCATGAAAAATCGATGGGGAGGAGGTGGAAATAAAAAAATCCATAAATGTAGATTTGATAATTTTAAAAAAATGCCATAATCTTTTTGTTGGTTCTGGGGTTTGAACTCAGGGCCTTATGCTTGGTAGGCAGGCACTCTTTACCACTTGAGCCAGTCTACAACCATTAATTTTTTTTAAATGTGTCCTTAATTTAGAGATCTTTTCAGTGTCCCAAATCCAAATGTAAGTGAAAGAACAAGAAGGGATAAAAATTTGCTCATTTATGTGTGACTGCAGTTTTTCCTTAAGCAGTTAGACATTTTAAGCAACTCATCTCCTTCTCAAAATGTTCCTGTTCTCTTTCCAGAGTTCCTCTGACATAGGAAATGAACATCACCCCAATAGGGCAAACCATTGCTGGTTCTAGACAAAATTGTGAATTAAGATTATTGTCTTTGGAATTCCTAATGTTCCTTTTAAGTAGGAAGTTCCATTTATAACACTCCTTGCTCTGGACTTACACTGTCTTCAGACTCCTCTCTTTACTTCCCTCTTCCTAATTGATCTAAAACAACTCCAACAGTGGAATATTAATGTCTGGTGGCTAGTGTGTATTTAATCTCATCCTATATCAACCCCTCACATATTATTTGGTAGTGAAAAGACCAGAAGGAATGGCCCCAAAGTAACATATGTACAGCCCTATATCAAGGCCTGTTTCCTGCTGAGCACAGAGGCAACCTCAGAAACCTTGGCCTTGCCAGCTAATCAGAGTTGGCACAAGCCTGACCCTTAGCTGCTATTCTTAACCTGGCTTGTAAATCAAAGACCTAGTCTGATGAGCATTATAGAATCAACTGGTGAAGCAAATGATTTGGGGCTCTGGGGCTATACCCCAAAATGATTTGGAGTCTTGGGTTTGGGACTTCCTTGGCCTTACAATGAGGCTACCCATTTCATCTGTTTTCTTTTTGTTTTGTTTTGAGCTGTCATGAAACATTTTTGCAAGGTTGTTACAGAGAACACTGATTTCATGTTTTTATTTATGTATTTTTTGGGAGTACTGGGTTTTGAACTCAGGGCCTCATGCTGCTAGGCAGGTGCTCTACCACTTGAGCCACTCTGTCAGCCCCAATTTCATTTTTTAAAAATTTTATTGTTTTTAGATTTACTCGAATGTGTATACATTGTTTGGGACACCTTCCCCCACCCCCAATTTCATATTTTTAAATACATAAGCATTCACTAAATATGGAGCTAACAATACATATCACTAAGCCAGGAACCTTACATTTCAGCTTTTCTTCAAGAGTCCCTCGAAGAAATACTGTTAATCCTTCAACCCATTCTGCTGCACTTATGTAATTATCATTGTCTTTATCAAATGCAAAAAACACTGAAAGAAAAAGAATGTGTTTTAAAATTCAAATGATGAGAGAGAAAAACTTTTTTCCCACATTGAGGAGGAAAAAAAGGTTTGGATACTGTCTTCTTGAGAGTCAAAGGTACTGGGTATGTGTTTCCTCCTAAATTTTTTTTTAATTTTTATTTTATTCATATGTGCATACAATGTTTGGGTCATTTCTCCACCCTTCCCCCACCCCCTCTCTTAACTCCCTGCCCCCCCTCCCCCCCACCCCTCGCTACCTGGCAGAAACTATTTTGCCCTTATCTCTAATTTTGTTGAAGAGAGAGTATAAGCAATAATAGGAAGGACCAAGGGTTTTTGCTAGTTGAGATAAGGATAGCTATACAGGGAGTTGACTCATATTGATTTCCTGTACATGTGTGTTACCTTCTAAATTAATTCTTCTCGAACTAACCTTTTTTCTAGTCTGCCCCATGACTAATGATGACCCTCATTTGTGATATTTTAAGTTAGTAGGAGCTAAGAAGACAAACCATAAAACCAATCAATGACAATTGGCAGAAAGTCTGTTCTAAAGAGTTGCTGTAACACCAAAGGTGTTACACTAAAGTAATGCTGTGTGTGCGTGTGTGTGTGTGTGTGTGTGTGTGTGTGTGTGTGTGTGACTGGAGTTTGAACTCAGGGCTTTGTGCTTGCTTGAGCCACTTCAGCCCTTTCTGTTTTATTTTGGAATAAGGGCTCATGTTTATGCCTGTGCCAACCTGGACCACGATCCTCCTATTTATGCCTCCTTTGTAGCTGGATTGATAGACATGTGCCTCCACACCCTAATTGTATTGGTGGAGATAGGGTCTCACTAGCTTTTTGCCCAGGCTGGACTCAAATAGTATCATCTCAATCTCCTTATCCTAAGTAGCTAGGATTATAAGTGTGAGCCCACAGCTGAAATACATTATTATTTTTTATTTTATCATTTTTACATTTCCTCACATGTATATACATTGTTTGGGCCACTTCCCCCCACCCTCCATGTAATACATTATTTTTAAAGTTACCAATGAAATCTTAGTACTTCCTACAGAAGATAAGTAAAAATGTTATCTACTCTTTTAGAGATGTAGATATGTGAATTATTTTGATTGTGGTGATGGTTTCACAGGTATATACATGTATCAAAACTTACCAAATTATACCTTTAAGATGTTGCTAAACTAATAAATTACACTGAATAATTTACTATTTAAAGTATATTTTTCTTTGATATTTCTAACATAATGAGTCATTATTATTTTTATACTGACTGATACATTCTCCATTTTTCTAAAGAAAAAGAACTCAACTAATAATTTATGTATGAAAAGCATGATTTCAAAGTCATCATGACTAAAATCTACAAGTTGCTTATTTTTTAAAAATTCTACTAGTTTATGTGGTTTAGTGATTATTTCTCAAAGGTGAACAACTGAGATATGAAATTCTGAGTGAGTTTGTGTTAAAACAATCCTCACAAACTAATTACTGTTTGTAGTACACACTACTAGAATTATGTCTTCCTAGTTTGGCATTGAAAAAGCTTTGGTCTTTGATGACAATTGAATACATACAATTTTCATCTCAGATGGTTAGGTTTTAGTCTGACGTCTTACCCCTGTTCATCAGCATATCATCAGTCATTCCAAATATGTTGAACAGGATCCCTCGAAATGTGTTACGGTCTAGCCCTTTGTTACCAAATCTTCCATTTCTTCTCACCAAGCTGTGATAAAGGCCTATGAGACACTCTACTTCACTTTTTTTGACTACAAAATGAAAAGAAAAACAAATATAAATCAGATTTAATTGCCAAGTTGTTCAAGTCAACTACATGTATTTTACTACATAGCTATTTTGTTCCTATGATGCCAGGTGGCCTGGTGATACAAAAAAGTGTATGATAAAGATTTGTCACTTAAGAGCTCACAAAATTAAGATGGCCTAACTCAGAAGTCTCGTAAGGCTATGACTCTATAACTCTCTATACTCCTAAGGTTACAAATGCTGAATTACGTAACTCTTACTGCCGTAGACACATAGGTAGAAAATTTGCTGTGGGAAAGAGAATTTGGGATATTTCCATAGGAGCAGTAGCTTTTGAACTGGGCCTTGAAGGATACACAGTGTTTACCTAGAAAAGAATGTGTTTTGGGGTGGTAACAAAGTGGAGAATTCTAGGAAAAGTGAACAAATTAGTTGAGTAGTTGAACGACTACCCCTTACTGGGGGCAGAGCAAGAGCTGGGAAAGAAGTGAAAAACAAGATGGAAGAGGATGGGCTCAGGTAGAGGCTCTCAAATGCCTGCCCTAAGGATTAATGTTTACTATGCAGGAGCAGAGTTTCTTTCTCATGGCATTGTTTTTGGACTGCCTGTGACAATCAACCCCCTTTCTACTGCCCCATGCTGGTTAGATATGCAGATTCCCAGGACATGCTCCAGATGTGCTAAATCAAGATTGCTAAAAATAGGCCCAGGAATGAACTTTTAAATAGGGCTTAGTTGATTCTTCTCTGCCCTAAAGCAACAGAATCTTTGGGCTAAGTCATTAAAGATTTTGGAGTCAGAGACCATGACAATAAAAGTGGTTTTAGGAAAATGTATCTGGCAAAGTTATATTGAAGCAGGATAGCTGGAAGGATGGAAGCCAGGTGTGGAGTGACAGCTTTGGCTAGTGAAGTGGAAGGACAGAAAACCTGAGAGGGAGCCTGAGATGCTGCAGAAAGTAAGTAGGGGTTTGTGATAGCCGTATTTGCAGCTTTTAAGTGGAAAACTTTAAATATTCAGAATCAAGTCTCACTCCAGACTTAATAAAATGCTATTTAGAAGTGCAGAGGTGGTTCTGATGCACTGCTAGGACTGGCTTTGTGAATTGGGGTACTAGACTTAAGCATCTGAATTCTACTTCCATTTCTTACCCTGAATTGCTGGGAGACCTATTATGCCTTAGTGTCCTCATCTGTAAAAAACTGGGTATTGTCCTGGATGATCTCTGAGATTACTTGATCTCTAAGAGTCTAATTCTATGAACCAAAGATCACTTGAGAGAAATAGAAGAGTTAGGAGTGAAAGCTGGCTACTATTTTTTAATTTCCTTTCTCCTCTCCTTCCTCCTTTTCTTTTTGGTGGGGAAGGTGAGGAAATAAAATTATTTATATGTTGTCTTTGGGGTGATTGTAGGTTTCAAGTGATATCAATACATAGCAAATACTCCATTTACAGTATGTGGGTTTCTATGGGGTCAGAAGAATGACTTTGTTTTTAGTATAGCGACTGATAATCTAGAGAATAAAAATTTACAAAGATGACTAATAATACTATTTTTATTAATAGAATTAAATTTACTGTCTTCTTGCTTAATATGTCACACTGTAACAATGAAGTCCTGTAATAGAATGTAAATGTTATTTTTATTTAACCAATAAGCATTAAGGACCTCCCACAAACTAGACAATGAATATTCCATGATTTCTGCCCTCAAGATTGCTACGATCTGGAGAGAGAATGAACTAAGAGGGTTGGAGTGTAGTTTAGTGGTGGAACACTTGACTAGCATGTGCAAGGCCTTGGGTTTGATTTCTAGCACCTCTTCCCCACCAAAAAAAAAAAATCTTTGTGAAGAGGTGAAGAAATAAACACAAGAAAGTATTAGAAGCACTGTGATTGAGGGTTTGGCCATGCCCAAAAGAAGGGATAATAACTGGGGAGGTGGTAAGTGATCAAGAAGGATTCCAAGGAGGAGGTGTCACAAGCTGTCCCCCAGCTTGAAGGCTGGGAGGGATGTTCTCAGCTGTGGGTGATGGTTTAGTGTGGCCAGATGGCAGTAGCTTAACTTTGCTGCAATGGGAGCTTACTGAAAAAGTCTGGCTGGTAAGTTAAGTTGTTTGAGTTAAGGCAAATCACTTTGGCAGTAGATTCTTGAAACTACTTATGGTGAACCTGATGGTGCCGTTTGTATTTCTGTTTTCCTAGATGATTATAATAATCTATCCCATCACACATACTTTTCTTACATTGTGACTTTGATCCTCTTCAAGAGATGGGGTCTTTGTCTCCTCTTAAAGCTAGTGAGATTTTTGTGACAGTTTTAGTGTACAGTGGAAACGAGGCTGTGATTTACAAGGCTAGGTCATAAAAGGGGATGCAGCTTCTTTGAGGACAAAAACTCTTATTTGGGCCATGAAGAAAAAGGAAGTTCAGCTGTGAGTACACTGTGTGGAGTGTCTATTTTGGAATAATGTTGATGTACTTAGCAACGTTTAGTTTGGAAGACTTACTTTAGAATAATTTTAAGCTTACATAGGATATGTAAAGATAGTGGAGAGTTCCTGTATCTTCACACAGTTTCTCCCTAATGTTAACCATCTTACGTAACCATGGTGCATTTGTCAATGCTAGTGTATTAACTTTGCCATATTATTCTTAATGATAAACTTTAATTGGATTCCAGCAAGTTTTCCACTAATGTCTTTTTTTTTTTTTTTATGGCGGTGGTTATTGTAGGACCAAATCCAGGATGTTACATTTGGTTATTTATCCTCTAATCTGTGATAGTTTTCACTCTTTTCTTGCTTTTCATGACCTTGAGTTTTGATTTTGTAAAATTTGGTTTTGCCTGTTTTTTCATGACTGGACCATGGTTGAGTTTTGGGGAGGAATGCCACAGAAGTGCTCTTCTCATCATGTCATATGTATCAACATGATACATCACTGTGATTGTTAACTATTGTCACTTGGTTAAACTAGTCTGCAGGTCTCTCTTTACTGAAGTTACAATTTTTCCCTTTCTGCAATCTTTTGAAGTTAGCTATTGAAAAAGTGAATTAAGTTCTACTTCCTGGCAAGTGGTATCTATACTATTAATGTGGAGTTCTGTTGCAAATCTCTTTATTGAAGGATGGTATTTAGAAACCAAGGTCTGGGCAGTGGGTATGCTTGTTGCTATTGGGTGTTACTACTTCCCATCCTCTCAGAAGAGCTAAGTAGGAAATTCATGCATACCAACCTATTTACACACACGTTGCCCCATGTTCTTTGTCTCACTATACTAGTTCTAGAATACAAAACATTCTAGATTGAGCTGAAAAAAATGGAAATGTCTTCCACTGGAGGTAACTAGCTTTCTGAGGGTCTGGGAGTCACACACTGGACTAGAAGAGACTTTTTGCTCATGAGGCCTATAAAGGTTCCCTCCTAAAACAAAACTGTAAAGGAAAGCCCAGGGAAAACCACTTCAACTTTCTGCCACATGGGACAATTAGAATTTTATATGCCAACAGAAATAAAAAGATAATACCTCTTGAGAAGGCCGAGGCAGCACTACCTCTGTTAGCTCTGCTCACTCCTACCTATTCAGAACCAAATTCCTCTCATGAGATGAAGACCAATATCTGCTCTGGTCTCAACTGGAATGATCCAAGAATTGAGCTACATTCAACAAGTATTTACTGTGCACTTAGTATGTTAGAGCACCAGACAGAAAGACCACGAGAGTTGTCTATATTGCTGATCAGTAGGATTTGAGAAGTAAACATTTGAGCACAGGGACCAGAATCAGAATCTGGGTGCCAACTCTTTCTCCAACAGTTAGGGCCACTAGATGTTCAATTTGACAAAAGAACATCTACGACTGTTTCTATTTCTGAAAACAGGAAAAAATATCACCTACCTCATTGGGTTTGTCCTTAGAATTCAAAGATGATTAATATAAGCCATTCAGCAGTGTCTAACTCAGGAAGATCTCAATAAAACACCAGCCATTTGAAAATTTGTAAGTATGAAACATTTCCTTTTCGATGTCAGAAAACTTAGGCTCCATTAAAAAAGTAGTAGCTGATGGTAGTATTTATTATCTTACTATACTCAGCACTGGCTAAATATATAGGACAGATTTTAAGGGCTTCAAAATAGCAGGACTGGAAAACAGGCCCTTAGAAGTGCTAGAGGAACTCAGATTAAAACCCAATTGAAATGAAATTGAAACAAGTCTGAGTCTTAGGGTGGCACCTATCCTTTGAGGTCACCCAAGGAAAAATGGAAGTGCTCTCAGCAATGATTCTGTAACTATGCATGAAATTAACTTCCTTAATGTATGTAGGACTGAGGCTTGCCAATCTGTACTGCGGTCATGTCAGAGAAACAAAACTCACAAGATTGCTTAAGGTCTTCCAGGGCAAGGACTTAAAAAAAAAAAGTCTGTTAAAGTCACTAGCTTTTAATAAGCAAACACTTGCCATGTGGAAAGCATGTTGTGACTTCTTCAATATCTTAAGTATCTTTATGTATCTCTATTAATTCCCTGAAGTACAGCAACCATCGACCACTTTGAGTTTTGTGCTAGAAAACTTGGAGGATTGACCAAGACAGACTTTTATAATTTAGTAACTCATTAAATTTCAATATGACTGTAACATCAGTCTTGGGTTGGCAGATAATCCTTTAGCATTTGTCATGTAAATTTTAAGCTATTCTTCCCACAAGTACTTTCTGTGTAATTGCTTGCTGGCTTATCTACTTTTAAAACAGCCAAAATATTAGACATAGGATCACTCTAGGGTTACAAAACACTCGTTAATGCCAAACTAGTATGTCTCCAACTATTGTGTTGGCCAACATTTGTATCTGATTGCATCAAGATGTTCAGGAACTGTTGGTATCTGGTCCCTACTTACAGCTCTTGACTGTTTTACTGATGGATTCCACCAGCTTCTTCAGTGCCCTCTGCTCCATGTTGAGTGTGGCTTCAACACCCTGCGGCTTCCCAATCTAATTCAGAACTTGGGTGTCTTAAGCTATACCAGCCTTTCCACAGTTCACCATCCAATTCCAACTTAGAACGTGGACACGGCAACTTCCCAGCAACCAAACACAAGATTCTCAAGTAGTTGGAAAAATAGGCAACAATGTTTGCTACCACTTAGTACATATGCCGGAATTTCATCAAGGTTACTGCAATCTGAAGCACTACTGTATCTTTTCTTTGGGGTTGAGCGTCATTTAAAGTAGCATTTCGTATTATTGCCACGTATATTCCCTCAGCACAAATTAAAAATGTTTTTCCCTATTTGAACACACCACTAAGAATGATCACAAAAATCTTATTCTTTAAGTGAGAATAAGAACTTCCTCTAAACTCTAATCAAGAGCCCTCTCATGAGATCCAGAGGCTTCAATCTGGGACCTTCAAGAATGTAAAAACCCACTTTCATGCCTCTGGTAGGAAAACAGGTGTTAGTAAGTTAAAGCTAACCAAAACATCAACTGTTCTAACTTGTCTTTTATAAAATCCTGGTAGAGAAAACAAACATCACATCTACCTGCTGGGCTTCACATTGTAAGGCAAGAAAATGTACTAAAATTATTTTTAGAATTTAAGACCCAATATTCTCTTATTTTGTTGTTGTTGCAAGGGGTCAAACACAGGGCTTTGTGAATGGTAGGCAAATGCTTTAGTGAGCTACATCCCCAGCTCTAGAATGCAATATTCTTATCAATTTATTTTTATTTTGGGAATTAAACTCAGGGCTTCATGTTGTACCACTGAGATATATCCCCAGCCTCTCTTAAATTTTTATTAAGAATAAAAAATTTTATAAGAAGGCAGATACAATTTTAAAAAAAGTTTTCCCAAAACCTCCCTTATAAAAAATACTCAGTGAATGCAACTGACTTTAAGTTAAAACATGGCAAAAATTTTTAGCTGTGAAATCTGTCAGTTAAGTCTGAAGAACGCTGTATTGGTTTCCCAAGAGCAGTCTACCGTTTACTATGAAATGAGTAGGTTTATAGCACGTGGTGATTGAAGGAATACAAACCTGTATTCTGAATAAAGACACTCTTGTACTTAAAACTATAGTTATTCTAATTCAGAGTAAATGAAAAATGTAGCAGTGGTATAGTCAATTTTCCTAGGGCTGACAGAGTGGCTCAAGTGGTAAAGTGCCTGCCTAGGTAGTGTGAGGCCAAGTCCAAATCCCAGTACCATGAAAAAAGCCAATTTTCCTATACAGAACTCATCAATTTCTGCCAGTTATCCTGGTGCCATAGTAACATGTCTTGTTTATAAAATTGGTGTAAACTTAAGAGACAGCGGAAGAGATGTTACTATCTTGCACTCTATAGTAGCTATGGAATCAATATAACTGACATTACTCCATCACAGATTCTTTTCATACCTTAGTGGAAGACTGTCAAGGTTACCTCAGAGGAACAATGAAAAAGGTGTGTCCCAGAGTCAGCAAAGTGAAAGGGGTACAAATTTTTTGCCCAATCACCTTTTCCCTTTTCTCAGATGGACAGCTGCTTCTAGTTGGCTGTCATATTCTAGATCAGTCTGTAAAGCTGCACTTTTACAGTCACAGCAAAATTGTCCAACAAATGACCTAATAAACTTTTAATGATTTTCAAGAACAGTATTTTTGAAAAGCTTTCTTTTGGAATATAAACTGTTCCTCAAATTTTCTGTGTACTCAAGTGCATTCAGATTTTTTTGTTTGTTTTGAGATAGGGTCTTAAACCCACTATGCAGCTCAGGCTGGACTCAAACTTGAGCCTCCTGCCTTAGCCTCCCTAGTGCTGGCATGCATATAGGTATCTTTTGTGATGAAATAATGGGAAACTTTAAGTGTAAAAGTTAAGGAAACTTTCAAAGGAATGTTTTCTGTTTGCTTTTAAACCACTAAAAACTTGAAGATATATCTTACCTGTCTGTCACTAACACTAATATTTTCCTTTATAACTTTACTTGTAACCCAAAGGGAGATATAAGAGCACAGATTTTTTTTTTAAGTAAAATAGCTATTTATTCAGCTTCTTGTCATGCCAAAATGCTTTGTGGCATATTATAAATTTTCCCCCCCCCAACCATAATTTTTTTAGCCCAAACCCTCTGAACAGGCAAACTTGTACATCAAAATTATATTTAGTTATTATATAAAAATGTAAAATGAACGTTTATCAATTCCTTTTAACATTCCTAATAGTTCAGCAGGAAGATATAAAGCATAAAATTCTTAGTAAAATATGATCACAGGAAAGCAGTAATGGTAATTCTACTGAAAGTTAACTTATAATTTTTATTAATATACAAAAGACAATCAACGTTTTTAAAAACACTGTATTTACTAAGATTCTGGCAATAGCTTTAAAATGTAACAAGGATACAGCATACCAGGCCTGCACTCAACTTTGCTTATTGGTGAAGTCTCAGCTTCAATATGAACTGTTAAAAACGAAAAAATCAAACCCTGCCTTTTTACATGCTAACTTGGGCAAGTATGCCATTAAACAATAATGACGTAAGATAACAAGAGTAAGGAGTTAACTAAAACAAACATTGCAGCCCTAAATAAAACCCATACAAAAAATAAAGTAACAATCCTGGTTACGTACAATTTTCTTCGACGGTTTAAAACCGCAACAATATAAAACATGCATTTAGGATCTTCAGCGATCAGTTTCAAAAAGTACCAGTGTCAAATTTAACGAAATTCCTCTCCAAAGCAAAAATGTAGTCAAAATGAAATCAAACAACATAACATAATTTCAAATGCTAAAAACCAATATTGTTATTATTGAAGTGGAGTAAATGCCAGAGCTTTTGGGGGCTTTCTCATGCTGCAAAGGGCTTGTGTATCTCTGGTTCACTCAAAGCAGCACACAAACAAAGGTCCCAAGGCATGTCATTAGCTCAAGTAAAGGGCAAATGAAGGTACCCAGCTCTGACCTTCCCAGGAAGCATGGCTTCCTGTTGTGTCCGGCAAAAATAGGACATGAAGGATCAAAGGCACGTATTTCTGCTAGCTAAAGAGATAACAACCACCCCTCCCACACTAAGATCTTCCTTCCCCCCAGGGTAAATAAAAAATATCCAGGGAAAAAATTAAAAACTACACTTATCTACAGAGTAAGGGATTTTTGAAATATTAATGTAATCCTTACTTTAAAATTTTAAGCCTAGAATCACATCTGTACTTCTGATTATATCCAATAGATGTATGCCGCAGATTCAGTTTTTCTGTTTATTTATCACTGGATGCTTCTAGTCAAAATATTAAGCTTTATTCCCAAATATCTTAACCTAGTACAACTGCAGTGTATTATCTCCCAGGATATTTCAAGCACTGGAAGAGGAAAAGTAGAATGCTCAAGCAGAGGCAACGATCATGGTGCCTTTCCCAACAGAGAGCATCTGAGCTGGTTTACTCAACAGTCCAAGAATAATTCTAAAACAAGAAAACTCATGCATTTTAGTGAATTATGTTCATTAATTTTTCAACAGTTTGAAATCTCCTTAGAACATTGCACTTTCTTTATAAAGGAATTCTGTTTTTTCTACATGTTATGGCGAGTCAGGACTTGAACTAGCAGCCTTCTTTTTCTTCTTCTTACTGTGTTTCTTATGCTTCTTTTTCTTTTTTGTTTTTTCCTATAAAGACAATTCCATGTTAGACATTACTTCAGGAAAATGTGCAAACTAAAAACATCTTTACCGTGGTACTTCTAAGCTACCACAAGCAATCCACATACCCAGGTAAACAAACCTTTTTGAATGAAGTCTTAATATCAGTTTCACATGAGGACTAAGAGTTCTTATCAATTTTCAAAAAGACGGAAAAACTCTTAAGTCACTGGCATGTTATCATAGTTTCTAACACAATTTCTTATAGAAAATAAACTCAATTGAATTATGCAATCAATTGCTATTTCTTGCTATATAATTTCTAAAGATAAAGTAATCACAGCTACTGTATAGGAGTATCATAACAGCAAATTGTTTTGACAAAATGAGTTTCCAAGGGGAGCAGAAAACACTCAATCCACTATTTTTATGTATATAGAACACATTGTGCACTCCTCAAACTGCTAACAACTTCTTAAATTAACACCAACTCACTAATGCAAAGTACTGAAGTACAGGTGGAAAGTCCATTTTACTCAAAAAATAAACAGATGCTTAATCTTTTGAGGGAAATGTCACTGCAGCCTATAAAAAGCAGTCAAATTGAGTGGATAAAAGATGCTGGGATTTTGTTGATCTCCTATTGCTTCTGTTGTGCAAGTAAAAAGGTCGAACTTTCAGAAACATACATAACTTGAAAAGGTGGCACCAAATGAAAGACTACTCCTAGTGTTAATATTCAGGAGAAGAAAACAGAAAGGGAGAAGGGAGAAGAGCCAAACGTGTAAAGCAGGGCTTCCTATCCACTTTCATGTCTATTAGCACTATATCCAGTCTCATCTACTCTCAGAGACTGCCACCACTTTATAGCACTAAGATAACTTTCATGCTCTTTCTTTTTTTTGTGGTGCTGGGGATCAAATCCAGGACTTTGTGCATATTAGGCAAAGACTCTACCACTGAGCTACATTCCCAGATCATTATCACTTTTTTTTTTTTTAACCTACATATAGAATTTTACAGAGTTCAGAATATTATAACTTGGGTTATTTATTTACTGTAGTGCTAAGGATCAAACCCAGGGCCTTGTGCACACTAGGCAAGTACTCTATCACTGAGCCCCACAGTGCTTTTCTTTAGCCCCACAGTTGCTCTCTCACATATACACCTTTATCTATCTTGTACTTCACTGTACCTCCTCTGTAGAAACCATGGAACGGTACAGAGATGCTAAATAAGTATATACTCCCTGAAAGAATGAAACAGTACAAACATATACTAGAATTATCCAAAATGAAGAATATAATTGTGTTAATCAATCTGAACCACAGACCAAAGCAGTCTCCACTCAAATTTTTTTCCCACTCACAAAAAGTGTCGCTCTTGTCACCTTGGTCTTGAAGTATGTTATTTATGAATCATATATTACCAGGTGAACCTTTATTTGTTTTTGACGACACCGGTGTTTGAATTCTTGCTAGGCAGGCACTCTGTCCCTTGAGGCAAATGCCCAGCCCCCAAGGAACCTTTCTATCAGAAGCGCTTCCTTATTTTAAGAGCTAGGGAAGTTCTAGGAAGGGGAAACTCTGACCTACAAATGATGCTGTCTTCATTTTTCTTTCACCTCTCCCTGAAGAAATACCTTCAAAAGTCATCAGCCACATTTATTCTGAGGGCCTTTACACTACTGTGCTGATATGGTCTGCATTGCTCTCTGAAAGTCTCTAGTAACTACTTTCCCTTTGTTGATCTGATTCTCGTTGGACACCAGTGCCATTCTCCTTTTCCTTCTTTCTCCTTTCCTACTTCTCAGTGTGCACAATAGCAGGAATAATCTATATTGGTGAGTCATTTATGTTGTACTTTCCTGCTTATTTTGCACTTCAGAAAGTGCTTTGAGAGGCTTTTTCTGCTATTACAGGTTTGGTGGATCTGGAAGTAACTTACTTTAGAAGACTGAGGAAATTGCCATACTTTACTATAGCTTAAAAAAAATCATTCAAAGTGAGATTATATTTCTCACCGTAAGATAGTGGAATGGAAATGAGATGTTTGCTGCCAGGGATTTCTTTCTTTTTCCTGAGTCAATTTGATTTTTTCTCCTATCCATTAAGTGGAGCTGTTGAACACCACACCTTTCCCAATTATTTATCTGTTCACCATAAATCCAACCATGCCATTAGCATGCTACTATTATTAATTACTATTTTAAACTGAAACAGCCCTGCTGTTGTTATATGAAGACATAAGAGATACTTGCTGTTGTTTTTTCTCGTTCTTCACTGCTTTTCTTCTTTTTGGCTCGTACCTAAAAAGTTGAAATTTTTGTGGAAAAGACAAACATATAATTTGTATTCAATGCCTTTTTCTTTCACTCTAATATATTTTGTATCTTCTACAGTTACAACATTTTGACAATCGAACTGCATCTTAAATTAACTGTTCCATCTCAATGAGGTTTCAATGAAAAATATGTAAAAGAAAGTAAATTAAGATTTTGAATTTCTAGAGGAATTCACTTAAGTCATTTTTCAGCACCTAAAACAGGCAGCAGGCTACTGTGGAAGAAATCAGGAGCTCTGAAATAACAGAAAGCAGGATCTGAATCCTACCTCAGTTTCTTCATCTATAAAAAGAATATCTAAGCCAGGTTAGGTGCCTGTGGCTCATGCCTGTAATCCTAGCTACTTGATAGGCTGGGACTGGGAGATTTGAGGCCAATCTGAGCAAACAGTTCACAAGTCCCATCTTCAAAAAAATAACCACAGCTAAATGGACTGGAGGAGATGTGACTCAAGCAGTAGATTGCCTGCTTTGCAAGCAGGAAACCCTGAGTTCAAACCCCAGTCCAAGAAAAAACAGGACTAATTACCTTCAAGGGTCTGTGCATGGAATATAGTAGGTATTTCTCTTATTCGATGGTGTCAACAAATGGTAGGTATACATACAATATACTCGGTAGAAATCAAATCATTAAAATCCCTTTAATAATAATTATCACCATTTACATTTATTTTAAGCTTTTAAAGTATGTACATTGGATTTAACTTAAATTGAAAGTTGGTAAACTTCATGTGTATTAAGTATTAAGTTCAAATCTAAGCTATTTTGCATTAAATTTCACTTGTTATCATTTAGTAAACATAGTTAATATACTAGAGTATAAAAACTGCCTAAATGTTCAATTCTGTGGTATACCTGTTAGGTGACTGTATATTAAATACATGATAAAAATACATGAAAATGTAACTAATGATATAAAGAAGCATAAGCACTAGAGGAACAGACAACAAACATTACAGACCATTAGCTTACAACAGGGTGGCAGCTCTCTTTAGAGAGCACTTAAAAAATTACAGGTGTTTAGCTGCATTACATCCATATTTAGGCAGGCAGAGATAAGGGATGCTGTCATGCATGGTCCAGGACAGCAATGTACATCCTTTGTGACTTTTGAATAGCCTGTTAACAATTCATATAATGGATCTGTTTATGATGGAAGTAAATTTACTATAAATTGAACACAAAGTATTTTGTTCAAGATTTTAAGATATAGCTGGGTACCAGTGGCTCATGCCTGCAATTCTAGCTACTTAGGAGGCAGAGATTAGGAGGACTGTGGTTTGAAGCCAGCCCAGGCCGATAGTTCGAGGGACCCTATCTTGGAAATACTCATTATAAAAAGGGCTCGTGGAGAGGCTCCAGATGAAGGCCCTGAGTTCAAACCCCAGTACAAAAAGTAATAATAATAAAAAGATTTTAAGATATAATGCATGCCCCAGAAATATCATATAAACAGAGAAAAGACTGGGGTTTTTTTTTTTTTTTGTTTCCCCTGAACTGGAGATTGAATTCTGGGCCTTGCACCTGCTATGCCATGCTCTACTACTTTAGCCATGCCCCAGCTCTTTAGTTTATATTTATTTTTTTTGAGGTAAGGTCTTTTACTAACTTTGTCGAGGTCTGCCTTGAAATTGGGATCCTCCTGTCTCTGCCTCCAGAATAAATGGGATTACAGATGTATGCCACTGAGCCCAACTGTGGAGACTGTACTTTTGTTTCATTAAAAACTTCACTAGGATGAGAACTATTGAAACTATTCCAGGAATAAAGGAGGATAAAGGAGAATAATGGAGCAGGTGAATTCACCTATGATATTTAATATATTGTAAGAACTTCTGTAAATGTTGCAATGTACCCTAGCACAACAATTAAAAAAACAAACAAACAAATTTCACTAGGGCTGGTGGAGTGGCTCAAGTGGTGGAGTGCCTGCCTAGCAAGGTGAAGCTCTGACTTCAAGCCCTAGTACCACCAAAATCAAACAAACAAACAAGAACAACTACTTCACTAAATTTTGTTCACATGCTGGAAAATGTCATTGGTGACAATGCCACTGAATGGTTTCTGAAGGGCTTATGTAATGTACTATCTACAGCCTACATTTTGTTTTGACTCAAGATTTTTTTTTTGTATTCTCATACTTAAGCATTTATAAACTAAAATAAAATATAAAATTATACATTATTATTTACATTTGTTTCTTCTGTATATTTCTGTTAGGGGACAGTCATATAAAAATTAGTGTCAGGTGTGGTACCACACAAATGCAATCCCAGCTACTCAAGAGGTAGATAGGATTGCAGTTTGAGGCCAGCCTGCCACAAAAGTTACTAAGATCATATCTTTAAGAACAAGCTGGGCATGGTGGTGCACACCCACAATCCCAATTACTCAGAAGGCAGAGATAGAGGATTGTGGTTTGAGGCTGGCCCAGGCAAAAGCACAAGACCCTATCTGAAAAATAACTAAAGCAAAAAGGGCTGGGGGTATGGCTCTAGTGGTAGAACATCTGCCTAACCTGAGACACTGAGTTCAAATGTCAGTACTACCAAAATTTTTTTTTTTAAATAGCATAGTTTATAAATTAGCTGCAAATTTCATTTCAGGGGGGTTTACAAAATATTGGTACAAAATGGTGGCAACAGGTCTGATAAGACTGAAGGCCATTATCATGGAGCAAGCTTAGTGACTCAGAAAGAAGGCACAAACAAACAAGAAGGCAGGACCCAGGGAGCATGGAGATAAGAAGCAGGACAGGCAGAGGCAGAGGCAGAGGCAGAGCTGGGCAGGGCGGATGCAGGAGGAGGATAGTACAGAAAGGAGATGGAGTCAGGAAAACCAGTAGCTCTGGCAGTCTGCTTCTGTGATGCCTGTCACAGAAGGCCAGACCCTCAACATTATTTTACACTACTGAAGGGGGATGAAATGTTGATCTCTAAAGAAAGGTGCAACTTTAAAATTCTACGACTTGGGTTAGACTTTGTGCCAAGAGTTCAGTAAACTTTAGGGATCTTGACCCAGATCTTATATAAAGCCTTTCATAATTTTTCATCTCATTTACTTGCCATAATTAAGTAATATGATAGGTTCCTATTTTACAGATAAGGAAACCAATGCCAAGAGAGAAACAATAAAACTGATAACTGACAGAAAATTAACTCTGGACTCTAATTCTAACGGAGTGCCAAATCTAAGATATGGACTGTTAGAGCTGAAAAGGACTACTGACATGACCTAATTCTCCTCCCTCACTTTGTAGACAGGAAAATGGAGGTTATGCCAACAGTTCTGCACCTTTCTAATCCCTAAAGATTAAGCTCAAAACAAAAACAAGATGTTGGATAGCATGTGCAATGTTCAATTTTAACCATGCAAGCAAATGCTAGGTTTCAATTTGCTTTAAATTATATACGGCCTCTTTCATATAATCAGAATGGTAGTACAAGATGATAATAGAGTAAAAATAAGTATCTCAGATTAGAAGGTATGGGGAAATATGGTTAATTACCAAAATAATAGCCATCTAATTATCTTCTGGAAAAATGCAAAACTCATCCTGAAATGGAACAACTTTTATCTCTTTTAACTCACCTCCTCAATATAATCTGATTCTGACAAGGACTCAGATGATAAAGGTTTATCTTCAGGATACATCTTTCTTTTTTTGCTGAGTCCTTTAAAGTCCTATGAAAAATAAACACAGTTGCAGAAAAGAAAACCAGTGGTTAATTATTTGTAATGGTCTAAAAGGATCTCAACACATTCAATTTCTTTATTACACTTAAAGTATTAAATTTACATTTAAAAACATCTCAATTGCTAATGTTAAGAAATGAATGATTCTTGTGAAGAAAAGGGGACTAAGATTGGGAAGAATATTTAAATTATGAAAACATCTGAAGCAAGTATGGCAGAATGTTCAGGTTTATAGGAGCTGCACAGTGAATATTCTGGCTATCATTTATTATTTCCCACATTCTTTTTCTGTATGTCTGAAATAGTTCATAACATAAAACCACACAATGGACACAGTGCTCAACACCTACTCTTACACAGGAAATTTTTACAAAGTAAAACTTTACAGAGTATGTGTCTAATGTTGAAGACCCACTCCCCCTAAAATTATGTAGAAAATAAACTAACAGTGATGATGCCTCTATGTGCTGTAAGTAATTTCATTTTATTTCTGAACATAGCTTTATTATTTTGGTTGACATGATATTCATTGCTAAGAACAAGCACCCAAATGCAACTATAGATCAAACATCATTATTTTTTAAAATCACCTCTCTGTGTATGCTTACAACTTCACATGAATACTTGCCATTTGGAACTGCTCTTCTCACCTAGTAATGTCTTTCCATGCCAACTATATCATACTTTATGGCTGCCTTTGACACCCACTGAGAGAAATAGGCCAGAACGTATTTAGCCCATCTCTCTTTGGAGGGCAGGCATATGGGCTCTTTGCTATTTAAAAACAAAGTTGAAACAGAGTGCAGGGAATGTGAACACAAAATCTTTACCCAATAATAGTAAAATCAAAGACCAAGGTAGTCTTCACACAACTTGCTCTCTTACTATTCTCTAAATCATTTCTTATTTGTCACTCATTTACAAATTCCACTCCACCAAGAGGCCTCATTACGCTGTGTATTGACCTATCAATATCAAATAAATAACTGGAGTATATAGTTTGTATGTTCTTTTTAAATTGCCTATGTAGGAGAGATTCCAAGATGGCGGCTAGAGGGAGGAAGCAGAAAGAGTGCCTCCTAATGTAAAATCTTGGAGAGACGCTGGAGATACATCTTACAGGAAAAACCACTGAGAACAGGCAAAACTTTAACTCCTCCACATCCCCACCCCACACATACCATCTCCACTTCACGTTAAACAGAGAAACCAGGAGGGCTCCCAAGTTGCCGCCAGACGCCAGCGCCTAGACGGCTTGGGAAGACATGGACCACAACGTGAGCTAAGCGGGATGCAGTACTCCCAAAGACAACCCTGGGTCAGATCAGCATAGCCCCCTGGACAGACTGACCCCCACCAAGGGAAAAAAGGAAAAAAAACTGAGTAATAAGCAATAACAACAAAAAAGATATGTAGCAAAGAGGGCAGGCACCCTGAGCTCCAAAGAGGGGGGAAGGGGAAATCCCTCCAAACAAGCCAGCTGGAGAAGGCAGGAGCAGGGCACACGCCCAGCAACCAGGAGCAGGAAAGCTTGTAAAAGTGGCGGTGGGAGGAAAACTCCACAGGAGAGGGGGAAAGGCCCACTTCCCACGTGAACTGTAACTAAACATGCAGGCCTGAGAAAGCTGGTGCAGTGTCACCTCCTCCAGTGTGCTTGGAACAGGGAAAGTTTGTAGCAGTGGTGGTCTTGCCCAGGAGAACTCTAAGTAAACAAAGCCTGCAAGGCTAGGTGAGTGTTAAGATCACTCCTGAGATCTGCATAAATAAAGCCTCCAGCAAGAGCAGGCTGACAGCAGCGGGCAGGTAAGCCAAGCCTTAGATAGCCATTCACAGAACTGTCTCCAGACTCTTTTTTTTCTTTCTTCCTTTGATGAGACAACAACAGAACTACACCTGCATGCTGAAAAACTTACTAAAACTGTACTGCATTTGAACTTGGGACACTTTGTGATGTTTTTTTTTTTTGTTTTGTGTTGTTTTGTTTGGTTTGGTTTTTTTCCCCCGTTGATGCAACGACAGAACTACTTCTGAGACACCATCTCCAGTATTGGAGGCTGAGGGATGAACATCAAAATTATTAAGACTGAGACTTCATTGCATTTGAAATTGGAGATTTTTATTTCATTTTATTATTCATTTTTTATTTTATTTTTTTTCAATCCTCTGTCTCTCTAATGCCTGTTCAGCTTAGTGTTGATTACTACACTATCTCTCCCTGTTTATATCTTTGAAACTTTTTTGTTTCTTTGTTTTGTTTTTTTCTACTTGTTATTTTTTCCTTTAATTTCTTTGCTTTCCATCTCCTCTCACCCTTCCATTCTAAATATCACCATTGTTATTATTACAAGCTAGAAAATACTTAATTACACACAGTACAGGGACAATAACAACACCAAGGGTAATGACAGGAAGACGGAAAAACCAGGAAACCAGTTTCCCCACAGCAAAAAATTAGTACAGGAACCAGAGGAATGAAGAAAACAGATACTCAGATCCAGATCCAACAAAATGAAGATAAACTATGCCAAAAACCCAATGAAGCCCAAGAATAATTAAAAGAAGAAATCTACAGGTACTCAATGAGAATTTTATAGAGATGATACTGGATAGGTCAACCAAAATGTACAGAGACACTCAAGAAATTCCAAGACAACAAAAATAGAGAATTTGAAAAGCACAAGAAGAAATAAAAGAAACCATAGAAGCACTGTATAAACACCAAAGTGAAACAAAGAAATGATTAAAAAGAGATAAATGAACTCAGGACAAAATAGACAACATTAAAGAGGAAACACCAGGATATGGAAAACCTCAGAAAAAAGAATGAAACAGAATGAAAACAAAATGGAAGGCCAATCCAGCAGAATAGAACAAACAGAAGACAGAATCTCAGAACTTGAAGATGAAATGGTAATTAAAGGAAAAACTGAAGAACTATAGTTAAACAACTCAAGACCTGTGAAAAGAAAATGCAAGAACTCACTGACTCCATCAAAAGACCAAACCTGAGAATCATGGGCATTGAAGAAGGAGAAGAGGTGCAAGCAAAGGGAATGCAATATATTCAACAAAATAATAACAGAAAATTTCCCAAATCTAGAGAAATCTATTCCCATACAGATGCAAGAGGCCTCCAGAACACCAAACAGACCAGACAAAATAGAACTACTCCCAGGCATATTATCATTAAAACAACAATAGAGACTAGAAAGAATATGAAGGCTGTAAGAGAGAAAAAACAAATAACATACAAAGGTAAACCCATCAAAATCACAGCAGACTTCTCAACAGAAAATTAAAAGCAAGAAGAGCTGGGGTGAGATCTTCCGGCACTGAATGAAAATAACTTCAACCCAGGATACTCTACCCAGCAAAACTATCATTCAAAATAGATGGAGCAATAAAAGTCTTCCATGATAAGCAGAAACTAAAACAATATGTGACCACAAAGCCACCACTACAAGAGATTCTTCAAGGGATTCTGCACACAGAAAGTGAAACCCAACATAACCATGAAAGGGCAGGCACCAAACTACAGGAAAAGAAAAAGCAAGAAAGTAGAGAGTAACCAACTTAGGTACACACAATCAAACCTTCAAACAACTAAGACAACTAAATGACAGGAATCACCACATACCTATCAGTACTAACACTTAATGTTAATGGACTTAATTCCCCCATCAAAAGGCACCGTTTGACGAAATGGATTAAAAAGGAAGATCCAACAATTTGTTGCTTACAGGAGACCCATCTCACGACAGAAATAAGCATAGGCTTAGGATGAAAGGCTGGAAGAAGATTTACCAAGCCAATGGCCCCCAAAACAGGCAGGAGTAGCAATACTTATCTCTGACAAAGTAGACTTCAAACTTACATTGATCAAACAAGATAAAGAAGGACATTCCATACTAATAAAAGGGGAAATAGACCAAAAGGAAATAATAATTATCAACCTATATGCACCCAATGTCAACGCACCCAATTTCATCAAACATACCCTGAAGGACCTAAAAGCATATATTAACGCCAACACAGTGTTTGTGGGAGACTTTAACACCTCATTATCTTCAATAGATAGGTCATCCAAACAAAAATCAATAAAGAAATCCAGATCTAAAATATACAATAGATCAATGACCTAGTTGATGTCTACAGAACATTTCATCCAACTTCTAACATATACATTCTTCTCAGCAGCCCATGGAACCTTCTCCAAAATAGATCATATCCTAGGGCACAAAGCAAGCCTCAGCAAATATAAGAAAATAGAAATTATACCATGCATACTATCTGATCACAATGCAATAAAACTAGAACTCAACAACAAAAGTAAAGACAATAAAACATGCAAACAGCTGGAACTAAATCAACTCACTGCTTAATGAAACAATGGGTCTTGATGAATAAAAGAGGAAATTAAAAAGTCCTGGAAGTCATGAAAATGAAACAAAACCTAACAGAACCTATGGACTACAGTAAGGCAGTCCTGAGAGAAAGTTTATAGTGAAGTGCATGTATTAAAGAATGAAAGATCCCGAATGCAATGCACCTAATGATTTTGCATCTCAAACTCCTAGAAAAAACAGAACAAGAAATCCCAAAACAAATAGAAGGGGGAGAAATAATAAAATAAGAGCTGAAATCAATGAAATCGAAACCAAAAAAACATAAAAAAATTAATGAAACAAAAGTTGGTTCTTTGAAAAAATAAACAAGATCGACAGACCCCTGGCAAACCTGACTAAAATGAGGAGAGAAAAACCCAAATTAGTAAATTCAGGAATGCAAAAGGGGAGATAACAACAACACCAAATGAAGTCCAGGAAATCATCAGAGACTACTTTGAGAAACCTATATTCAAATAAATTTGAAAATCTTAAAGAAATGGACAGATTCTAGATACATATGATCATCCAAAACTGAACAAGAGATAAATAATCACCTGAATAGATCTATAACACAAAATGAAATTGAAGCAGCAATCAAGA